CTGAACATCCCTGCCAACCCCAAGTAAAAGCGCAGTTTGACCAAGGCGTTCATGGATCGAGGGATGCGTCCGTCCTGCAAAGCAGCCGCTTGTCTAGAGTAGCCTGCCAAGGCAGGCGCTCAACCTACCCGTAGCTTGAAAACTATACTCAACCTGCGGCGGGTTCAAATCCCAACACATCGTCCAAGCCACCAATTGGGCATGTGTCGACATAGAGGAACGGGGAGACCCCCATCCTTTCCGCCTCCCTTTGAACCAACCTGAAAAGGGCTTCCTCCAAAAGCACATACACACACAATTATATAGGGGAGTTAAACTGAACAAATCGGCGTCGATTGGATCCCGGCCTTTCATAAATGTGGGCTCTAGCTCGACACACTTCTCTGCATCTGCCTGAGCCTGGCAGGAACACGCGAGGAGGTGGGTAGGGGGCAGGGGAGGGGTTGGGTGGTTTCGGGGAGTTCCGGGGGTGGGTTTGGGAGGGTGAAGGACCCGAAGCGAGGCCCGTGGTTTGGACCATCCTCTTCGAATATCATCCCTACAAGCACCCAGAGGCGTGTCCTGCGAGGCCTACCGTGTTCGTAGAAGCAATCTTTGAACAGAAAGAAGTCTCAAAGCTGAACAGCACACGGCCCTTGCGAACACATGCTGATCGATCTCTCATTTTTGCTCGCTTTCCTGGAAGAGAAGCTGCAGGCTATCCGCCGGCTGTCAAGCTGCAGCATAGGGGCCAGAAAAAGTGGGGCTACATCATCGCTTCAACCTCTTAATTTGGGATGATACCCAGGCTAATTCAGGAATGAAAGGGTTCCCTTTTGGCGATATCAACCATGCCAGGGATTCAGTCTGTTTGGCAGCAGTCCAAGAATGGCCCCTGTGCATGGCCTTAATTGGGCTTGCCTTGGGAGGCGTGTGATTCGCGATATCGTGCGTGGTTGATTGCCGTACCCATAGCGACTTTCTCACTTTAGATGGCTGTGGGTCAAACATAGGTGCCCAAAATGGAACCCTTGTAAGAGGAAATATGGACGAACAGCAGCGGTCCCCTGGTGTTTTTTGATTTTGACCCGCAGCCAAATGGCTTCCCCAAGAGCACCACGAAGTGGCAACCCACAACCTCCGACACTTCAATTCATGAGCCGACATTCCTCTCGCGGCCTCAGTCGCGTACTCCCGGAGCTTCAGATACGCGGCGCTTCCTGAGATGTTTTCTGGGAGAAGCCGCACACCTTCAACATTGACTTGGCTTCAAAAGCTGAACTGCTGCGTTTTGCTTTGAGCTGGATGAAAACCCTGCGTGCCTGCCACCAGCTGCCTTGCCCATGTCTCTGCCGAGGAGCGGTTGCTGTAGCATAGGTGCTGCTTCGGGTCTTGTGCCTGTGCCACACGCCCAACCCAAACCGGCCGTTGCATTTCGCTTGTTCTTTATCGGGTGTATGGAGGGTAGTTGAAGGAGAAAAACCAACTGTTTAGGGGACCCCCGTTTGGGTTCTTGTATGGCATTGCTGCGACACTGTCCTCCAAAAGGTGCGTGCCTTGTGCGTGTGTGCGTGTGTCCGTGTGTCCGTGTGACCGTGTGTGTGTGTGTGCGTGTGTGCGTGTGTGCGTGTCGTGCGTGTGTGCGTGTGCGTGTGCGTGTCTGCATCTTGGCGATACTGCGTGTGTCTGATATGCGTCTTGTGATATCTGGCGATAATGTGGCGATGTCTGCCACCTACAGGCGTCTTAGCGTCTGAAGCGTCTGAAGCGTTTAAGCGATAATAAGCGTATTAATAAGCGTGTAAGCGTTTATGCAGCATGCGCTTTATCGCTTTAATGCGGCATGCGGCATCGCGGCATCGCTTTTATCTTTATCGTATATAAATATATACGATATCTCGATGATATGCTCGTGTATAAGTATGCTCCCGATATGTGTAAATGTATAAATGTTGTCGTGTATAAGTATATGGGTAATATAAATTGTACTAGGTATTGTAGGTGTATGGGTGTATGGGTATGGGTGTATGGGTATGGGTATTATGGGTATGGGTAATATGCGATATAGGGTATGGGTATGGGTATTGGTAGAGTATGGTATCGTGTGCGTGTCGTATGAGTATGGTGGAGTATGAGTACGGGTGGTGTGGTGTGGTGTGGTGTTGTTGGCGTGGCGTGGCGTGAGGTGTGGCGTGGTTTGAGGACAGTGGTGTAGTGCAAGCGAGAGAGAGTGATTGTACCAGCAGCATCCGGTACATCCCGTAGATGAGTAGATGGATGAGAGTTGCTTTTAAAGCTTTCACCTTAGATGGTGAGTGAGATAGATGATAGATGAAAGTAGATGGTGTATTTATTATGTGTGTCTGCGTGTACGTATGCACGTTACTCACGTCACGCGTCTCCATCTTGCCACCCGAGTCACCCGGCGCGCATAGCGTAGCGTCTTAGCGCATACGCACGTGTCTGCCAAGCGTCTGTAGCGTCTGCCCAACGTGCCACGTCGCAGCCCAGCAATCTCGCCCGTCCGCCGCCCGGCGTGCGCGTCTGCCTGAATTCCGCACGGCGTCTCGAGCATCTTGCGTCTGCGTAGGCGTGGGCATTGTGCGTGTGCGTAATCTGCGCGTCACGCGTAGCTGCTGCGAGAGCGGCGTGCTGCAGCAGCGTCTCGAAAATCTTGGTGTGTGCGTGTGTGCGTGTGTACGTGTGTGCGTGTGTGCGTGTGTGCGTGTGTGTGTGTCGTGTGTACGTGTGTACGTGTGCGTGTATGCATTATCGCGTGAATGTCGTGTATCGTGTCGTATAAGTATTATGCTGATAATATCGCATTATGTCGTGTATGCGTGTATGCGTGTGTGCGTGTATGCGTGTATGCGTATGTGTGTATGCGTATGTACGTGTATGCGTAATGCGTATTATGCGTGTGTCTTTTTGATATAATACGTATATGCGTATTAATACGATAATGTACGTGTGCGTGTGTGTGCGTGTGCGTGGTATGCGTGTGTGTGCGTGTGTGCGTATTATGCGTATTGTGCGTTATTGTGCGTGTGCGTGTGTGCGTGTATGCGTGTATGCGTATGTGCGTGGTATGCGTGTGCGTATTAATATTAAACGTATCTTAAAGCACTCTTCACATTATCATATTCTTTTTTTATACGTAATAATACGTGTATGCGATGTGTGCGTGTGTGGGGGGGGGTAATGTGCGTGTGCGTGTGTGCGTGTGTGCGTGTGTGCGTGTTGTGCGTGTGCAACGTGTGTCGTAATGTCACGTGTGCGTGTGTGCGTGTGTGCGTGTGTGCGTGTGAGCGTGTGTGCGTGTGTGCGTGTGTGCGTGTGCGTGTGCGTGCGCGTGTGCGTGTGGGTGTGTGTGTGTGTGTGCGGGTGTGTGCGGGTGTGTGCAGGTGTGTGCGGGTGTGTGTGTATGTGTATGTGTATGTGTATGTGTATGCGTGTGTGTGTGCGTGTGCGTGTGGGTGTGTGTGTGTGTTTGTGTGTGTGTGTGTTTGTGTTTGTGTGTGTTTGTGTGTGTGTGTTTGTGTGTGTGTGTGTGTTTGTGTGTTTGTGTGTGTGTGTGTTTGTGTGTGTGTGTGTTTGTGTGTGTTTGTGTGTGTTTGTGTGTGTGTTTGTGTGTGTGTTTGTGTGTGTGTGTTAACTGTGTGTTTGTGTGTGTGTGTGCGCGCATGCGCGTGTGCGCGCGTGTGCGCGTGCGCGCGTGCGCGCGTGCGCGCGTCTTATGCGCGCGGCGCGCGCGTGCGTGCGTGCGGTGCTCGCGTGCGTGCGCGCGTGCGCCGCAGCATGCGTGCGTGCGAGCGACGAGCGTGCGCGCGCGCGATGCGTGCGTGTGTGCGTGGGTGGGTGGGTGGGTGGGTGGGTGTGTGTGTGTGGGCGCGCGCGTGCGCGTGTGCGCGTGTTCGAGTGTGCGCGTGCGCGCGATGCGCGCGTGCTGCGCGGGCGCGCGTGCGTGGGTGTGTGCGCGCGCGTGCGCGCGTTCGCGCGTGCGCGCGCGCGCGCGGGCGTGCGTGCGTGCGTGCGGGCGGGCGGGCGGGCGGGCGGGCGGGCGCGTGCGCGTGCGCGCGTGCGTGCATGCGTGCGTGCGTGGGTGGGTGGGTTGGTGGGTGGGTGGGTGTGTGTCTGTGTGTGCGACGAGCAGACGAACTAAGGTCTTAACGTGGCGGTTTGATTGACTCTGGGAAGCACGATTCCATTCTCTTCCCAAACATTGCCGTTTCTCACTTGTGTCAGGAATATGGGGGCTGAACGCATCGCTGAGATCCTGCCTCGTCTGACCTGCTCACCATTGTCAGAATATGCCTATGTTTTAATTGTTGATTATCATGAGTCATGCTCTTAACCAAAACCACCACACTCGAGCTTGCTTTGAACTGTGCTTGTGGGCCTTTGTCCGATTTGCCAACACCTTGCTGAGGACAAGGCCAGTGACTCTGTGTATGCCTTCACGGCACCCGCGTAGTCACCCTTTTTGAACTTGGCATTGCCTGCGCAAATGGCTCCGCCGAGAGCGCACCAAGCGGCCAATTCTTTTCCTGCATCCCGTGGTTTTTGGACGGCAAGCCAGCCAGTGAGTTCAGGAGTCCCTTCAGCGCAATATTAAAGCTAACAGCAGTCAAAGCTAACAGGACCGCCAACAGCCGTAAATCCGTAAAATACAAAATGAGAGAAACTCAAGCCCCAGACCAACAAACACGCTTTTGGTGCAAAGAGTCCCTTCCTTCACAGGATCTCTGCTTTTCCAGGACACCCCATGTTCGTGGGCATGTGCCTTCGTCCTTGAGCTCCGCAGCGCTCATGGCAGGCAGCCCCTTCTGCAAACCGCGCACTCGGCGACGCTGAGTCCAATGCCAGCGGCGATTTAGCGCGATGCAACGCTCTCTCAACTGACCCCAATGCCCTCCCACGCAACTAATTTTCGTGTCGACGGGGGTGTACCCTCTCCAAAGGGAGGTGCCCTCAAAAGTGGATACCTTACTATGTTTTGTATATTCTATGTGAAAATACGGGGGAACTCGAACATGTGCAATACCTCCGGCATGCCAGGTGCTCGCTGTTTTTGTGGCGGGCATCACCCTGCCGCTCAGGCTGGACGCGCCTCAGGGCGTGCGGCTCAAAGAAGTCCCGATCTCCACACGCGCAAGCAGCCAACAGGAACGGCTTCGGCCGCTCCAAGGCGTCCGAAAAACTGAGCGCCCAACAAAACACAAGTGACAGCAACTGGTCAAAGGGCCACTGCGAAAGCCTTGTTTGGGCATTGGGATGAGAGTCAATCAAACTAGGGCCCATGAGATGCACATGGTCACGTGGTGCAATCAACATGTCGTGATGTGTTTGTCTTCGGCCCCTTCAAATGTCATGTGCGAATCTGCATTTACTTCCTTGGCTGCGACTCTGACAAAGGTCTGGCTTGAATCTCCATATGACTCAAGCCTAACGTTCACCCCATCACTTCAATACCTCCCAGCTTTCAACCCCCTTTTTGAACCTTGGGCCCAAACCTTTTGGATTGCAAGATAGATCATCGTCGTTCCCATCATTTTTATGTTCATCGACTGCTTCAATTCTTGAAGCTTAAGGGGGCGCTCTGAATCTCGCGGCTCCGAGGGCGCCGCTTCCTTCGCTCGACGCGCAAAGCGCAACGCAGAGGAGCGGAGGGGCGAGGAATCCCGCAGCCTGAGTCCCAGGCTTGTCATGTAATATGACAGCAGGGACCGAGAAGGGGCCCCCACTTTTGACAACCTGGAGGACCCTTTGCTTAGAGTTTGCTTCTGTTCGGTAGGTGTAGGGTGGCTTAGGGTAGGATTGGGTTGGCGTAGGGTGCGCCAGTTATCCGCGGCACTGGGAGAACCCAACACACCATGAGGCAAGGACGGAAAACCTCATGGACTTGACGAACAAACGGACGGACGGACGGAACCGATGGGCATGCAGGATGGCAGGCAGGCAGGCAGGCAGACAGCCAGACAGCCAGACAGCCAGACAGCCAAACACAAGAGGAAGATAAGAGTGGAAAGCAACGCTACCCAGTCCACAAGTCATCCGACTGTATCTCTAAGATGGCTTCCCTTGGGGCAAATGGCTTGCGAGCAGCGGATAATTTGGTGGAGTCATTGATGGCGCGCGCCTCTTGACCAAACAGCAGCTCAAGCTTCCAACCACATCGTCAACCGCCCTTCCGAGGCGGTGGCTGAATCTGAGAAGGCGTCAAGTGTCCAAATTCCTCCAAAACCTGGCACTGAAGTAAGGGGAAAATGGAAAGTTGGGGAACTGCTCTATGATCTGTACATACAGGATATACACTCCGTTATATTTCCTGCGCGCATAGTGAGAACCTTTCAAGCGGAAAGCCCGACACACACGTAAGGCGCTTCTCCTTTTGCCAGTCACAAATCAGTTTCCACAATGAAAGAACAGCTGCCTTTCGTCAATCGCCCTGAAACTTTCTGATCCCACGACGGAAGCCAAAATGCTCGGTTGTCCATTTAAGATGGGCTTCTTCATTTTTGGGGAGTTGCACCAATGGGGTATCCAGGAAGCGCTGCTTAAATCCGGTCCTAGCTGGAGGGTCGCATTTTTCCTGTGAACATGATTGCTGAGCCATGAGACCACTCTGTCAGCACTTGTTGATGAGCATTGTGTTACACGAGCTTGCATTTCAATGAGGAACCAACACAAGCGCTTCGTGGGCACAAACGACCGTGCAAAACATCTTCACAAACGGGGCCCCAATTGGATGGCCCGATGGCAGGCAGTGACAAGTTGTAGCATGATGCTGAAGCTTCAGCTGTTTGCCTACCCGCCCACTGCGGGCAGCTTCATTCTTCATTTCTGATCCCATCAAATGGTCGGAGGATGTGAAGTTCCTTCCTCCTGCTCAGGGGGCACCTGACGTCCTCCACAGTAGGCCACGTCAGCAAGCAGTTGTGAGGAGCCACAGCAAGAAGATCAAACGATGAGAACCCTTTCAAAGCTGTCAGCGAGGCCACGTGTCTCAAAGAACTTGCAACTCCTTTGGGATGGCGCTTTAAATTGAAACTAACAGGCGTCCAAGCATTGGCGAAACATTGGGACACCAAGCCGAGCGCCTTTGGGAGGTCCCACTGGAACGCCGGGGCCGAAGGGCCCAGCATCGAGCCGGCTGCCAGCTGAAACAGCCTCGGAAGACAAACAAGGGCAACTGGTCGTCAAAGCAAGCAAAGCAGAACGACTCACCGGAAATGCATGTCCTCTATGCGGGACACAACTTGAACTTGGGTACTCATGCTGCATGTACTTTATGAAATGAAACATCCCGATCGTTCACCCTCCACATGCCGAAACCAAGAACTTCCAAGACAATGCTCATATATCACCAAAGTCGATCATGAGTCAGGAGTCGGAGTCATGCCAACTGCGGTTGGCCGATGAAATGACCGCCATCTATGTCAACAATCGAAGCAATGAAGCTTAAACCGCATGAGCAAGATTCGTTGTTCTGAAGTCTAAAACGGGGGCCACTGCCTAGTGCTGCCTAGTATGGCACTTTCCTGCTCAATTCAAGCTGACATCACATCGCCTGGCACAAACCTGCCCCACACCCATCCAATCACATGCTTGGGCGTCCAAATCCCCTCCGCCACCGTCCCTCCCTCCCAATCTTTTGTCGTGGGCGCGTGGGCTCTGCCGAGGTCTGCCGCGCCGGCGCGGTGGCCGGCGGCACGCACTCTGAGGAGGCCGTCATGGACTCCACCCTGGGGAAGCTGCTCTAGCAGGTCATAAAGAAAAGGCGGGTGGCCATCTTTCGAGGGCTCGGGTCAAAGAAAGCCCCCCTTGAACAGGGCATGTTCGGAGGTGTTCAGGAATAGTAGTATTTGAGCAATGAGGTAGACAAGCTTGATACCTTTGACCCGTGCCCTTCCAGCCACAGTGAAAGCCAACAAAGCTTTCAGGCAATGCTCTCAGGCTCCGGCATGGTGTCACGCTGCTGGTCGTGTCGTCGCAGCCAGCAGGTGCCTCCCCATGTTGGATCTCTGTGTTTCAGTGAACCTGGGCATGTCCCTGATACTCTGCTACGGGCCGTGGGCAATCTTAACCGAGTCTTCAACCGTCTTTGGATTCTGACTGGAAGCTTATTCTCACAAAGCTGAAAGCCATGAGGGCTCTAACTTCGAGTAAAGAACAAGGTGTGGACACGAAAATGCAGGTGCTGTAGGATGCTGTTACGCAGGGACTCGCAGGGTGCCTTCGGAGGGCGCGCGCCGCAGTGCACGGCGCAGATTGTTGCAAGGGAAATCCTGCACCGCTTCAAAGCCTTGGGAAACGTTGGTATTTACAGGAGAGTCATCATTCCAGGGATTCTTGGGTGTTGCGGGGTTTCCTCCACCCACTTCTCATGCCGGGATCCACGGCGGGCCTCCAGTGCGGGAGGTCCAGAAAGACCACCATCTGCAAGCCTTGATCTCAAAGCCCGGTGGGGCGTTCAGCTACAAATGTCTTCTACAACGTGTGTTCTTGTACCCTGTTGGGGGGGGGGGGTAAATTCAAAGGAAACCACTCGTTTTTGGCTGTCGGCTGTTTGGAGACAGACACAGATATACCCGTCCTCCGTCTTGATAATTTGTCATGCTCACGGGGCGACGCCTCAAACCGCGGCCTTTGAATTTTGTTCCCTTTTCAGCCAGCCCAAGAGGTACAGTTTGAACGCCACTCGGTGGCCGCACCCGGATCGATGCACACGTACGTGCGCAGGTGGCTGGAGAGCCAGAGGCGAAGTGATCCGTGTAGCCACCTCAGCCAGGGGACCCTCGGCATAGAACAATTGCGCACATCTGAATTTGAGAAATATGTGTGAGGAGAGGTTTTGGTCTGCCTGCCTGCACCGCTGGTTCGGCAAACCACAATACTCATGTCTCTTATTGACCTGTGATGAGTAAGCCCTATTTCGAAAAGCAACTTCGTCATTGCACGCAGTAGGATACCGGATATCGGGCATTGTTCACGCGGTTGCTGCGGCATGTCCCAAGCACCCCACAGTCATCCCGGAAGCATCCGTCAGTGATGCCGAAGGCAGCTAGATTCACAAAGACCTCAATGACCGACAGCGGAGCTACGGCTTGCGCCGGTGAGCAAATGAACACTATGCTGACTTGACTTCCATCCAAGCACTGCATGGACAACCACGAAAGACTCAACACGGGAATGGCCGGGTGATTGTAACATCAGTCAGGCGGTGCAAACATGCACAGGTGACATCATGTTTCCGGTCTCCCCAGGCTGCCCGGCCCCAGCACCCGCCACTCCACGGATCGTCTGCGCATGGCCGATGCAGTCGGGCCTCAGAGGCCCAGCTGGGAGGTTTGTGAGCAGACTCGGGCGCCGAATTCATTCTTGCTCAAGCATGTTTAAACTTTAAACAGCTTCCCAAGGAGGGATGCTGGTGTTCACTCACCGTGGCGCCCGCCATCGGAGTTTCTCGGGCTCATCCTCGGAGCAGCCTCGTAAGCGGCAGCTTGAACGCACGGCCACGGCGATCGGCCGGAATACGGCACATACCCCTGACAGGAGAGGTTTTTATTAGAACCTTCCTAGAAGTGGCACTTAGATTAGAACCCTTCTGGGGTGGTGCTATTTTTGTGTTTGTGGCTGCAGCATTTGGTTCAGAAGGGCTCACCTTTGTTTGCAGGTTTTGTTCATTTCTTGCCATGCCAGAATCGGCCACATACAATTCAATATTCTTCCTGTTCATCTGGGCTCCACTCAAAAACCCATCAAGAATCCCAGAAGGATTCCTGAACATCTCACCAGAAATCAGGGCATCAACCAAAAAAACGGCGCTTGCGAACCTCTCGCTGTGATCAGCATTCAGCAAGCCGGCGCACCTTGCACAGTCCATGTGCCGATCCGTGCTGGGGCCCCAGCTGTTGACCTTGCAGCCTGTGCCAAGGGGCTCATCTGTTGGAGCTCTTCAATAGCAGACAAGCAAAACAAACAGAGACCGAAGACAGGTGCCTTTGTGTCAAAATAGGGGGACTCCCAAAATGGGTGGTTTCATTGGGCGTTCCCTTTAAAACAACCCCAAATGGGTAATTCCGCACACCTGGTGGTTGTCACCAGCGCCTGCGGGCAGCTCAAGCACCTGCACCTCCCAGCCCTTCGAGAGGTCCCGGTACAGCACCTGCCGACCGAATGGGCCGCGGAAGTCCCGTGGTGCGACGCCGCTTCCGTGATTTTGGTGCTGTAATACGCGGAAAGGCGCATCTGCGAGTGTGTGTGTGTGTGTATCCCACCAGCTTTATTGGGAGATCACCGGGTTGTTCTTGTCTTTAGCTGTTCGGCTTCTCCATTCATGCAAAGAGTTGCTCCAAGATACAAGACGGTTGACTCCTGGTACCCCCACTGTCTCCATACTGTTCCCCCCACTTGCTTGTGCTTGATGATGGCTTGTCTCTCCACTTGTCTTCCACTTGTCTCCCCACTTGTCTCCCCACTTGTCTCCCCACTTGTCTCCCCACTTGTCTCCCACTTGTCTACCTGCTCGCGCTTGCTGACTTGGACCTTGTGACGGCTTGCCTCCCCACTTGTCTCCCCCACTTGTTCCCCCTCTTGCGTCTCCCTGCTTGTGTTCCTGCTTGTGCTGCGTGACTCGGATACTTACCTTATACTTGCGCTTCTCTTGAAACCAACCGCTGGCCCACTTTTATGAAAAAACAAAAGGAGGTTGTGTAAGCAATAGTGGCTTTTTAGTATGTTAAAACAAAGTGTTGGCCCAACCCTGGATCAAATCCTTTGGTACTCCAAGATTCTGTCAGACACCTAAAGCCGGTGAGTGGAAAAGCCATGGGTCAGTTCGCCTGTGAGACAGGCAGCGAATTCCACAAAGGGGCCCGCGAATTCTAATTCTGCCTTCGGTCACACATTTATTCAAGCTGGTTAGGGTGATCCTATTCTATATCAGATCACAGCAGGATTTACAACTCCCGCAGCTTCTTGACATAAGACTTTGTTCACTGATAGGCCTCACCGTGCCAGTATCAGAGTTGAGTCAACCGCGTCATCTCCGAAAACAAACATTCACGTCAAAATGGCAGGGAGAACCAGTGCTTCACAAGTCAGCGGCGTTGCCGACGCTACGAACACCAAACAACACCCAGCTGCATCATTTGCAATCAACGCCGCGACGTGACGACAAAGTGTAGGCTAGGCCAGGATTTTCCTCTTTAGACTACCTTTTTGGAAGAACGGTATCCTTGCCCCCCCCTCCCCCCTTTAAAGCAAACATGTGTTCGGGCTTCCCTGCCCCCCCAAAAAACGCCTCCGGGTTTGAGGTATGGCACCCGAACGCCCGATGACTTCACCAAACCTCTAGCCCGCTCCCTCTGGCCTGAGAGGTGCCGGCCTGTCATTTGGCCACTTTCACGCAGGCACCCCAAAGGTTTGGCTCGGGGCGGTGGACGGGTTCCGCCGAACTATTAATCCTTGACTCGGAACTCTGGGTCATCAAATTGCTTCAGGTGATGGGACAAATGGCAAAACAGTGTTGGCAAGTGGCTCCAGAGTGATTCACTCCAGTTTGGATCTTGCACCAAGGCTTCCATCAAGAGCTCCAGCCAACAGTCTGATCCGAGTCAGGAGCCAGTTCGATGAACTCAAAACTCCGCCATCAGGAAAACATCCCCAGATTTGGTGTGCCAGCTTTTTACTGCGCTGATTTTCGACAAGTTAAGTTTGCTTGAAATTGTTGAGGCTAGGCTTTTAGCTCTTCAAGGGGCTAGCTGAATCTTGGGCACGGGATGGTATTGGGTTGCTGTAGGTTTGAATGTGCATAGAGGAAGTCCTGAGCAGTACAGTAGAGCCTCCGCTAAGGCTGTCAGGGGCCATCGGGAAGAGCTGCAAGAGTGGCTTGCCGAATTCCACAAATCCCAGCTTTAAAGCTGAAAGCGGAGTCCAACTGATGAAAGCCAAGCACCTTTTGGAGTTTTGCCGCAAAGTCAAAAAGGCTGGGTGTCCCCGCGCCGGTGGCATCCCTGGATACCACTGCCTGGGCCAAAGCACGTTTCTGGAGGTCTGGCAACCCCAATACGAATGAAAACAGAAAACATACAAAACGCGAGGGACGGTAAAGGCTGCCCCCTGCTCCACATGGGACCATCCCGCAAACAGCCAGTTCTGGGGGGACTAGAGCACACTCCAGCTACCGGTTTCCAAATTTGGCAGACTGTGACTTTCAGGACAAGAGCTGCAGGCAGAGCTCGAGATTAAAGTGCACACCCCTTTGCTTGGGGGGCTTGCCTTCTTTGCTGGCCGCCTTGATGCGCTGACACAAGCTCACGGGATGCAGCAGTCAATGTGATAAATCACCATTACCTATGAAAGGTAGTTGAGCTCCTGCGACATCGGCGGTTTCACCTTTTGGCTGGGTGCGTGATTCAGCTTGAAGCAGCAGCCCCGCCTGCAGGTGCAACTGCTGCACCCCCTCCTTCCTCACCAGACGCAGGAGGTCCAACAGCACCACCTTACAAGCAGGACGTGCCGCGAGAAGTCGAAGCGCGTTAGGGCTATCTTCAAAGCTCGTCTGGGATGTGGCAGCACAGTTGCAACCTGCGAAACTTGTTTCACTAATCTTGCACCATGCTCTGATAGTCAACTACGGCTTCACAACGGCAAGCCTCTTGCCACAGCTCATCGCTGCCCTCCTGCGCAGCACCGGGCAAACCAACCAAGAACAAACAACACAAACAAGAACAAGGACAAGAACAAGAACGCGGAAACGCGGAAACAAGGAAACAAGGAAAAGAACAATAACCCGACCACCAGCACCACCACCACCGCCACCACCACCACCACCACCACAACAACAAACCACAACCACAACCACAACCACAACCACAACGACAACAACGACAACAACGACAACAACGACAACAACGACAACAACGACAACAACGACAACGACGACAACGACGACGACAACGACTACAACGACAACGACAACAACAACGACGACAACAACAACAACAACAACGACAACGACAACGACAACGACAACGACAACGACAACGACAACGACAACAACAACAACAACAACAACAACAACAACAACAACAACAACAACAACAACAACAACAACAACAACAACACAACAACAACAACAACAACAACAACAACAACAACAACAACAACAACAACAACAACAACAACAACAACAACAACAACAACAACAACAACAGCAGCAACAACGGCAACAACGGCAACAACGGCAACAACGGCAACAACGGCAACAACGGCAACAACGGCAACAACGCAACCAATGCAGCAACAAGAAGAAGATGAAGAACCAAAAAAGGAAGACAACCAAGAACGACAGCAGCAACAAGAGGTCACACAAAGCACGCCACATTGGAAGAAGCTCGGTCCTTTGCCTTTAGCAATTGTTTATCCGGTATTGGAATCGACTGACTGCTGACCCCTGCAGAAGAAACATGTCATTTGCATGTTTCATGTAATTCTGCCACTTGGCGGCGTCCGACCCCCGTCTGGGTTGGCTTTCAACAAAGGAACACAAACTAGGATGTTCAGAGACGCTCAAATGTGGAAGCACCGTCTTGCTGAATGTTCGAAGGCCACGAACCTGCAGCGCCGACCATTCGGCGAAGCAGCCCGCCTTTTTCGTATTCGTTCAGCCGCCTCATTCCTGGGAACACTACACATACTTATACTATACTTGCTTAGTTGGGCAACCACCAATCCTTGACCAACCACCTCATTCTTGGGAAACAAATTGGTTGCTTGCTTGGTGGTTGGGAAAGACCCCTTTTCCCAGGACCACTGGGCCTGCCGCACCCGCAGCCGCTGGCCCTTCGCCAGCTCTCCGCCTGGAACGTTCGACCATCCGAACTGGATTCTGTCCAGGGATATGGAAATGGGCAAAACAGAAGGATAATTCATCCTTGGTTTCCAAAAGTGATGATGCAATTATACACGCCATGCTGGGAGCCGACTGGTTACCCGGGTGTGTTCAGAAAAAGTAAGGCCACTTTAGGGATGTCTGTCAATGAGTGCGCGCCTTATACAGAAGGAATCAAAAGCTCTAATGAAAGTCTTGCCCAAACTTGAAAAATGCGATGGCGCGGGGAAAGAGACCGTGTGCAGAAAGCCTGACATGGCGCTGCATTCTTGACTCCCCTGCAAATGAGCAAAGTCAGACCTGGCAACCTCTTCGTCTTCACTGACTGGCAACAGCTCACTACATGCGCTGCGCAAACACTAACAGCTGAAAATATGAGATGTTGCTGCAGGGGCGCGCACAGCCCTCCAGTACAAACCAGCCAGTGATCAAACAGTGTGTTGTTAGTGCAGCGTCCTCAATGTTCCCTTTAACTGGCAGTCCAACGAAGCACGCATCTTGTCACGCAGCGTGCCTGTCAAGCCCCAAACCCGGCCAGCGTGCTGTCCGCACTTCCCAACTCTTCAGCTCCACAAATTCGAGGGTCATGGTCGACATCCAGAATTTGACATCCTCCAATCCGACATGGAGGAGCCTCTATGCAAAGCCTTTCAAAGGGCCTTCTGTCAGAGTGCATGTAGAGCAAGGCTTGCCATCAGCTGATTCTGAGTCTCCTTCCAACAAATCCATGGTCCCCTCGGTAACAACCCATGTTCCTCTGGAGGCTATTAGGGTACATCCTATCTTTTATTCTTTGGACCTGATTTTTTAGTATGGTTTCCAAAGGTAACCCGAAAGAAAACCACCTCCACGAGTCCAATGAGCCGATCCACCGCGAGAGATCGATCCCAATGAGCTTCTATGGCTCCAGCCTGCGCGCCAGGAGCCGCAGCACCTCTCTGGTCCTGCAAGGTCCCCGTCAGCTTCCATGAGGCCACACTACATTGTGATATCTTCGAGTTTTCAGGTGCCACATGCCACAACATGCCACCCCATGCCACAACCCCATTCAAATTATTTAGGCAACTTGAGTTGTTTCCATGTGGGAGGCCCATGTCCGCGCATCATTCAGCGGTTGAAAAGAGGTCCTGTGGCAGTCCGCGTCTCTCGGCCCTGCTGCTTGGACTGCAGCTTCTTCAGCACTGACCTGTGCAAAGAAGAAGCAGCTAACGCGATGCATGCCGTTCATCCAAAAGACGTTGGAAACGGAGGGGGGTGTTTCTACATTCCATACAACATCCATTGAAATTGGACAAAGTCTAGACAGCTGTCTCGTTTTTGGAGGGTACCCTTTGTGGCTGTAAAAGGAAACCTGAGCAAAACCATCTATTTTGGTCCATTCTGGGCTTCCCTTCTTCCACCCAGACTACCAGAAAGAGGGTTACATTCTTAATTGGCTCCTCACGTCCGCCCATGTCCATCGCCAGAGCTTCTTCAAAAGCGGCAACACGGCGCGCAAAGCCACGTGACTCGGCGGTCAGCTCTCGGTTGCTTCCCAGCACAGGCGGCCACCAAACCGAAGCCGATCGACTCGGACAAGGCACTCCAGGCGCTGCAGGGTTCGCACCTATCGGAGCAGCCGGAGCCGGAAAACCCGCGCTGGGAGGGGTATGGCAATTTGGGGTCAACGGAAGTGGTGCTCCCTTCAAGACTCAGCTGTGAAGCTGGGTGGGAAAACCCATCGACTTTGGGTTGTGCGAACATAATTCAAGTTATAAAGGCTTACATAGGCCCTGCTATAACCCCCATCAAACCAAGTATCCAGGGAAACAAGCAGGTGTTTTTGCGGGGAGCCCCAACCATTAATCCCCTGAAAATTGGGGTCACCTGTCTGTACGTGGGGTGTGTAAGTGGCATTCACAAAGTTACTAACTACCCTTGGCTTTAAAATGGAGAACAAAGGCAAGCTAACACAATTCCGTGCCATTTCGCAACCAGCCAGCCAGCCAGCCAGCCAGCCACCCAACAAACCAACCAACCAACCAACCAACCAACCAACCAACCAACCAACCAACCAACCAACCAACCAATCGGCGCTTGTATGGGAAACAAATTCACAATGGTCGGGTCAGAGTCGCAACCTTGCACTAGAGGAAGCTGCCAAAAGCCATGTAAAGAATCCAAAGAATGGCTGCTTCTACTTCGAGGGAATGCCCTACTAAGTTACTACCATCCGATTACCAGGATTTTGATTGTGACTTAGGGCAGTGTCCAACATCAAGGCCTCTAAGAGACCCTTCCACTCTGGAGCCAAAATCTGAGCAGAGACCCCTGCAGCTTTCAGCTTGCGAAAAAAACCCAAACCCTACACTTAGGTGGCTTCTAAATCCTCTTGAGACAACAAAAGAAAGAAAGGAAAGAGATGCAAGACCAAACAAACAGAAACCAAACCCCACACCTCAAACCCTAAGACCATAAGTGGTTTGCTATGTTTTGCTGGACCCCCCCACCACAGCCCCAACCCTCCCCTTTGGCCCTGCGCCTGGGCCTCGCTCTTGGCCTTGGCCGCCAGCTCCGGCGCCAACGCCGGCTCCGCCGCGCGGCGCCGCAGCGCGGCCAGCGACAGCGCCTGGGGGAAGTCCCAGGCGCTGTAAGTGCCAGGGGTTCAGAGCTTTCCCCACAAAAAGCAAAACAAACATGCCAAAAATAACTCGTTTTGTTTACTTGTCCCAAGCCTTCTGGTCCCCCACAGGCTGTCCTCCACATATGTTCCCCCCGTTTTTTCCCCGTCTTTGGCACGTCTTCCCTCTCCTCCAGGCCGTTGGCGTCCAGCTCGCGCTCCACGGCGCCCGGCCGCAGCTCGGGCTCTGGGAACGGGGAGAACCCCACCCCCCGAGAACGAAGGGGGTGAAGGGGGGAATCACGAGGGGAAGGGAGGGGGAAGGGAAGGGGGAAGGGGAAGGGAAGGGGAAGGAAGGGAAAGGGAAGGGGGAAGGAAGGGGGAAGGGGGAAGGGGGAAGGGGGAAGGGGGAAGGGAAGGGGGGGGGGGGAAGGGGAAGGGGAAGGGAAGGGGGAGACAAATGTGTTTTGCCATGTTGGAGGGGTTGGAGGATGGGTGTCAGTTGGTTGGAAAAGCTCTTTGGTTGCCTCAGCCGGTACCCTCAACACAAAACATACCCAAGCCAGCTGAAAGCAATTTGGCGTAGTGGCAAGGACTTTCTTTTGGAGGATCCTGGTGTTCGTTGTTGAAAGGAGAAGCAAACAAAACCTAGCAAACAAAACCTAACAAACCGTTTTGCAGGACGTGCTTCCTGTAGCCTAGCGAAATCCCCTTGCTGGATGCTGAAGCGGAAACAAACACAACACAAAACAGCCATGCTAACGTTGGTAGCCGAAAGGAGAACTTTCAAACAATCACTATGTTGGATTAATATGTGATGTGGAACGGGGAATGCGTACTTCTAAGATGAGACCCTATAGGCTGATAGGGGAATCCTCCCGTTGGTTGAGTGAAGCGAGAGGCAAAGTACAAAATGGAGGACACCGAGAACAAAATACGCAGCTTTGTTGGTAGCTTGACAGGAGAACCAAAAACCAAAAGAGCCATTGGAGCTGGTTGGTTGAAAGAAACAAAAAATGTCGAACCATGCTGGTGCTTTAGTTCGGGGTTGGGGTAGAAATGAGGGGCCGGGCCCTGAAAATGGTCGGCAATACAGTGCTTGTGATCTCTGCCATTGTTTAAAATGTGACAAGTAGGTACCAGCAAGAAACAAGAAGCACACGGTCATTTCCATTGTTTCCAAACATCCTGTCAACACCCAGGGAGGGTGGAGATGGACCCAGTAGCAGCTATTTCGGGAAGAACACCTAACAAACACTAGTGAACGCTATGGTATCAAGCACAGTTGGTTCTTGTTGCTTGCTTGTTGGCATGAGCCTCACCTCGTACCACCATTTTCAAGCACCAAATGATCAGAGAATTGCAGTGCTATCCAGTCCTTCGCCCGTTTGCGTCGGTGGAATCCAGATACGAAAACAACCTTGGAAAAGTCTTAGAAAGTAACTGGCCGTCTGGTGGGGCAGGGTCCAAGGTGTGCACTTCCACTCTTACATCATTGGAATACCTCCCCGCCCGCCTAAGAAGATGCTGCAGGCCTTCCCCCTTCCGCTGGGTCCTGTGCCAAACCAATCGATTGTCACTATCTTACCGTCAGAGCTTTGGCAGGGCCAAGCGAAAGGCCCTTTCTCAATTCGCCTCGGCCCCAAAGGGGCCAAGGGCGCTCAGATCTCTTCTCCAAAGAGAATCTTCGCTTTTCCCCTCCCCCAACCCCCTCCCCAACCAAAATTTTGCCGGGCCGCCCCCCCCCCCCACCCCCCCCCACCCATGTCGGCTGGCCCAAAATCCTGTCCGGCGGGCCTTGAAATTTTCGGGGTTCGTCGGCGTCCAGCTCCATGGGTCCAAAAATGTGCTGACAATTCCAAAAAAGGCCTGAACCACCAAGCACGGCCCCAAGTCATCCAGCAAGCCCAGCCCAGCCCAGGCCCACTAGGCCGGCCCAGCTGCCCACCAGCAGTCAGCGCACGGTTTGTCTCTGCCAGACTGGTCTCAAGCTATGCCAGTCCGGCTAAGCAGCTCAGCCCAGGCTGGCCAGGCCTTGGTCTGGCCCCAAGTCGTCCAGCAGCCCCCTGAGACTGGTCTCAAAGTATGCCAGCCTGAGACTAGTTTCAGCCCAGTTCCTCAGCCCGCCTGCTGGCGTGTCTTACTGGCCTCAGGCCCAGCCCAGCCAGCAACTCGCCACCCAGCCTCAGGCCCAAGTGTGTATGAAACAGGCCTTTCCCATCCAGCAACCTGCCCAAGCACAGCTCAGCCCAGCCCGCCCAAGTTCCAGGCGCAACCAGCAGCGTAGTCCGGCCGCCCGGCAGCCAGCAACCCACCCATGGCTTCGCAGCCTCGTGGCTGAGACTAGCTTCAGGCCCAGCCCAACCAGCAACCCACAAGGCCCCGGCGCATCTGAGAGCATGCCAGCCACTAGGCCGGCCCCCAGCTCCCAGCCCACCAGCAGGCTCAGCCCAGCGTGCCAAGGTCAGGTTTGTCTAACGTGCCGACCAGTCTCACGTGTCTGAGACTGGTCTCAAGCTACGCCAGCTACCAAGCCTGTCTGACGTGCTTCAGCCCCCCGGCCCCAAGTCATCCAGCAGGCCCAGCCCCTTCGGCGTCTCAAGGTATGCCAGCCTGAGACTAGCCTCAGGCCCAGTCCCTCAGCCCGCCTGCTGGCGTGTCTATTGGGGATATTTTTCCGGGGTACTTAAGCAAATGGAGGTTTGTATTCCCACCATGTACCTGTCTTGGGCTGAGCAACCGAGCAAGAAATGTATGTCATGGCAAGCCGCCAGCCACGTGAAATGGAGGTGCCAAACACCCAAAGTTGGTCTTGGTTGTTCAGTGACACCAATTATTGTTCCCCTTTTTATGGAGGCCAAGCCCCACTAAAAATGCTCATCCCCAGAAAGAGGTCCTTTTTTTTCCAAGGGCACTGAGCAGCTGAGATAGTCTTGGTTTTGGATTTCAAACCTTCCGAGCAGGACGGCTTCCGAACATCGAACTAGCACGGGCGAACTGGTGCGGTCAACAAGCTTTCAATAGGATTCGGACCTTCCCAACACTGGATTTCGGTGTTCCTGACCCTTCCCTCAAACTAGGCTTGGGCCGAGGCGGGCAACGCGAAGCGTTTACAATTTACCCCTACGGTCTAAACACTTGGAGTGGCAATCCATTCGAAGGCCTCGAGCACCAACGAAAGCTCGCAAATAGGGACCATCGTTTCGAGCCCCGCATGTCGCACTTGCTTGTAACGCCTCGAAGCCAACGATGTCACATGGCAGTGTCACAGAAGCCCATGGTCACAGTGCCTTGAGTTGTGAGTGACAATGCAAGCACCAACACCAGCAACACACAAAAGCTCCACGACACCTCAAACCGGCCCATGCTTGGCTTCACGCAGGCAAGGGGCGCAGGGGGCTCTGGTCAAGCCGTATCCAGAGCCAACGCATAGGGGGCACATAAACATAGAAGCTGACAGGATTCGGGAAGACTACATTCCTTGTTACAGCATCGTGAAGCCTGTGAGGCACAGACTGTTCTTGGCCAGCCAAACGACTGTGTTCCAGATGTTCAAACCGCTCCCCGGAAAGGGTACCAACCAAAAAAAAACAAGTATCCCACGAGCAAGATGGAATGTTCAATGTTCCCCAAGAGGATGTGGAATTGGAAGGGTCCCCTGCATCACTTCTAGAGCAGGGTTACTCAATTTTGGTCAGTTGACGTCAGGCTGGCAACCAATTGGGTTGGTCCCCTGGCTGGGACACTCGGGTCGGGTCGTTTGCCCTCCACCAGACCGTCGGCTCTCCTGGCAGCCATTGCTCTCCTTGCTGCTCAGCAGCGGCGGGCTCCTGGCACAACGATTTGGAGAAGCCTTTGAAAGGAAACCGAATGAAATCCGGCACGCATTTAATTTGGGGCCTCCATACTTGGCGACAAGTCCATATCGCTCTGTTGACAAACAAATCCAGAAGGTATGGAGCTTGGAAGAACGATTACGAGCTGCACGAGAAACTAATGGCAAATAAGCATGGACACCTGCAAAGCTGATACCTAAAAATACTTGTGACCATTTGAAGCTCCATATTTTGAAGCTGGCTTTCGATATTCATCTTGATGCGAGTGTCAAGTTCAATAACCCCAGAATCTGTGCCCGGGTCAAAATATGCTGCTTCCGTCATGGACATAAAGCATTTCCCAGGTTCTGTGTTCCCTGTCTGTGGATAAAATCCAGTGAGCCTCCAAGTTTGCCCTTTTCAAACTGACCACAAATGAAACTACCCTTCCTCTCGCTAAGACAGCGTTTGTGGGAGTGTACCTGGAAGATCAATTTCGTCTTTAAGGCACCCTCTGTCAGGTGCCATGTTAGAGGGTAAGCATCTTGACCGAACCAGTCGGCAGATTGTCTCGTCCTGCAGCTCCGGCGGCTCCACGCACCCTGCGCTTGCTTCCAGGGCCTGGCTTCAGCCAGCGGTCTAAGCACCACGTTGTTGGTTGCCTGACCATTGCGTTCTAAGTACAGGCGGACTCAAATGCCTACATTCCAACCATGCGGAAAGCAACGCGAAAGGAGAAGCCGCCAAGTTCCACGTTGGAAATACGTGAGCCACCTTTGGGTTCTTGCGTCCTTTTGCGGGTGACCAATACATGCAAGCTAGTCCAAGTGGTTGGTTTACAGCCATTTAAAAAGGGTTTCCCATTTCACACCCAAAATGCCAAAGTGTAAGGACTTTGTCGCGAGCAGCCCGTGACCCTTGCCAACAAGTGTCTTCACGTGCTGACCAGAAGCTGTGGAGTTCCGTGAAAAACCAACACTTCGGAAGTGATATGCAAGTACCTCTCTCAACTGAAGGTGACTCACCAGCACGTTGACAACGAGACTGGTAAGTTGGGAGGCGTAACGCCCGGAAAGGACACCCAACTTCGCGCTTATGCCAGACCTTTGGAAAGCTTTCGGAGATCAACCACCATTCACCTTGATTATTGGTTTGCTTTGCAAAAAAAAACACTCCCGCCAACAGGTTCCAAAACAACGATGGGCAAGCTGAAACCCAGAACCATGTGACTCCATGGGCTTTCCCCAACCTTCGTGGAGACTTCTCAAAATATGGCCCGATAAAAAAAATCCTTCGGCTCCCTTTCAAATCCTTTCAACTTGCCCAGCAGCTACAGAAAAATAAAGCATAAACCATTTTCTGTGGTTTCCTTTAAGGGAATCAATCCCCTTCCGGTGCATTCCCAAAACCTTGGGCCGTTCCCTATGGCACCAACGTCACCCTCCCACGCCTCGGCTGCCAGGCCGCTCAGCGCTTTGGCGCCCCGGCCGTTGGGCTGCCGCAGCCACGCGGCCACCGCGGGGGCGGCGCGCGCCGGGCTCGCGCAGTGGCCTACACGGAGACTGGAAACAAATCCGGTCTCAAAGCTGGGCCCGTGTTCTGATCCCCTGCCAAAAGCGACTAACTCTTAGTGGCTTTGGAAAATACCACTAAACGGTGAAAAAGCTGAAGAAGCTGCAAAGCTAAGGGGATGGCTGCGAGCCACCAAGAAAATGGAGGGCACTTTAGGGGAATGATTTGAAAAGGGGGGGCAAAATGCAACCACCCACCTGGAGGGGTCCAGTGTCCAGTAGATTTGAACTCTACCCAAAAAACTGCATGCGGTCCGCATCCACCAAACTGTCACTTGTCAAACAAACAAGGACTGTATTTGCTTTAGCTAGTCTAATGACTATGCTATTTGCTGGTCCACCTCCCAGGGTCAAACGCATGTCAACATACGTGTATATATATATATATATATTAATACATCCACGCCCGCGGATTGTCCTGCTAAATCTCTGCTTACACCAGTCAATCCATGCCACGCAGCAGCATTGAACTTTTGAATCATTAAATCTCACAGTTGCACTTTCCTAGAATCTCAGCCTCGGGCAGCTTTGAAGCATCCACGGAACCAAGAGCCGAGATTGCTGGCACTCTCCAAGCAACCAGATGTTGGCTTCGGTAGGCTCCGAGCCACCCACAAAAAGCTGCAAAGTACGCCGTTGCCAATCCGTCGAAGGGAGCATAAATTGCATTAGACATCTATAATATGTATGCAAAACGATAAGCATCTATTGTACATACAATACGCATATTCACAAGTTGTGACGCGCATCGTTTACGGACTGTACACATCTCGCCAAACAAAACACAAACAGGACAAAACCAAAAACACCTTCAAACGGAAAGAGGAATACATCCGAACAAAACCAAACCAAAGGGAAGACTCGCGCCTGCAAGCTGCGCCAGCGCCAGCTGCAGAGCCTCCTCGCTGAGCAGCTCGGGGGCCCGCAGCGGCTGGCAGCACCTGGCACTTGCCACGCCCCAGGCCGCGCTGGGCGGTGGTTTTTGGGCGCGGCTTTGGCGGCTTTGGTGATGGGCGGTTTTGGGCGGTTTTGGGCGGTTTTGGGCGGTTTTGGGCTTTGGTGGTGCTCCCTGTGGAATCTTGACTTTGGCACTGCGCTGTACAAAAGCTGTCGTAATCCAAGATCGGGATGCAGAACTGAGCTCCATCCCTGCCACGGATAGAGCGGCCGTTGTTCAACAGCTGCGGCATGTGTTATCCACTCCCTCGTCTTTCAATGATTGTCAATGTGGTTCCTACCTATTGAAGATGAGGCCTCAAACGGCTTTGCTCGCTCCAGACTGGCGTTTTTGCCGGACCTCCCCTGCACATCGGAGCTCCTGCCTCTCCTCGGAAAACCCGCCATGCCAGCAGCTGTCTTGATGTTCTCCCACGCTGCAACAGGCTGCGAAGGTGAACATCTGCCTCAGCTGTCGCTGACTTAACATGTGCAAGGGACCCCTCACTTTCTAAACAGTTGTTGTCATTTGAACGGCAAAGTAGAAGCACGTCTACACCCTGGAATGATATCTACAACCTGCGTCTGAAATCGGAAGAGCCATTGCCAGAGTTGTGTAACCAGCATCTCAACATTGGCTAAAAAAGGCAACGTTCAAAAACGTCGCAAAACGTGAGACCCAGATTTGGCCATTCAAACTCCACAAGCAAACAAAAAGAGCAACAACACCCGACCCCACTTCCAAACTTCCCTTCCCCCCCTTCACCCGAGAAAACCCCTTCCGTTTCTCTCTGGTTCCGCCACCCGGCTTCGACCGGTGGGGCCGATCGCTTCGCGGGACGTTCCTTTACGCCGCGGGGCCCGTCCCAGCAGCTCCCCGGGTCGAGGCTGCTGAAGCCCAGGGCCCGCAGCAGCGCCTCGTGCGAGCGCGCCAGGCGCTGCAGCCACACCTGAAGGGTGGGGAGTGGGCTGGGCTGGGGCAGGCTAAGGCTAATGTTGTTTTTGATTTTATTCTATTTTTGTGCTTTTTACGTTTATAATAGGAATTATATGAATTACTTCACAGCCAATTTAATTCATATAATTCGCCTCGGCCCCAAGGGGGCCATCTCGTTTCCCCCCAACTTTCCCGCCCCAAAACTTGTGTAGATCCTGTCCGGTGGGCCTTGAAGTTTTCGGGAGGTAGCCTCACAGCCCAGCCCAACCAGCAACCCACCCAAGCAATGGCCCAGCCCAGCCCAGGCCCCAGCCAGGCCCGCCAACCAGCGCCGTCCAGCTGCCTAGTTTGAGACAACCCACCGAAGCTCAGACAAGCCTTCTCTCAACCTGGCATGTCTGAGACCAGACTCACGTGTCTGAGACTAGCCTCGGGAACCAGCAACCACCCAAGCAACTCCTCCACCAACCAACCCCAGCCCAGCTCGCCCTGTCTGCTGGCTCCATGACTCACTCCTGGTCCTGTGCATCGCCTTGCCCTTGCCTCGCGATTCCTGTGGGCCCATGACATCAATTGGTCCAACGACACCAAAACCTGTCCATGCCTGAATCGCCACTTGACCAGCTCTGCTGCTTGCCGTCGAACCACGGACGCTGCGCGCTCGGCTGGGCCGAGGCGGGCAACGTGCAGCGTTTACAAACTAGAATAGCGGGTGGGGTGGGGTGGGGTGGGGTAGGGTGGGGAGGGGGGAGACTTTTTCGATTTTGCAGCCTGGAACCTCAACAAAAGCAACACCTTCCAGAGGGGGAGGTTGCCAAATTGACCCAAAGTGTCCATCATACAGCGGGGGGTCAAATTCCACTCCCGCAGCCTGACAGGCAAGGGACAATGAAATGGATCTTGGTGCCATTGGACACGTATCTGAAGAGGCGAGTGGGGGGAAGGTCAGCAAATTCCATTTGTCTAGTCTGCCCACAAAGGATGAAATGGAACCATCAATGGAATTGGCGGCCACAATCAAGACCAATTGAGCGAGCCCAAAATCCACGTCTTGGCATAGGTGCGAATATCCTGCGCTTTGATTCTGTTGGGCTTTGGGTAGACAATTTGAATAGCAGCTTCTAATCATGACTCATACCCTGGGCGTGTACACGAAGTTGATGCAAAAGAACGCAACAACTACATACTGATATGGCCTTTATATGGCTATGTCTTGGAGGCATTGGTGGTCAACCTGTTCAACCTGTACCCAAACTAGAAGCGAAACAGGCATGAAGGTGGATATGATAGGAAGTGCAATATTCATGAACTCAAAATGGTTGGTGACACAGCTTCAAAACATGTTGAAATATGTCCACCAAACGTTTGCGAGGATGCTCCCCAGTAAAATTCATGGCCATATGCAAATGTTTAGTCCTCATGCCTCCTGTCAGAATGAAGGCTGGATCGGACGAGCCCTGCATCCCCGATCAGCCCTGACGACACCCAGCCTCGTGTCTCGCAGAGGAGTGGCCTTCAATCATAAGCCTGGCACAGAGCAAGGAAGTCCAATTGCCGGATGCAATTTCGGGCACGACAAATCTGGCATGACTTTGTGGTCGCATGGGCTGCTCACGGCGCGAACACCCCATTATTATCATTATGACTATTATTATTGTTGCTATTATTATTATTTATTATTATTATTATTATTTATCATTATTATTATTGTTGTTGTTGTTATTATTATTATTATTATTACTATTATTATTAATTTTATTATTATTATTATTATTATAATTATTATTATTATTATTATTATTATTATTATTATTATTATTATTATTATTATTATTATTACTGTTATTATTATTATTATTATTATTATTATTATTATTATTATTATTATTATTATTATTATTATTATTATTTTTATTATTATTATTATTATTATTATTATTATTATTATTATTATTATTATTATTATTATTATTATTATTATTATTATTATTATTATTATTATTATTATTATTATTATTATTATTATTATTATTATTATTATTATTATTATTATTATTATTATTATTATTATTATTATTATTATTATTATTATTATTATTATTATTATGTTATTATTATTATTATTATTATTATTATTATTATTATTATTATTATTATTATTATTATTATTATTATTATATTATTATTATTATTATTATTATTATTATTATTATTATTATTATTATTATTATTATTATTATTATTATTATTATTATTGTTATTGTTATTATTATTATTATTATTATTATTATTATTATTATTATTATTATTATTATTATTATTATTATTATTATTATTGTTATTGTTATTGTTATTGTTATTATTAGTATCATTATTATTATTGTTGTTGTTATTATTATTAGTATTATTATTACTATTATTAGTATTATTATTTTTATTTTTATTATTATTATTATTATTATTATTGTTATTATCATTGGAAGTTATTAATATTATGGGGAAAAAATAAAAGGGTTCATGGACACAACCGTGACGGGTTTCAGCTCCCTTTGCAAGAAAAACACAACAGAAACTCTTTTTTGCTGAAACGCACTAAAGATTTGGGGAAGCCGGTGACAGGCTCAAAGCGAAAAGGTCACCGAATCAGCCGAGCTACTCTTGTGTTGCCAAGTTTGCAGGAGAATCGTGTGGCTTCCAAGAGCTGTGAATGCTCGAAAAACCTAGGGAGACCTGGACCGCGATGAGGAGCGTGCTCCATCCAGGGCAAAAGAACCATCTGAGCCTTGTCAAAACTGCAGATCAGTAAGCAGCGGTGTAGAAGTCCAGTTATCAGGCCCAGTGAGCGGGTGTTCTTATTGTGGTCCCAGCGACATGAGTGAGCGTGCGGGAAGGGTGCTTTTCAGTGCTTCGAACAGCTTTCAGGGAGACGAGAGCGTATCTCAATGCAGGGGAGGTAGGGCAGCAGAAACGTTACTTAACATTTGCCCGCGTGGGTTCACTGCGGGTGCTGTTGCGAGGTACCCTTGTTGCAGGTGTGCTGTCAAAGAAAATAAAACGCACGTATGGTTTCCGGTCCAGCGGCAAAACCATGACATGAGGATCGAAGAAGCACTCGCCATTGCTTGTCCTGCTTGCTCAGCGTTGTCTTTTGTGCAAACGACGCGACAAAGACAAAAAAAAGGCTAGCTTACCAGGGCGAAACATCACCACTAACAAGATGCGCAGGCAAGCGCCAACATTGCGTGCCAGGGGCCATTTGCGGCTGCCTATGTTGCCTCCAAGAGCACTTGAACCCAGGGCAGTTCAAGTATTCAAACGAGGAACCCCTAGAATTTTGGGTCTTTTACTTTGGTGGGGGCAACCAACACGGAAGTCTTTGCATGCCGCACCCTCTGCCCATCGCCTCGCGGGTGCTGAAGCTCCGCTCTCCGTGCCGCTCTCCGGCGCGGAGACCTGCAAGGGATGGACAACAGCATGACCTGTTTGTTTTGCGCTCGTGGTCCCAAGGGCATGGCTCACTTCAGCTCTGAAGCTGTTATATCAGGCGTAAGCGGGCACTGGCTTGAGCTGCCTCGACCTCTGGAATCTATCTGAAGGGATGCCAAGTGTCGCAGGGTGGAGCTGCATGCAGCGCCAAGGAGTGCCGACTTTTGATGCCCCCCTGTTCACTTCTTCTGAATAGGTATCAACATGAACAAACACCCAAAATGGTGGCTTCCCTAGCCACCCCGAAAAGGGTACCCTCAAAATCAACGGACACAGGTCCCACAAGCCCCTCGCCTCCGTCGCCTCAACAGCGGCGTCCTGCGCCAGGCGCGCGGCGGCGCGGGCCGCGCAGAAGGCCCGCAGGGCGCCGAGTCCTGCGACGGTGCAGCCGGTCGCCAAGGGCCAAGGGGCGCCGATGGGCCGGCCATCTGGGAGGTTCTTGTTGGCTTCCCTTTGAACCAAAGGATCCACCCCCCTCCCCCCAGCACGCACCGAGATTTCCGGTGGGCAGGCAAACACAAGAAAGGGGCGGGCTCAGAAAGACACACCTGCCTATGCCAGAAGGATCAAAAAAAAGATGCATGTCAAGGGTGGATGATGGTTGATACGAAAGAGAGTACCCGCCTTGCTTGTTCCATGCCCCAACCTTTGTTGACGTCGTTGTTCCCATGTCCCAAACCCTAAATCGACACGGACCGGTTGACTGAGCCTTTGGATTCCCGCTAAAACCACTCAGCAAAAATACATCCTCAACAAAAGGCTCTCCGTCTGGCCTGGCATAGTGCCAAGTTGAGGCGTCAGCTTGGCGGCTGGCTCCTCGCATTTGCGGTCAACCCAAAATCTTGGAAGCGATTGCACGTTGAGACCATGTCTCCTGAGAGATTGGACTCCTTTTGAGGAAGGCCCGCCCCCCTCTTGCGGGTTTCTTCTTTCCACTTTCGCAAGCCACACCTTCCCCACCACCAACCGCGGCTCGGACAGCAGGATGGTGGTGGTGCCGTGGCTCGCGTGGGCCTGGCGAGCTTGCCTGGAGCCTTAAGCCTTGCCAGAGCTGAATCTCAGGTTTGGCACCCTTTGGGAGTTGAAGACCTTTTGGAAATCCCAGTCTTGGGGGTCCGCCATTTGGAATCAAACCTGTGCGTCTCCGCGAGAGCTCGGATGCACTAGACTGTGGCCCTTACCACGGGGCATGCCTCTTATTCCCTTGCCATTTTCCCACCTGGTCTGACAGCCAGGAAACAATAGAAACACACAAGTTTACCCACCACCCTGGGATCAGAACCTACCATGGCGTTGATATCAGGCGAACCCGTACGTGGAAAGCTAGGGCGGGCATTCGATAAAAATATTCCACCTGCTGCACATGCCACCAACTGCCACCATCACGATCGCTTGAGAGGTTCACCCCAAAAACTGGGTATCTCTCTGACTTCCATTCAAAGCCACCTCAAAAGGATACAGTACCCTCAAAAAGACACCCATGTGGTTTCTCAAGATTGCCGGCCCCATACATGGCCAAGAACACAAAAAATGACACCACACATCCCCGATGTGGCAGACACCCATGTCTGCTATATCTAGTTGCCTGCGTTTGCACCAGGGCGACACACGCGCACCTGGAAAGTCAGCTCGCACCGCAGCTGCACAGGCACCTGGCTGCGCGGCCTTGTCGTTTGTGGAGTCTCGGTGCTCCAAAAGGGCGTTGGGAAACCAAAGGCCCCTCCCGTCTTCTAGGAGTGCAACGAGCCTTGGGGAGTCTCCCCTTTGCCTGCCGCGTGCAACCGAGCACAATGTGCGTGCCACAACGTGCGTCCGGGGGCCTGTAGCTCTTTCGTTCGCTTCATCCAGAAACACTCATCCCTGCATAACCAAAGCCTGCCACTAAAAGGAGCTTACCCCAAAAGACATGCCAAGAATAAAAAGGGCGCCATCCTTTGGCTTTCCTTTTGGCTTGTTCCTTTTAGCCTTCTAACTCAACACGACACACACCAAAGGGTGGTGTCACTTTGGTTCCCTTTCAACAACATCAAACAATTGGTGCCATACACAAAAACCAACGGACCTGTAAACACTCGTGGTTGGAACACCAAGCAAGGATTCGGACAAGTTGCTCTAGTTCGCAAACAAGGTCCCTACAGAAAAGGGCCTTCAGGGATTGTCCCTCCTTGACACCTTAATCGGTGAACCTGTCACCAGTTACCACCCCTCTCCCCCAAGACTGGAACTTGAGCTCGTGAGTTCCCCAGACTGATGCCGATTTCTGCGAACTCTTCCCTTTCCTCATTCCCCACAAGCAGAGCTTAAAAACCTCTCCCCCCCTCCAAAGCTGGAGCTCGCTACCCCCCCCTCCAAACCTCCCCCCACCCACCCCCCCACCCCCCTGTTTGTTGCTTGATGCTTGATGCTGGTTGAATGTGCTGGTCGAATAGCTCCTGACGAACAGCGCGCCTCCGCGGCCAGCGGCTGCAGCTCCGCCAGCGCGCGGCCCAGCGGCCGCCGCAGGCCTCCCGGCGCGAGGCCGGGTCTCCCGACGTCGAGCGAGCCGCGATCGGCGCGAGGTCTGGGAGGGAACGAGAAATGGAAGGAACCCAAAAACTCCCACGAAAACCACCAGTTGGATGGTTTATGGGGTCATTCCATCTCTCACTCCCTACTTATCGCAGCAGGATAAGTAAAATGAGGTTTACAAACTGGTTCTGAGCCACGCACGAAACTTGCGACTGCATCTATGAGTCCAAGTGTCTGAGACTAAGGCACATTGGAGAACGAGCAGCTCGGCGAGGATTTGATGGACATTGATTGACCCTCTCGTGCTTGCATCTATTATCCGACCCCTATCTTTTGCAGGACTGTGCAGAGGAAAGTCCCTGCCCTATGGGGCCAGTTACTTTCATTCCCACTAATGGAATCCCCGTTGTGGATGTTTCGCTCGTCTGACCCATTCACCCCCTCTTATAATTCGCCCAGCAGAATCTGAGTCATTGACCCCCATGTTGGTACTACCCGTTTGTGCATGATCATCGGAAAGCCAGTCTTTTTGGGAAGGCCCCGTCGGCCAAGAGGTAACATGGAGATTAAAAAAATGGGCATGTGCCAAAATAGGGGGACCCCAAAAAATGGTAATGTAAACGTTGGCTTCCCATTTGAAACCACCCAAAAGGGTACCCTCAAAACAACACCCCAACCCGAACCTCGCGGTCCATCAAAACAACACCCCAACCCAAACCTCGCGGTCCACTGAAGACCGCCCGGCGCAGCGGGTGGAACCCCTCCGGCTCCAGAAGCTCGGCTCCTTGCTGAACCCACTTGGCGCAAACTGGAGGAATGGACCCGTACGAAAAAAATGGAGTCCTTGCGGCTTGGAACAACATGAGGCAATGGTTCGAAAGAAATTGGCGGGTGTCGTTCTGTGTTTTTTCTTCAAGCGAACGAAAAGGGCGGCTCTTCCATCTCTCCCATTCTTTTTGTGGTAGAAGATGTCACCCTGGCACGTGGTGAAGCCGTCTCCCCGAAAAAATGTACACACCCAACCGGGTCTCTCAACACCAGGGCATAAGAGAGTGTGCAGGTCATACAAGAGCCTCACAACCACGAGCTCCTTTTGTGGTTTGGGCCTTGCTCTGGCAGCGTGGGAGCTCAAAACATGTGCCATGTCTACACTCCTTCTGTGGACCACGGTCATGACCTCCCTTGTTCGGATTTGTTTACAATCTGTGTCTAATTTGCTAGGATTTGGTCCGGCCATCCATACTGTGGATAATAGAGAAACTCCTGCACCGGTCAGTAGGTGGTTTATCCCAGTCACAGTATCAGTACGAAAGAGTGGATTGACTTGCTGGTTCTGGAGTTTGGGAACTAGGGTTGCACATAAAACCACGAGAATGGTTCAGAGGGGTCATTCCCGCATTCCCTCATGAGAACCAGCAGGGCATGTGTCAAAAAAATGGGGACCCCAAAAATCATCTGTGTTCCTTTTCGTTTCCCTTACACACACCCAGCAACTTGACCATGTCATGCGTGTCTCTCGGTGCTTTTTTTGGCCCCGCTCCCAGCGGCCCATCGCTGGACAGCAGCTCCACCAGCTGCCCGGGCGACAGGAACTCCTCCAGGCCTGGCGCAACCCGAAAGCCGGGATGACGGAAAAACGAAAGAACCTTTCGGTAGATGGAGTTGAAATAGCAGGGGGTCGATAGAAGCGGGAGCTAAAATAGCAGGGGGTCGATAGATGCGGGAGTTGAAATAGTAGTAGGGGGTGGGGTGGGGGACCTAAGGTGATGCGGGAGATGCTGGAGATGCTGGCTGAGCCTGGGATTCCTTGTTCAACCTCTTTTATGCAAGATGATAAACGTTGACGCATTGAGGACACGGGAAAATTCGGGGTCGTCCTCTGGCTCCTCTTGAGATCGTCAACTGCCAGAAATGTTGACCGAACCTCAGACATGGTCTTTCGAACAATGGAATTAGAGCCCCAAAATTGCTTGGTTTGCGTTTGTTGCCCTTTGCACACCCAAAAGAGATCTACTGGACATGAGACCCAGCAAATGCGCCGTCATGTGGAAATGGTTTCTCGGGGGAGATGCGGAGGCACGACACCCAAATCCCGCTTGCAGCGCCTTGCTCTGGCAACTCTTCAAAGGAAATCCTGCGCAGAAGCACCTGAAGGCGAGGACTGCCCTTGCAATGGGATGAATTCTTAAAGTAGCAAATTTGCTCATTGCCGAGTTGTTTGACCGACAAAGCCCGCCCCAACAAAGCCCTGCAGCTCAACCTCAGCTCAAATGGCCATGCAACATGGAATTATGCCCGCTTAACGCTTAACCTGGAGCCCTTGGCGCCCACATGAAAGCACATCAAGCCATCTATTCTCTAAATTCAAGATATAATTTGGAATGTGATTGACAAAGAAACGCGAGACAAAAAAGATGTAGAAAGAGATTGCTGTTCCTGGTCCTTGCCTCTGTTCTCCAAATTATGTTCGTTTGGTTGCAAGGATATGACAAAAGCAACGGGCTATGCGTCCTCACCACAACCGGCGACCGACCGACTGACCGACCGGCCGACCAACCAACCAACTGGCCGAGGCAGCGCTACGCCCCGAGCCAATACTATGCAACAAGGTAGTTCATTCCACTGACAGGCATGCGGCGTAAGCAAGGACCGGCGATTCTCTTGGCAGCCCACGCAGCCGATCCAAGCAAAACGTGCTTGGATCTCACACAGGCCTTGTGCCTCTCCCCTTTCGTGCCTCCGTCAAGCCGCTGCGCTCATGCAAACGCACGCCCAAGACCTCCACCAAGTCGTTGGCATTCCTCGCGCGGAGTCACTACGAGGCGTTGACCTCAAGCTGTGCTGCAATAGAATCCAAACGGTTGACATAGAGAGCAGCCAAACAAATGACCGACTTACGGGGCTCATCGCCCCTGCTGTTGTGGCAGAACCCAATCGAGGTGTACAGTAGCAACAAAGACGCAAACCTACAGCTCGAGCACCAAAAGCCTGCAATGGCTGCTGGAGAATGCGGGATCTATTTCCAGGTGTCTGGGAGTCTTGTGGCACATTGGAGCAAGGGCTGTGCGAAGATTGGAGAGACATTGATCCTCTGGGAGCGCTGTCTTTTGCAGGATTGCGCTCTCAACTAAAGCCCCACTGTGAGGGGTGGGGTTGCATCAATGGGAGGGAAACTCTGCAAGTGATCTCCTGGTTTCAACTGGTCGTTTCCGATTGAATTGCAAACGGGTAAGCAAATCAACACTTCCTTGAGTTTGGGCCAACCAGAAAGCCAGCTTGCGAGAGTGAGCCATCTCCTTCCAATCAAAGGCTTCACTGGAACTCCCAAAATTGCGCCAATTGGCGGCGCTGGTGAATGATTCGAACCAAACTAAAAGTACTGGAATCGTTTTCAAGAACTGAAGGACACCAATGGTCAACAAGCAAAGCTTCTCACGGCTCGCCAAAGCCGGCGCCAAGCCCCGTGCCTGGACGCACCCGTGGGCGGCCCGACGGGCTCGATCAGCTCAGGTGCCTCCAGTTTCGGACAAGCACCCCCCCCCTTTAGGGCCGCATGATTTGCAATCAAGAGGCAAATGCTCTTCCAAAGCACTTCGGCCACGTGCCACGTTAGTTACCCCTGGGCAGAAAGCAAAACAAGGTGGTGATCATACACCGTTCCCAAGGGGTGAGTGCGACTACTACAAGCAACTCTGAGACTGTCGTTGGTGCTGTCACACATGCTTGGTGGTTTAGGATTGCAGGTCGCTGACACCAACACTGTCATAGTTCTATCGAACATCGTGCGACTACCGTGCTGTGGCTGTCCTAATCGAAGGAATGCACAAAGATCCAAACGGACATCACACCACAAGCCACCCCATGCGCCATAAGGCCTGTCCGACAGACCACAAGGGGCATCACCTCCACTTTTGACACCCTCGTTGTTTAGTGGCTGAGCCGGTCCCGAGCCTGCTGCAGCGCTTGCATAGCTGCTGGGAAAAGCAAGCCTGCCTGCCAAGGAGGGCCAGCTAGCGGTGATTTAGTGGTGGTTCACAGTGGGTGTAGGGTGGGCGTAAGGTTTTAAGGCCAGCGAAGGCTTAAGCAATCAGGTTTGGAATGCGTGACGACCCATGCATAACCAGTTCTTCACGAAGCCACAACTGCCATCAGAATCAAGGAACGCCATTCCACAACCACCAAACTGTTGCCATATCCACCACCAATCCATAGTGGACAAAAACCTGCACCAGTAGCCGGTTTAACTCAGCTCCATCTATCCCAACCGGTGTGCGTCTGCATTTTATCCACAGGAACTTTGAGAAATCAAAACTTAGGAGGTTTCCCCCCTCATAGCCCTCCTTACAAGGTTCATGATTCTAGTGCTACCTTCCCCATTCTTTCCAGGGATCCTTCTTTCTAGAAAACCTCCGGAAACCCAGGGGAACGGCGAAACGGCCGGTGTTCGAAAAGAACGATGGTCGGAAAGAATGGACTCGGAATCAACCCTGAGAATGATTGGAATTGACTTTCCTGGTAGGCCCCCCATCTACCCAACCCATCCACATCCAACCCATCCACCCAGTTGGATCCAGTCCAGTCCACCCTGGCCTCGCCCGCGCGGCTCTCCGCGGCGCTCGCCGCGAAGAGGCCCAGCGGCGCCTCCGCGGCCTCCGGCAGCTCCTGAGCGGACGGCGCGCGGGTTCTTTGAGGGCACCCTCCTTTTGGTTGGCGTTTGAAGACGGAGCCAGAAGGGAAACCGCAATTTTTGGTGGCCCCCTAAAAATGACATACTCAGCTATTCATTGGTTGAAGAGAAGATCTGAGGGAATGATTAAGGGGGGACCTCATGGTGGGGACCTCAAAACACATCTCGAAAATGACAGTTGATTGAAGGAACACACGGGGATGAAAGGTCCATGATGGAAGGTCGTTCCATGATTCCCTTGCTCCAGGAAGCAAGCAGGAATATCTCATAAGAAAAAGGACCTTCCATGTTTGTTGTTGAATAGGAAGCAAACAATATGGAACGAACCGCAAATAGCAGCTCAATTGAACCCAAACCAACAGTCCACCAATGCTATCAAGAATACGCCAAGGGACCTTTCACGAAAAAACGTGTGGGGAAATCAAAATGCAAAAAACGAAATGGTTGAGCGGGTGAGCATTGGTCGGGTGGGTTTCCCTCCGACATATCAGCGTGTCCCTCCGACATATCAGCCTCCAACATGCGGGGTGAGCTTGCCCCGATGGGAATCCAGCGGGCAATTCAGGCTCTGCGGGGTCGTTTCCCCGATCTTTTCAACCATTGCGAAGAACCGGCCGAGTGCTGTAAAGGGTCCCTGGAAATGGAGAAGTGCCCCGATTCCTCAGATCACATAACCTAAAGAGGTGAAGCGCGAGGTTGCGAGGTCAGTTTGTGGCGAGCACCGGCAGACTCATCCGTGGCATGGTCAGGCAGCATCGAGACTTACAAGGAAGTATGTATCCCTTGTATTCAGCGGTGGATTAAGCTCCGTACCTCCAGAACTCCCGTACCTGAATGATCCTGGAACTGATGCCGCCCGTGTCCTTGGTGCTAACTGTCTGCAGAAGCTGGGCAAAGCTGAAGTGCAGTCGCTCCTCGGAAGGGCTACTCGCGACATGCGAGGCTTCCAAAAGATGTCGTCTTGTGAGTGGCTCACCTAGCTCTTTCTGTGGGGCCATTCCTTTCTCTCCCTTTCCATCTGCCATTTTGAAAGTTCCCTTGGCCATTCCCTGAATAAATATGTGCATATATATATATATATATACACACACTATCCATGGCCCCCCTCGCTTCTTCCCCCCGAGGCGCCGCCCGCGGCGCCAGCTCCGCCGCCTGCCGCAGGCTCCGCGGCGCCGGGGCGGCGCTCGCCGGCAGCTGCCGCGCCAAGGCGCCGAGGCGTCGCCGCAGCGGCGCGGCCAGGCGCAGGGCGCGGCCCCGCGCAGCCACCGCCTGGCGAGGCAAAGGGACGACGAGGAACCCGAAAGGGCGGCTGGACCGGTCGCTTACCGCCCAAAAAAAGGGAAAACCCTTGGAAGAGGGAGGGAAAATGAATGAGCACGCATGTGATTGTCCGCACATTGAACCAGCCAAATTCGACAAAAACCGTTTGAATGGTGGCCATGAGTCGCTGCAATGGTTGATCCTTTAAAACTGGACAGGACAAAGAAAGGTGATAGCCAGGAAAAAATGGGGTGAGTGGCTCTATGAGAGTTGAACCTGAAAGAAGAAGGTTTGGTTGTGCAAGCCCGAATTCGATGAATTCTGAGAAAGAACACTCCATGCACTGGAGCAGGAGAACTCCAATTTTAGTGACCGCTGCTCCCCTCGCCGAGTGGAGCAAGGACTGCATCAAGGCTATGGTGGCTGCCGCTGCTCTGATATTGCCACTGAAGCTTGAGCATGGGTTTTAAAGACCATGCCCTGGGACCCCTGACAGGTGCAGCATGAGGCTGTGGAACCAGGTGCTTTGGGACTTGCTGCCGGGTTGCGTGACGAGGCTTGAAAAATCACACACAAGCCAACTTAGAAAACCCGCCTGTGCCGTGGAAATGGGAACCCAACCTCACTCCCGCAGCGATGAAATCGAACCCTTCCGATGCGAATCCGCCTCCAGGCAGGTCTGCAACACGAGCCTTGCAATGCTCAATCCTCCTCATCCAACCCTGGAGGCTGTCATGCATGATACAGATTCTCGGTTGCTTTCTGCTCCCCTGCTAAAAGTTTAGCGTTTAGTGGTTCAATGGAAGTTAAAGTCCTAACATCCCAGCAAAATGCACCAAAGTATTGGATATCCATCTATGACGCATGATACATGTTGGATATCCATCCATTGATTCGCTCCACAGAGACATGATGGCACGTGTAATTCTAACCTACCTCATCCAGGGGTCACGATACTTCCCAAACATTGCACCAGCCACCGCCGGTCAAGCGTCCGGAAAATTCGACTGCCTATCCCTGGTGGATTCCTGCCCAAAAAAGAACTCTTGAAATGGCAACATGAGACTGCAATGTTAAAGGCAAATGAAGGCAAATGTAAAAGGACCCCTGTAATTGCGAGCCACGCAGTGGACGCGGCAACATCAGTGTTCTGTTTCTTTGTGGGAAAGTTCGTGAGTCTGAATGTCGTAAAATGGGTAACTCTCTTTGTATATCGTTTCAAGGAACACCGAAAGAATCATGTGCTTCAAACCTTAATTGGCCATAGACGTGTAATTTTGAGCAACCTCTGCCAAAACCCGTGTTGAAAGTTGCCACTTGCCAAGCCTGAATGGCAAACTCTTCTCCATCAAGCATTGGAATTGTGTGCATAAGTTCAAGTTCCTTATAGTTCCTTACAAGTTGGTTGTGTGCCCAAAGTCATGCCCCCTCTTCACATCCAGGGCTGAGCAAACCTCCACTTCGACCCAAGAGACAGCTGCGCCGCCGGAGCCAGCTTCGACCTCCCAGGGCCCCAAAATGGTTCACAGCCAAATTCGCCCAGCCTGGCAGTTGATACCTCAGCATTGTGATTGGTGGCCATCTGCAAATCCGAACGCCGTGTGTCCCAAACTCACTCTGAAATAGTTTGAAAGATGCTGGGTGAATGGCCGCATCCCCAGAGATGATATAGGCGCGCAAAGCAGTTTGGTTTGACAACTCGGCGCGCAGCCCTTTCCCTGGTCCAAAATGCCCACACGAAGACAATTGCTCAAGGTTCCACACCGTCCAACTCGCTTCACCAACACCTCCTAGCATTCATGTTAATTTGGCTTCCCCTCAGCCCAGTTCCCCGACTTTGCCAATTGCTGTGCTTCTGAGATTTGACGTGGACCACTTCCTGGACCACTGCTCTCATTTTCCTGACGCTAAGCTACGCAGCAACCATGTGAGTCTGGCTAGAAGGACGGAGAGGCGACCAAAAAGCCGTAGAGCCTAGAAGTAGACTCAATGGGAAGTTCCAGTTCTACAATTTATGTGCGTGGACATGCAGCAGAGTTCCCCATTCACCACCTCAAGAATATACTGGCTGGGAGGGGACACCCCGACCCATCAAACATTAAGACACGTTCCGCCCACGCCTGGCCGAGCGATAGGCAGCTTCTGCCTTAGCTCAGGCCGACAAAGCTGCACATAAGCCGGGCAAGATCCTTGCAAGATGACTCATGTCCTATGAGGTAGCGGAAAATATCAAGCAAGTGGAAGTTTTGAAACATGAGCCGCCGACGAGCATATCACCACCGAATCCGACAATGAAGTATGCAGAAAATGTGCATACGTGTGTATACTACATAAAGCAACAAATACATGTGTATATCATGTATGTGTGTACGTATTTATAAATACATATACACATTCTGAGTGTAGCTGCAATACATACAACATGCACAATCCGTACTTACAATGCCACCAAGGGGACAAAATTGCAGCCCTACATCGGATGCGCGCCTGCGCACCGATTTGACCGGTACTGTACGTTCGGGCCCAACCACCAGCATTTATCCGCATTGTAGAAGTCTGTAGAAGTCGGCAGAAACTCCCATAAACCTCAGCCTCAAACCCCCTCGAACCTGAAAGTGCCAGGCACACTCATCCTGCCAGTGAGCAAACCACACGTGCTGCGGGAATATGTACAGCATGTATGATGCGTTGCACATGTAAAGCGTGAAGCGCGTACAACATTCAGAAGACAAGGCCTAAGTAGGGCTTTCCACCCCAAGCCAGTCATGTCGAAATGGCGCCATCCCTTCGGGAGACGAGGTGCTGTTAGCTGCGCAGCCTGAACGGCGGCGTCGTTGCCAACCTGCCAATGAAATGCGGCGGTCGAAGAGTCGGAGTGCCTCCAGGTTTGAGGGCGCGGGAACTGGTGACCCATTTAAAGGTCCCCATGGGCTCCCATGGCTGGGCTCCTGGCACCCCATGAGGGGTATGGGAAAGGCGGATTGCCTGAAAGCACTCGAAAACATGATCAATCCCCTAACTAGGCCGCCGGTCAAGGCCCTTGTACAGACTGTTGTTCTCTTTCCCTCACAATTTGCCTACAGGCTCGGGAAATCCGAGGCGAGCCCCTTTTGGGCTGACATGGGTACCGGGTACATAGAAATCCGCCAGTGTTTCATGTTTTGCATTTCTTTGGGGCCCTGCCCGCCTGCGGAACACCCCTATTTTCTAAACAAGGAATGGCTCTTAAGCAGCAACACAACCAAGCCTGCATCAGCTGACACAAGGGCCCGTTGATTGCTCCATTCACCTTTGTGCACAGAAGCCGGCAGACAACGACTGCCAAATTCTCGATGTCGGTTCCACTGGACCAGCTGGGACATGAATGATTCGATGCAAGATTGCCAAAAGCCACCGCTTCAGAGATTCGCTAAACATGATGGCAGGGGGCTGTGGGGATTTGTGGAACACTTCAACGCAACACGGAATTAGTTCCAAGAATGTGAGGCGCCACATCCAAAGCATGACAACCGCCTGGCCGCCTAAACCATGCCTAGAAGTGGGTCATAAACAACAACGGGGACTGTGACAAGAGGGATAAACCCAGAGGGGTAGCCAAAAAGGTCAAGAGAGACACCCCAAGAGACCATCAAACATCTACAAACTGTGGAATTGTTCCAAAACCAAAAATAAGAATTGGATCCCCAAGTAAAGGACCTACATCTCGGCTTTTTTAATCCCCAGTATCATCCGCTTTATCTTGAAAAAGATTCAATCCATATTGGCCCAGGTGATGAAAACCCATTAAGGAGGGAGAAACACGGACCGCTCAAAGCGGGCGGCCACGCCTGCCGCAGCCACAGCGCAGCCAGCGCCTGCGCCTGCGCCGCCAGCAGCGGCGGCTCCAAGCGCTGCGCCAAGCGCAGGTAGCACAACGCCACGCCTGGAAACGGAGCAGCCAAGGTGAATTGGCCATGGGTCAAAAGCCCATACCCCCAGTGAACATCTCAATCCCCACTAAAAAAAACTAAAATGGGTGGTGCACCTACCCCAAAATGGTTCCATTGGTTTTGACCCACAGCCAACTGTCTTGCTTGAGTCATAGTCAAAACTAGGTACAAACATAGTGCACCCAGAACCACGTAAAGAACTAAGAAGGCGGCCATGGTTGGGATCGTCCCTCACTAACCTTCATCTACCCAGGTTTTGTTGTGGCTCAGCTGGGAATGAGAAATGGAATGACCCTTATAAATCATCCCTTGTGGTTTCCTTTGAGGGAAGCCCTGGGTTCACTCCCTGATTCGCTGCTGAGCGCCAGCAATAGCAAGACATCCTCAAAGTAGATGTTGGAACTGTGCGGTGGTTGGAAAGAAGCGGAAAAAACGGTGGTTCTCCTTGCTTGGGCCCACCTAGAAACGGGTACCCTCAAAATGCACAAGCCCGTTTGAGCACCCAAGATACCTCGGCCGAGGCACTCAGCGCCGGCCCCTGGCACTGCGCCTCCTCCGCCAGGCCCTCCGCGCGAATTGAAACCAAACCCGAAATTGGGCTTTCCCGGGAGCCGGAAAAACTAGCAAAGGTTTGTGCTTGCACTCGCTGAGGTTGAAGCATTCGATTGTTCATGAATTGGCAATGGATTCCAGGAGGTTTTCCAGGAAGTGAGGTTTTTGCATGGCTCTTTGGACGTCATACTGTGCAGGCAAGGTTCCCAGGTGCTCAAAGGCTTCACAGTGCCCACTGCACAGGCCATTTTGGAGTTCCCCTTGCCTCCCCACACCGGGGCAGGGCTGTGGGAAAGACCGCCTTTTTGGATTGGCCAAACCGGTGATGTTTATCCAACAGGCGCAAACGTCCATCAAAACCCCAGCACTTTCGCCGAGGGCAGCCAAAGAACAGGGCAGCAGCCTGTAACCAAGCCGAAGCACACGCAGAGGACAACCCAGAAGCGGCCTTTGCCGGAGCAAAAGCCACGAAAAACAAAGCGAAAAAAAGGACGAACCAATGCACGAAAAGGGTTTGCCGGGACAAACCCAATTCGGGTCAGGCCCGCCCTATGTAGCATGCGGATATCAGTACCGACAGGGCATGTAAAAAAATGTAGCCACAAGCTCAATCAGCCGGCTCACAAGAGGAAGTAATCCGGAGGGCCAAGCACATCCAAGCATTCGGGGAGTCCTGGTGAGGCGGAAGCACAGACTGCACGCAGGGCGCCAAGGGCAAGTAAGAGAGGAAGCCCTCCAACTTTGGCAAGAAGCGGATACGAACAGGCCCAGGGCGCACCACGAGAAGCAAGTGACCACCAAAAATGCCAAACATCACATCCGGCAACTCCACGCTACAAAGAAAGGCCCACAATAAGGATGTTCATGCCGGAGACAAAGCCGAAGCCGAAGGGGGCCGCTGCTCAGCCACTGAAATCGCGTATTGGACAAAGCTGCACACCATACCGACAAAGAAGCTCTCCTGGCCGGAAAGTTGATCACTGAAGATGCAGCGCCCCGTCCGGGGAGGACGGGTTTTGTGGACGTCCAACCTTCCATCGGAGGAATAGCTGGACCCCGGGGCGCGACCTCAGGCAAATGGCTTTTGAGCCTAGATGCCTAAACTGGTGATGTTTAAGACCACCGCGGTCCTTTCGAGACTCACCCCCCTCGTGTGAAGGTAGCCTCTATCCATGTCATCTGTGCGCGCCGCACTTTGTGCGGTCTTTAAACACCAAAAGGGAAACGTATGGGAGCCCTGTAAAGCATTCAGCTTCTGGGGACAGCGGCCGTACGAGTTCTTCAACCCCAGGAGCTTCCCATCGCGGGTCCGCCTCCGCCTCTCCCGGCAGGCGCAGCAGCCGAAACCCACAGGCCCGAGGCCTGGCACTGGTTGGCGTTTTCCCGGACGGTCAAAACGCCACTCCACGACTTTGCACCAGACCCACGGATTTCTGGAGGCAGAAATTGTTGCACCTCAGTCTTGTTGTTTCGGCCTTTGACCCCTCATCTACCCTTGATTTATCCGTTCACGCTGTGTTCCGGGTTTATCTCAAAGGACATGGTCTGTCTGGTGGCGAAGAGGAAACCTACACTTTAAGAGTGGGCGTACATATGCTCGAACAAGATGGTCCAAACAAGACAAATCTGTTCGTTGCATGGTTGTGCAAGTTCCGAAGATGCAGTTGGTGTTCAGGCATCTGAAACCATTTACTTGTTGCTGCACACATCTTGCCAAATGTCGAGTATGTAGGTGTCCCTTCGTTGATGCATCCCAAGTCATTTCATTTTTGGGTTTCTGGCGTGTTGCAGTCAGCATACCAATATGGCGATCCAAGATCCAGCTCACCTAATGGCAAAAGTTGTGCCTCCCAACAAGAATCCCCATTTTCATCAACCTAGGGACCGGCTTATTCAAAGGACAGGGCGACAAACCCTTCAGCAATCCACCTCCAAGCGTCAGCTCTGACGGCCAGCTGCGTCAGACTCAAACTCCCGCCTCGTGAAGCGCCGGCTGCGGCGCAGTGCAAACACGGCCTGGCTGGCCGCCTCATGGAGGCTGGGAAAGCCAACACCTGGCCAGGCAGCCACTCAAAAACCCACGTTTTTCAGGGCTGTTCAACATGGAGGGTTGTCCAATCCCAAATCCAAGAATCTCAAATGAAGAATGGCTATCCTTTCGTAGCCCGATGGAAGGACGGGGTGCCTTTGAACAGCCCGGCTTTGTCCAGCCCCCAGCCTCTTTACTTAGCCCCCCTCTTTAGCCCGTTAAAGGTCCCCTGCGCTAAATGGGCAAAGGCTTTAAGATTGGCCACCAAACAGAGGTCAGGGAGTTGGAGGGTGAATTCAGTGCGGATTTGCAATTCTATGATGCGAACGCACTGGAGGAGGGCCGGGGCAGATGTAAGTTATAATTGCGGCCCAACATTCCCGTCCAGTTGTGTGAGGCTTCGGTTTGGACTCTGTGGGCAGGGGATGGCCTAGCCGTGCTTTTGTTGTCCACCTTCTGTCGAAATGCTCAGAACAATGTTTTGACAAGTAGCACATCCATTTCCCCAGAGGAGATGTACCAGTCCCGCCCTGAGCAACAAACACACATCCATTGGCTTCTGGACCTCATTTCCTGCACATCCTCTTCCACTTTGGCCCTTGATTCTTTGTTGGCCCAGGGCTCCCCATGTCTCGCCTTGCCACAGCGCCACCTCCAAGACTTCGGACGCCTTCGCAATCTTGGGCTCCAGGGTGGATGCCACCTATAACGACTTAGGCGATTCCTACGCTCAGCAACACACCCAACAAACAACAGTTCAAACAGCGGAGCCCAGTTGTTGAGCTTATGATGTGCTTCCTCTTTTGTTGGCCTTCTCAGCTTACCTTTCGGATTTCAGGTCCTCTAGGGCATGAAGGGGTGAAAAGAAGAGTTTGGGCGGCCCAGAGGCATAAACTGGCACGCCACAATATTCTTTCCAATGTGAAGGTGCAACAACTGGTGTTTACGAGCTAATCTGACAGCCCTTTACAGATCGCAAGAAGCGCCCTATCGCCGATTGCAATGCAACAGTTGCAATCAGAATACGTCACATATGCAGAGCATGGCATCTGCAATTGAGTCACTCAGGTTTTAGCACATGCTCTTACCCAAGCATGGAGGTTGGAGAACCGTCGCATGGTACAATCCTGGGTCTGCCGGGTGTGGCCAATTTCCTAAGTCGGCCATTGCCAAACAAACACATATCGAAATCGCCAACAAACAATCAACCATCAAATAATCAGAACTCGTAATCCTCCCAACCCCTTCCGCCCCTTCCGCCCCTTCCACCCCTTCCACCCCTTCCACCTCTTCCCCTTCCCTCCCCTTCCACCACCTCCACCTCCACCCCACGACCTGTCCCCCCCCCCCCCGTCCATCGCGTCCAGTGCCTCCTCCAGGTACGGCGCGCAGCGGAGCAGCGCCAGTGCCGAGAGGTAGCCTTCCAGGGCTACCGTGGCTTCCAGCTGGCAGGGCTCACCTCGGCGCTCGTGGCCGGGACCCCCAAAGGCCCCCCCCGAAAGTTTCTAGAAAGAAGCGGCCAAAGATGGACTCATGGCTGTGGGTCAAAACCAATGGTACCGTTTTGGGGTAGGTGCACCACCCAACTGGGGGGTACGGGATTTTGACCCATGGCCAGATGGCTACTCCTCTCAACTCACGAAGAGTAGGAGCAATCGTGGAGTGGTAAGCACTCGAATGAGTTGTTGGCCAATGTCAGAGCTCCTGAAATGTCAAACTACAAGTGTTGGTGGTGCGCAATGTTGGTCTTCCACCTAGTGTTTCACGGCAGGCCACTTGAGCTGGTTTGCTCCACATGGAAAGCACTCCGGACAACAAGAAGCTGCACGTAGCTCTGAACCTTTGCACTGCACAAACAAAAAGCACAAGGAACAAGGAAGAAGGGACGGAAGGAGGGAAGAAAGAAAGAAACAAAGAAAGAAAGAAAGAAAGAAAGAAAGAAAGAAAGAAAGAAAGAAAGAAAGAAAGAAATAATATTTAAAAAAAGAAGAAAGAAAGAAAGAAAGAAAGAAAGAAAGAAAGAAAGAAAGAAAGAAAGAAAGAAAGAAAGAAAGAAAGAAAGAAAGAAAGAAAGAAAGAATATTTAAAAAAGAAGAACGAAAGAAAGAAAGAAAGAAAGAAAGAAAGAAAGAAAGAAAGAAAGAAAGAAAGAAAGAAAGAAAGAAAGAAAGAAAGAAAGAAAGAAAGAAATAATATTAAGAAAAGAAGAAAGAAAGAAACCAAGAAAGCAAGCAAGCAAGCAAGCAAGCAAGCAAGCAAGCAAGCAAGCAAGCAAGCAAGCAAGCAAGCAAGCAAGCAAGCAAGCAAGCAAGGAAGCAAGGAAGCAAGGAAGCAAGGAAGCAAGGAAGCAAGGAAGCAAGGAAGCAAGGAAGCAAGTAAGCACGGAAGCAAGGAAGCGAGGAAGCAAGGAAGCGAGGAAGCAAGGAAGAAAGGAAGCAAGGAAGAAGCCAGGAAACAAGGAAGCAAGGACGCAAAAGGCAGGGAGGAAAGAAAGAAAGAAAGAAAGAAAGAAAGAAAGAAACAAAGAAGCAAGAGAGCAAGACAACAAGAAGCAAACAGCAACAAAGCAGGTCGAGAAAGCAAAAAAGAGAAAAGCGCAAGCAAGAAGCTTGAAAGGACAAAAGCAACGGTCAAGCTAAAGCGCGGGCGCAAGTCTTCACCGTGATTCACACTTGTGCCAAGGACGTCCTGGTGCGCATGCCGCTCTTCTGCAGAAAGCCATCTTAAGAGCTCTTCCCAAATGGGTGTCTTTTCTCAAGGTATCAAGGTTGGTGCTGGTTTTCGAGAAGCGCTAAAGAGAAACCACCCGATTTTGGGCGTTCCCACATTTGGGTGTGTCAAAATATGGGACCCCAAAATCGTGGTTTCCTTCTTGGTTTCCCCTCCAACCATCCTGAAAGCTCATTTGGAGACAAACGCAATGGGCTGTTTGCAAGGCCCGAGTTCCGCCAGCCAGCTGGGCCAAAGCCACCAAGAAGGGCCCCAAGCTCCACATGGGACGATCCTGATGGCATCCATGCCAGGAAAAGAACCTGCCCCTCCTTGAGAGATATAAAACCTTTCCAACCAACTGTGAGATTGCTTGGGCCCTTGAGTCATCAAATCCCGGCATTGAATATTAAAGAGTCCAACGGCGGGGGATTTCTGATCCTAGTCAGCAATCCGTAGTGGGCACCGGCTACAAGGCACACCGCTACCATCTGTCAAAAGGAATAAGGATTGACTTTTGTACAACCCGGACAGAATGGGCCCTTCGCTCGCCAAGGTACACGGCATCTCACCCAAAGCTGCCAGCACGGCAGCCACACCACCCGCTTCATGAGCAGCCAGCAACTCTGCAGCAAGAGGTTCCTTAGAAATCTGTCTGAGGTGCACTAGTTGAGGGCCGCAAGGTACATCTAAACCGGGCTCTAAACCCGGATGTCCCGAAATGACATTTAAAAAAGAAAAGAAAAAGAAATGGAACCTAATCAGCACCCAACAACTGTACGCTTGCACTGGCTGCTGCCTGTTTTCGAGAGCAATCAGTGCTGAAGCTAGGTTGACGGAGGACCCTTCGCCAGCGATCGCATGGTCTATGCGTGCTCTAGGACAGGTACTTGGCCATGGCAAATGACTAGAATAATTAGCACCAAACTGAAACCAGTGGACCAAGCTGACCTACACACTGGCCACTTTTCACCTGTCTCTGACCTGCAAGCTGACCTATCCACCGAAAACCACCTGCCCGCAGGGTAAACACGCCAGGCACCTGGCCACCTACCTGTCCGTCAAACGGACGAGCGGCGCGCTCGTCCTTGCAGGCCGCAGTGACGTCGATGAAGGCCTCCGGCTCCCAGGAAGGGACCTGCGGCAAGGAATTTGGACCCTGACATCGGGGAATGTTGGGTTCCACTACCCCAAAACCAGCCCCTGGTGGTTTATGGAATTTGCTTCGTCCGATCTGTCTCTTTTTGTGCAGCGCCCCCCTGACTGACCCACAACGGAGGGGACACAGGTTCAAAACCAGCAAACACGCAGTACAGCTGGCTTGCAGATGGAAGCCCAAAGCATAAAGGCACAGCGAGCATGGCCGGTATACATGCAAAGCATCGAGCCTACTGCACCAAAGCATCTGCATTTGCAAGGCAAAAGACACGCGCTGTTTTAGCCCCAAGTCGGCCTCCTCCTCAAGATCCCGACGCAGCACTTGCAGAGAAGCCTGCAGAGCCTGGGAAGGCACCGGTTGCGCTTTATTTCGAGTAAACCGAGAAGCGCCAAGGGCCACATCTGTCACGACATGTCACGACTTTCCCGTGTTCAACGGGCCGGAAACGGGGGGGAGGGGGGGCAATGGCTAAGGGGCCACTTCAGCTCGATCCTTACCTTTGCGACGCGTGAGCTCCCTTTCTACTCGAAGGCCCCGGTCAGCAATTGCTGAGCCAAAGGCCGTGGGCGGATGTTACATGTACTTAGATGGCCTAGAGTCAAGTGGCCGTGTTGATTTCTGCGGACTCTCGATTGACTCTGAACCTGCTCAGACTTTGCCGTCCCGTAGCTCAAGCACTCACATGTCTGGGACCAGGTCTTTCGCATTTAGGCTCAGGGCTACATGCAAAAGCCACCTGCTTTACGCGAGAGCCCTCCAAATCAGCTGGCGATTTTTGAACTGGACACAGGTATCCTTTCAGGGGCCCTGAGTATTGGCACGGGTTTCTGATCATGCTGGGCCCGTAGACTTCTCTCAGCCGAAGGTGCCACCGGGCATCGAGAGCCTTAAGGAACACGCCAAAGCCCAGCCTTTTTAACCAGGGGCTCGGATCGAAGGGTTTTGAGGACTTGGGGGGGTTGCTGGGGGTCTTAATGTGCCTCCCGGAAAATATTTATCGCTCTCTTGCCTTCTCGACGGCAACAGCGCGGCCGCATCTGGGACAACGCGGCCTGACAGATGCCGACGGCATCCGACGGCTGGGAGGCTCTCGCTCACCAACTGCTTTTGCGGCAACCAACCACCCCTGGGTTTGAGCATACCTTGCGACAATCAAAAGTGACTCCAATCTGCCAGCCACTTCATGGACACGCAAATGCGAGGCTAAGGAAACATCACGCGTTCGAAACGCGGCACAACACATAGTCTCTCAAATTCCCGCAAATCAGCTCGGATTTATCGACGCAAAAGCAAATTCAGGGGAACTATTCCTCCTGGCTTACATCACCGATGCCAGCTTGGCTGGGATGACGGGAATATCACATCTCTGAGGACCTTGTCTTTTACTCTTTTACTCGCTTTCACGACAATCATTGGAAATGGGGGCAGCTTGGAAGGGGAATCGGAAGCATTCTGCTTAGAACCGAAGCATTTCGCTTTGTTCGCAAGTCTCACCGAATTGCTGGATTTTGAAAAGGATCAAACAAGCAAATCCAAAGCACCGTTACTTTGTGAGGCGCAAGCGACATGCTAACCCCTGCACCCCAGGTCTGCGGCCTCTGTTCAGTGTCGTTCACCTCACCAGCGCGGAAACGCCGGCAGATGAGGCTCCTTGGAGCCGTGGCAGCTCGATGCCGCTCAGTGTGCCAGGGCACCGCCCGGGCCAACATTGCAGGCAAACCCGTTCCATGACCGAAGAGAAAAAACACACACACAGGACGTGGGTTGGGCTATCAGCAGATCTGGTTCCGGAGCCGGAATCCCGAAACCGCGGTGGGTTGGTTTTGGTTGGGGGGGTGTTTCCGCTACTATTACGAGTACTTGTGAATGATGTGCGTTCGTAGCGTGCCTGCAAAGCAAAGCAATCTGACTGAGCATCCCGTTGTCTCTGCTTGCAGGACTTGCAAGCAAGCCAATTGCAGCCGAGCATCGCATCGTCGGCCCGCACATCGGCCAGCGCGGCAAGGTACTCCGAAGACTGCTGCTGAACTGCCTGCATCAGCAATGTCACTCTGATCTGGGAATGTACAGTCCAAAGCAGGTGGTCCTTTTGCCGCCGTGGAAGAAGCTTGAAGCCTATACGTTTGGGGTCCCAGCATTTGTCAACAAGGTTCAAAGTATCTCGAGCATCAAATTCTTCCCGAGTATCTCTTGTTTCCCCACGCACGGCTGCACACGACATCGACACCGCACGCCCAAGCATCATATTCACAGCACCAAGAACATGTCACATTTGTTGTCCTTGTTGCTCGCATGGCGCGAAGTGTTTTGATCTTGAGCAGTGGCCTCTCTGGGCCTAGAACCACCAATTGCTGTTTCAAACAACCACCCAGCCTGAGGTTTTGCGGCATAGGCCCCCGCAACAAGCACTGACTCGGGCTCCCAGCCTGCCACTCAGCCTCGCTGCTGGGCCATAGGCTCGGCATCCTGGGCAGGGAGCCTTCAAAACCAAAGGGGACCCAACCTGAGGAAACCGGGAGGCTTTCCCCTCTGGCTGCGGGTCAAAGAAGGTACCCAAAATGGCACCCTGGTAAATGGAAACAATGACTAAAACCTGTGGTCCGCTGGTGGTTTAATCTTGACCCGGACCCATATTTCCCATCCCGCGAAAGAACATGGGGCAGGACGCTTCCTCGGCTCTTCCATGCAGTTATTGGGGGCCTATTTGAGGCTTCGCGGACTGGCTTCGCGGAGATTTTTCCGCAAAACCATCTCTGATGTTTGGGAAAGTTGAATCTATGCGAAAGGGAGCGATGACGCAGGGCTGACTAGATCATTATATCAGGGTTTTGTGGCCATGGCAAAGCCCCCGTCTACGCACATATTTCCGTTTTGCGGTTGGATCGGGGCCGTGCCGGGCGGAAACATGTCGGTGACGCAGCACATGATGTTTGTTTATGGTGGGTTCAGCCACCCAGTTGGCACGTTCTCTACAGTGAAGTTGGAGAAAGGCGGTATCTGGACCCTGGTGGCTTCGCGGAGGTTGTGCAGAAAAGGCCCACAGTCTCTCGGAAATGGGGTCTGAAACACACAGATTGAGAAATTTGAGAAAGGGAGACAACGCTCTCGCAGCGCAAGCGATCCTATGACTCCTATGACTCAGTCCCATGACAAGAATTTCTCAAAGGGACTCTAAACAACAAACCTTGGCTGGCTACTACCATGAAAGACCGGCTTCGCGAAGTGGCTCCGCTTCCCCTGTCTCGATTTAACGAAGCTGCGCACAAGGCTTTGCAGGGCTTCGCAGCACACAATGTATCACACAGGTGCCTTCGCGGACCTTTTGGGAGCTCCCCTCAAAGCTAAATTCCTTCATTCAAAAAGAAGAAGCCCGAGAATCAGCAGGGGCCGTCGATTTTTGGCTTGGGATTCCGTATCAAAGCACCCTCGCCCAGATGACCCTCAAAATAAATCACACCCGCAACCTTCCCATGGGGCACCTCAAGCGATTGGCTTCCTGCGCACATCTTCAAACCCAATGCCCCGCCGCTTAGGCCCATTTTTCAGCCTTCCTCTGGCCTCATTATTTTGCCATGATCAAAGTCACCCCTAAGTGGTGGGTTAAAGGGAAACAACCCCATTTTCTGACTTTGATAACCCCCAGAAACCGTCAACATAATGACCCCAGTTCCTCTCCATCGGAAACACGCGCGCGAAAGCCGCGGCAGCTCCCGCGCACCCCGCCTGACCCCGCAGTCCCGGAGGCCCTCCGCCAGCTGCCACAGTGCTGACTCCTCCGCGCCAGGCCGCGGCGCCTAAAAACTGAATCTGCTCGAGCAATCCGGTTGAGCAGCCCAGGGGAACCGCTGGGTTTAACTCCCACCCTTCAGAAAAAGAGAAGCACCCATGGCAAAACGCCGGAAATTGGATCACAAGAGGATGGCGATAAATATCTGGTTTGGGGGAAGGGAGTACATAAAAAGCTTGTCCCGGTCCCAGAATCATTCCCCTACAAAATGTGAAATCGATTCTCCCACATTACTCAGCAAAACCATTGAGAGCAGAAATTGGGGACGCCTTGTGTATGCATTCTTCCAGAAAAAAAATCAAGGGAAACTAAACGGAAAGGATGATGCTTCAACGGAAACCAAAAGGGAATGAAATGGATTGCGTGAGCGTGGGCGGAAAGCGTGACCACCTAGTTCACCTGAGTGTGCCAATTACGGGCGGGCCTTGGCGCATGCCACGAAAATCAGGTGTCAGCGCTGGACAAAAGGTGCAGCTAGATTGTGCAAAATTTGGTGCAACAGCAAATCAGCCTCTTATGCTGCTTTATCTCTTCATGTTGCTTGACCCAGGTTACCCTGGTCCGAGAAACATGCACGAGTTGGCCCAATGTGAGAAAAAGCGGGGATGTTTCTCATCCAGGAAAGGCCTGAAGTTCCCTGCGGTAGAAATGGACACCCAGGAACCAAGCATTCCATCATTTTGCCACTGGTCATAAGTTGTTGCAGCTCGTTGGATTGCAAATGCAGAAGTCCAGAACTGTGGGGAGGCGGTGGTACAGGTGGTACAGGTGAGTCACAATCAAAACATGGTAACTATTCCAGTGTCAAGAACCAGAAGGCCGCCGCACCTGAACATGGCAAGGGTGCTAGCCTTCGCCTTCCCTGGTTTTGATTGTGCCTCAGGTCAAGCCGGCCGGCCCGCGAAGCCCGCTCAAACGCGCCCGCACCTGCTGATCCTTTTGCGGCTCATCGCAAGCCTCGTCCTCGCCATACTCCACTTGCTGGGTATCCTGAATGTCTGACCAACGTCGGGTAGGTCACGCGGCTCAAGAAGCTAGCTTGCTCTCACGGGAGAATATGGGTAACCCCACCAGCCATTCCTGACAATAAACTATTTATGCCTCTGACGGGGACCACTCCGTATTTCCTATGCAGAAGCAAGAGAAACCAACCAACGACTTGTGCCTGGCACCTGGCGACCTTCAGCGATGCACCCGAAAAGCGTGCGACGCGCCTGCAGAAATCGCTGCAGGGCGTCTTCGATGGACGGGCCGCCGCCCAGTGCCTGCGGCGGAAGCGCCCACTGGGAGAGCGGCGGAGAGCGGCGCAGGTCACACAAAGGCTGTGCGGAGTACCTAAACTTTTGAGGCAAGAAAATGATCACTGACGGCCTCCCATAAGCCTTACAAAATCTTGGTTGCTGTTGACCCCTCTGCAAAAAGTGTAACTTGTTGTGGCTTCAGTGGAAACCCCTTGCTTTTCCAAAAAGTGAAAGTCTAAAGATCCAACCCAATGGCAATCAAGAAATTGGGCTCCACCTTCCAGCCAGGCAAGCGCCCTGGTGGGTTCACCCTGCCTGCAAGAGCCATTCTGAATCTGCAGATGCTGGTAAGACTGCCAATGGCAGCCAACAGAAGGCCCATCGCAAGAGCAGCATTGACGGCAAGTGCTATCAGGGTAGCAAGCTGTGATGCTCCGGGAGGTGCTAGTGGATGTGATGGGGGTGTTAACGGAGTAGCTGGTATTGCTGATGTTGGTGGTGAGGATGGTGCTGGTTCTGGTGCTGGTGGTGGTAGGTGGCGGGTAGGTAGGTGGGTGCTGGTAGGTAGGTAGGTAGGTAGGTGGGTGCTGGTAGGTAAAGGTGGGTGGTGGTGGTTGGTAGGTAGGCGGTAGGTAGATGATAGGTAGGTGGTAGGTAGGTGGTAGGTAGGTGGTAGGTAGGTGGCAGGTAGGTGGTAGGTGGGTGGTAGGTAGGTGGTAGGTAGGTGGTAGGTAGGTGCCAGGTAGGTGGTAGGTATTGTGGTGGTTGTCGTGGTGGTGGTGGTGGTGGTGGTGGTGGTGGTGGTGGTGGTGGTGGTGGTGGTGGTGGTGGTGGTGGTTGTCGTGGTTGTGGTGGTTGTGGTGGTTGTGGTGGTTGTGGTGGTTGTGGTGGTGGTAGTGATCTGTTGCGGGCGCTGTGCCACGCTGGCTCTGGGCTGAAAGAGCAGTGACCCTCTGCTGCCACAATGCGGCAATCGGATGTTGCACAGAGAAAACGGGGCAACCGACTCCATGGAGAGACTTGACTTGCCGGAGAACATCTCAGCCAAATGGCTGCGTTTTACAAGCACCTTTCGGAATCTCAGGCCTTAGCCTGATCTGAGAGCGGCATCGGCAACACAAATCTATAGCTACTATGAATGTCTCTGCTTGACATTATCCCATGAAACTGATTCTGCTCACAGCTTACCCTTATGGAAAAATGAGTTATTTAGTTTCCCTGCGGCAAATCGCCCATGAGCCTTGCACATACTCACTTTCTCCTTTGCTCCTGATGCAACACAGGCAGCGCGACGGGATCCGAGGTGCTGGACCCTCAAACGCCAAAGCTTGCTCCGAGCTCAAGAAACACATATCTAAACATTGAACCACGGGGCTTGCTCAGTGCGTTTGACTACCAGCCTTCAGACCTCCACGTTAACATCACTGTCCGAGCGCCGCGACCCGCAAGCCGAAATCAGCATGGACGAAGCTCTACAAACAGCGCTCCCTGGGCATCGGCAGGCCTGTTAACAGCAGCTGGACTGTTGGCCGCTTAAGCCTGAAACACATTTCGGGTTTGTTTTGAAGGGAAGCGGCAGGCAAACCTTCCCTACTTTGGGGGTTCCCATGTTGAGCCTGAAACACGCATCCATTTGCTGTGCTGCAGGAGACCCCACTGCCGGCCATCAACCGACGCCCCGGTGCTCAGAGGTTAAGGCGCTTGAGAGGCTGCTACGACTGGCAGAAGAGGACCTCGGTTACGCAGTTAGGCCAGTTTCTCATGGTACAGTCAGACCCAATGAACAAATCATGGTAATTCCCCCCTTCCCAAGTGAAGATCCCCTTGGCAGGCCGCGAGAAGCGGTCATGCAAGCTGGCCCCCGTTTGCCTTGCAACAAACTTCTGGTCACGTCATGCTGATGAGCATTTCCAAATACAACATGGCGTTCACGGTCAACTCGTCCGAGGAAAAAAGAACAGCATTGTGACTCAAGAGCCATGCCAGCCTCTCTACTGGCACTCTGAAACAGCATGTGTTCAGTGCCATCTGTAGTTGGAGATGACGGACTTTCTGCGAGGGGTGGCCCGTTGGTGGAGAGACCGCCACGGTGCACGATTCCGGCTGTGCAAGCGTCGTGCGGATGCGGGGCAGTCGCACAAGAAGCGGGCACTGCGGCAGACCTTTGCCGCCAACAAGCTCATGCTGCCGACACGCTTGTCCACAAGGCTGCGGTCACCACAGGGGAGACCAAGACTGTGCTTGGGCTGAAGCGGAAGCATCTTCCAGGGCATGTGCCTCTTCACAGTAACCCGCAGTTCAACAAAAAACTGCGCTCGCTGGATGCCAAGAACAAGGACAGAAAGTGCAAACAGCAGGCCTTGGCATTAAAGCGGCGCCTTGCGCCTGCGAGCTGCGCGTATGAAGTGGGGAATCTGCGTCAAGCAACTCTGCTTTCACCTCGGAGGCTGCCTTCAGACGACAAAGCCTCAGGCTTTGCTGGCAGGAAGAAGATCAAGGTTGTCGATGCCAGCGGAAGCAGTTCTGAGCTGCCCAAGCTGACGACTTGTCAGACAATCACTGTGTGGAAGCTAGGCCAAAGCTCCAGCATGAATGAGGTGCTTGAGGCAGTTCGCACACGCAACGTGGTTCTTGTGGACTCCGAAACACATTGCCAAGCGCTCCCAAAGCACATGCCGTCGGAGCCCCAGTTGCTTTCCTGCCCTCACGCAACAGCAGCGCGCCACTGTTAAAAGCAAGCCTCATGCAGCTGGCAGTATAGTTGTGTTCTGGGTGGTCCTGCTGACGTTTTGCCAGTTGCTGCGTACCGATTCAGCATGCCTGCAAGGCAATCTAGTGCTTGTCACTTTGTGTAAGAAGAGCAGCGGCGTCAAACAACGCCAAGCAGAGCGGGGGCTCATTTTAACTAGCTACTCTTGTAGGTCCAATGGCCAGTCGGGCAATGCTGCAGAGAGAGAGAGAGAGAGAATTGCCACTGCTTCTTCGGCAATTTCAAAAAGAAGGTTTGACAGCCGATCGTCTCAGGCCCTTCCCGCTATGTGTTGGCACCACGGATTCCGTTGTGTTTCGGAAGCGGAGAGCTGAACAGCTCCCTACGTGTCAGACAGTTCTTTGACCCGGGCATTCACCAACGCAAGCGAAGCCAGCCTGGCCGCAAAGGCTTTCAGGACAAGGTTAGGGGAAGTACTCAGAGTTTCCCAATCTTGCTGGCGGCGTAGCAAGATGCTGTTCAGGCCATTGTTCTCGCATGTCTACTTGGCACTGGTGGCTTTGGGCAAGCCAATCTTGGAGCGGCGTTCCTGGCCGCACTGGTGCCGTGTGATATGGCACTTGCCGTGCAGCAGCCCAGCCGCCTTTGTGCCAAATGCTGAGTTCTTGGCAAAGCACGAGCGATCTTGGCGGTTCCTGTGCGCGCTTGGCACAAAGCGCCTTGGCCTGCCAGTCGCTTTGGGAAGCTGCAAGGGGGTGTCTCCGGGAATTTTGACCAGGTTTCTGTCTTTTGCCATAGCGCGGCAGCAAAGTGACGGACGAAGAACGATTGGCTTCGTTTGTTGCGAACTGACCCCCGGCCCCCACGGTTTGAGTTTGATTCGGTCACATGGCTGTTCAACATTGTAGCATATTAAAGGATGCGGCTCAGGTGTAGAGGGTGAAAAGGTGTGGCCTGCTGCAGGCGCGCTCTGTTTGATTTGCCCATCGCAAGAAACAAGTTGTCGGATCTCATTTCCTTTGTCCTGGAGATGCCCTTCCCTGATGGAGAGCTTGATGAACACCCAGCTTTGTCCTCATGACTTCTGCTTTTTCCGCTGGGTTTGCTTGAGAGTCCTAGGGCGCAAGTTTTCGACAGCCCGGGAGTCCCCAAGATAAGGTTCAATGAAGTGGGCATGACTAGCATTTGGTGGATTGCAATTTAAGAGTAGCCAGAGCCGAGCTGCTTCCAGCAGATTTCACTTGGAAGGGGTGAGTTTGGCGCTCGGCTTAATCCTTCCCCCAGAGGATAGAATGATCAAGTTTTAGTATTTTTTGCGGACGGTTCTTATTGTTCGGTTCCATTGCTTTTTGGCCAAACTTGTTCCAGTCTGCGTTGTTAGGTACTCAAAGGGGACCCTTTTGGTTTGAAAAAAACGTGTTCAGAATGCAACTTTTGAGCTTCGCCCTAATAAAGCGACAGCACCCTTGTTTTCGAAAAAGCCTTTTCATAAAAGCCGCTGTTTGCGAATAGAGAGCCTCATGCTAAAAACCTTTGTTTGCTAATGGGGCTCTATAGAACCGCTAGGCAGCCCCAGATCGCTGCTAGGCTGGCCCTTAATAAGGGAGTTTTGGGTAGTTTAAACTAAGTAGCCGGGAATTTTTGAGGGCCGGCTGGAAGGGTGTTTCTTCAAGGGCTTCGCCCATCACCAGCTGCGCGGGCATTTTCTCGAATGTTTTCCCTCATGCAACCTCGCCCACTCACCCACGCGCGCACGCGCGCACGCACACGCTGGCTGGCTTGCTGTCACTCAGTCACTCAGAGACTCACTCACTCACCCACTCACTCACCCACCCACTTACCCAGGTGCTCACTTGCCTACTTACCTACGTGCCTACTTACTTACTTGCTTACTTACGCGCGCGTCGCGTGCACGCACCCACGCACGCACGCACGCACGCAGCATCCCCAGCGTTGTCCCCAGCATCCCCAGCATTTTCCCCAGCACCCCCAGCATTGTCCTCAGCATCTCCTGCGTCCTCACCTAGCAGCCGATGGCTCGAAAGGATTTAAACACGCGATGGGCGCAGAGCCCCTCTAGATGCTGGGGATGCTAAAGCTCAAGCGGAGCCATCAGCAGCAACTCGGGTCGGCCCAACGCAATGTTTCACGGCAGTAGTTGCCGTGTTTGTGGAGCTCTCTCAAAGCGTCCCAAAAAACAGGGTCCAAGCAATGCAAAGCCAGGGGCCGCGTGTCCCGAAAACGGCCTGCGTCATTCGATTCAGCCTACGCCTAAGCTGTGGCGCTCGCGCTACGCGCTCGCTTAAGATAACACAGCGCGGCTGGATTCACCAGGCTGACGCCTGCTGGTGATGGTGGCGGTGTAGAGCGCGTAAGTCCGGGAGTAATTCCTAAACCGCGCTCGGAGGAGTCAAGGGTCGAACCCATGGTCAGCCCCAGGGCCGGGCCCCCAAGCTAACCCCACGGGCGGGCTGGGCTGAACCCAAGCAACGGACAGCGAGCGCCCAAGCCGGCAAGGAGGGCAAGCCCAGGGCCAGCCCCTGGGCTAAAATGAGCTGCGTTCTTTCTAGCGCACAGTTCATAACTCATAGTTGTATACAACACCAGTCTCTTCTTGGTTGTGAGTGAGCTCAGCGCGGGAGGGGTTGGCGGATTGTTGGGGGTAATTACAGTAAATGGAACACGAAGGGGACCTTATTCTTCATCGTTTCTACCTGCAGTGGGCGCTTGAAGCCCAAGCTTCCTAGCTTCGAATGTAAGATGAAGTGTCCACCCGCTGTTTGCTAATGTTGGGACCAACGCCAAACAGAAACAGGGAGACTGAATCAACAAGCCTACTCCGAAAATGCAAGCTAGCTGCCGGTTTTGAGCTGAGAGCTTGGTGCCTCCGGACCCAGCCTAGTTTTGCAAGCGCGGACCGCGCAAGTCTTTTTTCAAATAATATCTGGAAGAGGGCTGCGGATTTTCGCCCCGGCTGCAGTATTTCAGCAGTGCAAATGCCGTGTTGCTCAGGAAGGACAAGCTGTGGCACTTCCACAAGCCGGGCGATGTGCCGAAACGCTCGCCTGGGAAGCTAGTGCTGCCAAATCGCGGATGTTTTTTCAGCGGCGAAACAGCTGCGCCTGCTCGACAGAGCGGGGGGGGTGCAGCACAAAGCTGTCCGGGGATAGATGCACTTGCGGGGAGTGAGTGCAAAATGGAAGCATTCGCACCATTATGCCCTTCTATTTATGTCCCACCTGTAAATCTGCGAAAACCGTGTCAGTGATAAACCATTAACGAATGTCCAGGTGATGTCAGCCAGATCCGAACGGCAAGTTGCTTTCCTTTCTCTGCATCGCTCCCAATGCGGCCAGTTTTTCCTCCGCTTGCTCGCAGGCCGATATCTGCTGACGCGGCCGCCGCGGCAGCGCCCAACCACCCTCCCCCTTAAGTTTTTCGCAAGAAGGGAAAAGCCAACCTAGTGGCGAAGATTACGTGGCTTTCCTCAGCTGAGTGGCTAAGTCCTCTTCTACACAAAGATGCTCTCAACCGCGCCATTGGTCTCAAAGAGAGACTCCTGGAGTGAGCGGCCGAACTGGCTGCCTTGGTTAAGGATGCGAACAGGCGCAATGTTGCGTTGAGAGTTATCTTGGATAAATGTGGTGGCCCCTCTTGCCGAGGATTTACTTTCTATCCCAACGGTTTTTTTCCACGTCTAGGGCTGCTGGCTTAGGTTGGCTTTAGTCCTGGCCTAGGGTTGTTTTCGTAGATGTTTAGACTTGGTTTAGGGCTGGCTGAAAATTAGGTGCTTCAGGGCGGTTAAAGCTGGCTTGGCGTTGGCTTATAGGGTTGTTCAGGAAGGTTTGTGGTGCGTTTGGGTTGGTTTAGGGTTGGCTTAGGGTTGGTTTGGAACTGGTTTAGGGTTGGTTCAAGTCAGCCCGTGCAACACTGCACACATGTCTGTTAAATGATAAGCACATCCGTTCAGCACACAACCTGAGCCCGTACCCACTGCACACAAGCACCACTGCACACATGCCTGCCAAGCGATAAGCACACCTGTTCAACTGGCCCGTGCGCCGCTGCACACGTGCCTGCCAGATGACAAGCACACCCGTACAACTGCTGTGCACCAACCGCTGCACACAAACTGAGTGCGTGCCCTGCTGCAACGGCACGCCGGTTCAAATGAACCCACGCGCCACTGCCAGTTCGAGGTTGGTTTCGGATTGGGCTTGGGGTGGTTTAGGGCGGGTTTATGGTGGGGTTGGGTTGGTTAGGGTCGGTTTGAAGTTGGCTTAGGGTTGGTTGAAGGCGGGGTGGGCAGGAACGGTGAAGTGCGGTTTAGGCTTGATGAGGGTACGTTTAAGCTTTAAGCTTGGTTTACGGTTGGCTCAGGTGGCTTTATGGTTTGGCTTTGGGGTGGATAAAGGCCGGCTTGTGGTTTAGGGTTGGCTTGGAATTGGCATTGGCTTTGGGCTGGTTCAAGGCTGGCTCAAGGTTGTTTTTTTCGGCTGGCTGCGGGTTGTTCAGTGTTGGCTTAGGGTTGTTCTCAGGTCGGCTGATGCGCGGCTAACGCACATGGGTTAGGCTTGCTTTAGGGCTGGCTTGGGGCGGTTTCGGGTTGGTTTGGGTTGACTAAAGGTGGCTTCGGGATTGCTGTGGGCTAGGTTTAGGAGGGTTAGGCTTGCTGGTTTGTTTAGGGGTGGTTCAGGGTTGCTTGCCTGATTGCTTGCTTGCGGCTGAATTCGGGTTGTTTTAGGGCTGGCTCAGGGTCCGTTAAGCTGCTTAGCTAGCTTGCTCGCTCGCTTGCTTGCTTGTTCCCCTGCTTGCTTGGGTTTCGTTTGCATTCTTGCTTGCCTGCTTGCTCTCCGGATTTGTGTAGTGCGGTTGAGGGCTGATTTATGGTGGGGTTAGGGGAAGTTTAAGTTATTCTTGGTTTAAGGTTGGCTCAGGGTGGCTTTATGGTTTGGCTTTGGGGTGGGTAAAGTCGGGCGGTTTAAGGTTGGCTTGGAACTGGCTTCGGGTTGGTTCAGGGTTGACCCAAGCATTTTTAAGGCTGTTCCGGCTTGGTTAAAGTTTGGCTTAGGGTTGGTCTCAGGTCGGCTTTCGTGTGGCTTAGGCACGTGGGTTTGGCTTGCTTTAGGGCTGTTTAGGGTTGGTTTAGGGTTCCGCTTGCTCGCTGCTTTGCAGTTGGCTTAAGGTTGTTCTAGGGCTGGTTCAGGATTGACTAAGGTGGGTTTAAGGTTGGCTTCGGGTCGGCTAAGGATGGGGTAGGTCTGGTCTGTTTAGGGGTGGTTCCGGGTTGCTTGCCTGATTGCTTGCTTGCTTGCTCGCTTGCTTGCTTGCTTCCTTGCTCGCTTGCTCGCCTGCTTTCTTGCCTGCCTGCCTGCCTGCCTGCTTGCCTGCTTGCTTGCTTGCTTGCTTCCTTCCGCGCTCGCTTGCTCGCTTGCTCGCTTGCTCGCCTGCTCGCCTGCTTGCTTGCTCGCCTGCTTGCGTGCTTGCTTGCCTGCTTGCCGGCTTGTCTGCTTGCTTGCTTGCTGGCTTGTTTGCTTGCTTGCTTGCTTGCCGGCTTGCAATTCTGCTTGCCTGCTTGCATGCTTGCCTGCTTGCCTGCTTGCTTGCTTGCGTTCCCCTACTTGCTTGGGTTGAGTGTTGCTTTAGGCTTGGTTTGCATTCTTGCTTGCTTGCTTGCTTGCTTGCTTGCTTGCTTGCTGGCTGGCTGGCTGGCTGGCTGGCTGGCTGGCTGGCTGGCTGGCTGGCTGGCTGGCTGGCTGGCTGGCTGGCTGGCTGGCTGGCTGGCTGGCTGGGCTGGCTGGCTTGGCTGGCTGCTTGCTGGCTGCTGCTTGCTTGCTTGCTTGCTTGCTTGCTTGCTTGCTTGCTTGCTTGCTTGCTTGCTTGCTTGCTGCTTGCTTGCTTGCTTGCTTGCTTGCTTGCTTGCTTGCTTGCTTGCTTGCTTGCTTGCTTGCTTGCTTGCTTGCTTGCTTGCTTGCTTGCTTGCTTGCTTGCTTGCTTGCTTGCTTGCTTGCTTGCTTGCTTGCTTGCTTGCTTGCTTGCTTGCTTGCTTGCTTGCTTGCTTGCTTGCTTGCTTGCAATTTTGCTTGCAATTCTGCTTGCAATTCTGCAATTCTGCTTGCAATTCTGCTTGCAATTCTGCTTGCAATTCTGCTTGCAATTCTGCTTGCAATTCTGCTTGCAATTGCTTGCAATTCTGCTTGCAATTCTGCTTGCAATTCTGCTTGCAATTCTGCTTGCAATTCTGCTTGCAATTCTGCTTGCAATTCTGCTTGCAATTCTGCTTGCAATTCTGCTTGCAATTCTGCTTGCAATTCTGCTTGCAATTCTGCTTGCAATTCTGCTTGCTTGCTTGCTTGCTTGCTCGCTTGCTTGCTTGCTTGCTTGCTTGCTTGCTTGCTTGCTTGCTTGCTTTCTTGCTCGCTTGCTTGCGGGAAAGTAGTGGAAAAAAATCCCCGCTGGGGTGGAAAATTATTCCCCGTAAAAATGGCTCACCGATAAATGTGGGCGAAGCCCCGTTCTCACACTCAAGTCCATTTTAGAAACTGGAATTGCGAGAGGAAGGGTAGGTCTTCTAAATATGATAGGATTGGATAGAACTGAAAACGAAGAATTGAATCAGCATGGATAAGTTCAAAACGAAAAAGGGTTGGATGGGACAAAGCAATGCGAAGAACAGGTGTCCGGACTGGTTGTCGTTGCTCGATGATTCACACTCTCTGCACTGAGAGACTGCCCCTTCCCAGCCAAGCAGGGCACTCGTGGAAGAGTCACTGTCATGCTGTTCTGCTGGGAGTTGTTGATCATCTCAAATTAACATAGTGATTGACCGGTGTGTGCACACTGACACCTAGCTGTGGAAGTAGAGAATGTTTGCCCGGACGGTATGAGCCCAAATTAGAAGGCATAACGGGCAACTCTCTAGCAAAAATCAGGGGCCCTTTCCGGGGGTTGGTGTCCTTTTCTTTCGTTAAAACTATCCACAAAACCGTTTTGAGACGCACCCACACCAAATCTTGAGCTCCTGGTGCTCCCTGCGTTCCCAGAAGGCCTAAACAGAAGAAGCTCCTGGTTGCTAAGCTCCTGTAGGACCTGGCAAGCGACGACGCGACGACAACCAAGGGCCAACAAAGCTGAATCTGAGATTGGAGACATTCTCCAGTGTAATCTGTGAGACAATAACTGCCAGTGTGTGAGGTGCTAAAGCTGGTCACCTCTATTTCTTGAAACTAACATGTTCAAAGGTTGTGTCATGCATTCCCTTTGGTGTAGGGTGTGCGTACATGTAGAGAATCCTTTCCCTTTCCGAGGTATGCCATGAGAAAAGGTACCCATCGGCAGCAAATAGCAGGACTGAGCTGACCAATTCTCAGAGCTTCCCGTTTCTTCGGAGCGCGCCTAGATTTCCCCTTCAAAATCTGTAATTGACTGGTGGAGGTCAATGATTCGCTGCCATTTTTGGAGGTGTGAAGACCCCCAGGTCGAGCTGTCACGGCTTGGTGGGCAAAGAGGCACCTAAAGGGTGCGGGGAGCACCTCCTTGGTGTTCTGTTAAGAGGCTTTCTGCCAATCGGCCGCATGGGCCGATAAAAACCAAGGGGCTTCCCATGCACATTTGGAGTCCATTTTGCAGACTCAACCACCCAAAAACAAAGAAAACAGTGGCAAACATCGACGCTGTGTGTCCAGCCGCTGACCCGCAGGCCTTCAAATCCAGCTTCCTCACGGCCTCCAGCAGCTGCGGCGTGCGCGGCGGCTGCAGGCAGCTGTTGCCTCAAGCGCGGAAGGCGCCTTGGAAAGCCTTGGGCCCAAGCCACAGGGGTGGGTCCGGGAATCCTGGTGGCTGATTTCCCGGTTCCTTTGAAACCCTCTTTTCTTAAAGGCGGCTTCCCGTGTTTGAGACGGATCCATCTTTGTGGAAACAGGGGCAAAGCAAAGAGGACTGACCTGAGAAGTAGGAGGGCTTTCAGAATGACCGAGTCAGCCATTCTGGCGAATGCAGCGCAAAGGTCGAAAAGTCTGCTTTGTCTTCTGGCTGGATGTGAGCCAGCTTTGATGCGAGCGCATGTAGCTCCCGAAAACCCTCCCCACCACCCTGTGCAGCTGAGAGCACAATCCACCAAGGTGTGAAGCACCTGGCTTTGACTGGACGAGCATGTCACCATGTCTCTGGAAGTGCAACTACCAACACAAGGAGCAGGAGCATGAGCGTGCCAGCAATCCAGGTCCACAATAAAGATCCATGGGCTGTGCTTCCCCAACATGGCTCTGTATTCTCCGCTTACAGATCACCCGTCTTTAATTGACCCCCCCCTTAATTTGCCCCGACACCCCCAGACAAGGCCGGGCCTCGCTGTAGAGCAGCTGTTGCAGGGAATCCCCCTGAGCAAAGGCATGCAGGAGCCACCTGCCAGCAGACGCTGCAAGACCAAAAACTCCCGGCTGCCATTATTTGCGCGGTTGTGCTTCAAAAATACACGATGAAGCGGAAAGTGGGATACAGGTCCTTGACACGGAGCATGCAGCAAAGCGTTATTTGCTTGGCAAGCCTGTGGCAACTTTCCAAATTGCGGTTGTACTGAAGCTTTCGTATTGCACACCCTCCCCGCAAGGCCCCCTGCAAATTAACCTGGCTTCCAAAAAAAGCCACCAAGAGATGCAATCCCCAAAAATGGGGTCGGCTTGGGCTTTCATGTGAATCTGTCAGAGAACCCGGTCGTGAACCAAGCCGACTCCCAGTCGTGAACCCAGCACCTGCGAATCTGGCCTCTGCCCCGAAGACGGTTGATGGTGAAGAGTCAAAAGCAGAGACCCGCATCCAAACCTGTTTAAGACAGGACTCTCTCCCAAAGGGTGCCAGCAGTCAGTGCCCTCCTCGCCTCAAAGCTGCAAGGCAAAGCTCTTCGCTAAGATTGCACCTGGAGTGCAGTGAGAACCCAAATAAACCTCTGGTTGATTTAGGAGGAGTGTCCCATTTAATTACTTTTGGATCCAAATCACTTTAGGGGGAAGCGCTTCCCTGTAAATCTGCTACTTTCTCTGACCTGAACTCAACACAACTCTTGCTTCTGAACACTATTTTTGTCCTGCGCATTCCATGCCCACGCGCCGAGTGGCAGGAGTGAAAAGACCAGGAAAAAACATGGAATGCGCCATGAGCCACCAAAGAACAAAGCAACGGCCCAAGTTGGCAGTACATTGGCCAAAAGCGGCTTGATGCTCCGGAAATTGCACAGGTCACTCCGGGGCTGCATTGGCAGTACATTGGCCAAAAGCGGCTTGATGCTCCGGAAATTGCACAGGTCACTCCGGGGCTGCCGCATGGCAGTGGCCAAGGCTCCCCGCCTCAGTGGGAAGGTTCAAAATAAAACGGCTGAGAAGAACTGCCCAGGCCATTGGGCCTGTCTCAAAACCTCCGAACCGGGCCATGTTCCTTTGGTGTCCGTTTCACGCCAAACTGCGTTGTTTCCCCATCGAGAATATCCCTACCCAGACCCTATGGAAGGAGAAATTCTAATTCTGAGGCCGCATGAAAACTTGAAAACGTGACACTGGGCCTACATGGCCTCCACGAATCAGGGCCTCGAGAATCTGCCGAGGTTGCTGAAGATTGCCAGAGAATTGCAGTCCCACTTTCTGTGTGTCTCTCAAGCCTTTCATCAAAACAAAGATACGACAACATGCGTCCCTTTCATCTCCGAACATGTGGCCCAAGCACTTGAGGCACCAGACTCCAGCAGCTCATCGGCAACAGCTAGGCCCATGCTGGGGTCCTGAGCAATGAGCGCCTTGCCCTTGCCCGTTTCACCCATCACATGCGGAGGGCCGAATTTGGAATTTGCCATGTCCTCTCTTGCAAGGAGACCTCCAACCCGCCAGAGCAATCGGCTGAGGCCGGCACATGAGAGGAGGTCTCGAGGAAGAGGTACTCTGCCAGCTTTCGGTACCTCAAGAATTGACGGTGCCCGCAAGCAAACCCGGCACGGAGCGATCTGCAGCGGCTTTCGTGTGAGGTCACTCGTACTTGCGGAAGAGGTAGTCCACCTTGGACTCCCTCTTCTTCCTGTCAAAAAGTGGTCATCAAGCGCTGCCTTGGTGACAATAATGAGTCCGCGCAGGTGGAGTGTAGGGTGTCGCGCTGAACATATTTATGTAAATATTGGTGGATATGTCTACGTAAACATGTATCTCATACATACTAGGGCGGTCGCCAAAATGTTTGTTTTGGAATTATATAGATGGCAGTAGCAATTTCCATACGGGCCCGCCTTGTGCGCAGTACAATTCAGCTGGAGCGGAAGCCAAATGGTTTGACTGCACCAACTTATGAAATGATTGAGTAGGGCACCAGCGCGGTTGTTTTTCAAGAGCTCCCAGAGCCAGAGCTGCGTTTGCTACTGTCACTACTCTCGCTACTGTCACTGCTGCACTGGCAAGCAGCATTCGTCTGGTTCCCGGCCCCGAAGCATTCACGGCTGCCTGCTCCAAGGAGGAATCCCTCTCGGCACCAATTTGGCTGTGCAAAGCATCCCGAGCCTCCTCACAGATGCACCCTTTCTCGGTTCGTGAGATCCGGGCGGCATGATGGGCTCGGGCCCACTTGAGGCAAGCGTGGCCAGCCCAGTGCTAGCGCGGTGTCGGCGCGGTGCCAGTGCCATGCTGGCAGTGCTGGTGCGATGCTGGCGTAGTGCTGGCGCTATGCTAGCGCTGTGCTAGCGTGGTCCACAAAGCTCTGTTAAAATGACTCAAAAAACGCACACAAAGTGTAAGTGCCAGTTCTTGCAGTCTGCGTCCCTGAAACAAACTCACCTCACCTCAGCTCACCTCACCTCACCTCAACTAACCTCACCGCACCTCAACTCACCTCCACCTCACCTCAACTCACCTCACCTCACCTCACCTGACCTCACCTCAACCCACCTCACCTCACTCACCCACCACCTCATCTCAACTCAACTCAACCCACCTGACCTCACCTCAACTTACTTCACCTCACCTCAACTGCCCTCACCTCACCTCAACTCACCGCACCTCACCTCAACTCAACTCACCTGACCTCACCTCAACCCACCTCACCCCACCACCTAATCTCAACTCAACTCAACCCAACTGACCTCACCTCAACCCACCTGACCTCACCTCACCTCACCTGACCTCACCTCAACCAACCTCGCCTCACTCACCTCCTCACTTGGGTGCCGTGGCCCAATAATATGCTAGTGTATGCATATGTGTATGCCTATATGTGTACACATTGCTCTGCACGTATAGACTAATTCATGATATGTTGTCACGACCGGCCCCCGAACGAACCCGCAATTTGCAATTGTTTGAGCTTTCTTGCTCTTCCCATTCTAGGACTCCAAGCACGAGGAACCGGCAGCTTCAAGCTCATCACTCAGGGAAAAAGTGCCACAAAGTGCAAAGAAGCGTGGGTTTCGGCAAATGAGAATCGATTGCACCAGCTTCCCTGAAACAAAGCCTCCGCAATCCCCGCCTTACACGGGGCCTCTCGATGACCTGCGCAGTCAAGGTGCAAAGTTCGGGGAAGGACGGCGGCTCCTTTGCTGTTGTGCGCATCGGAGGTGCCACAACAGTCCCCCCAATTATATAACACGGGGGCAAAAAGGAGGTCCGCCAAGGCAGATGCACCCAAAAAACATTAGCTTTATAGGTTCCATCAAAACATGTGCCAAAGCAAGATGGACAAATGCAAACGGGCTGATGCCACAGTCGGCTCAATGACCAAGCGTCGCAGTGTCCAAGTCAAAGAACAAGAACCTAGATTATCGTAGATGCTCAAAAACAAAGACAAGGAGTGAGCTTCTCCCTTCCCTCTTTCCCAATTCGAAGCCCTGGCACTGACTACTTCAGGCTGCGAAGCACGACTCAGGCACCACAAGTGTGAACCACGCAAACAGGCTAGTGCTGGGAATTTGCATCTGTTTGGGCAGAAAATAATTTCTGCACACAAACCAAAAAGGAGCCCATGGAGGTATATGCCAAGCACCAAAGTGGCCCCACGCACGGTGGCACCCTCGCCCAAAACCCGTTGGCTGTTGGTTCGACTAAGATTGTGATACAGGTTTATTTGGGCCAAGATCCTCATGGACCAGGCAATTCACCACTGGCCACATCATTGTATACATCATTCTCAAAGTCACCCCCAAAGTTGCAAAAAGAAACAATCATTTCTACAGAAGCAAACCGCAGCCCGCCTCATCTTCCGCACTTGGACGGTGCAAGTGACCACGGAGGTGGCCTTTCAAAGGCCCATGAAGGACTCACCTCTGTTTGCATGTGCGTGTGCGTTTGCCTGTGCGTGTAAGTGTAAGTGTTGGTGTGCGTGCGCGTGTAGTGTGGGTGTATTTAGTGTGGGTGTAAGTGTGGTACCATGGGATGTTGAGCACTTGAGCAACAAACAGGCGGTTATCCGCACTCGGGGTTGGGACTGCCCACTACTAACCTTCACCTTTCCAGGTTCTCACTTCACCAAACCCATGCCCGACACGACATGGTCACCAGTCTGCAAAGATAACAATGCTCTCGAGCCAGTGAAAGTCCTAACTTGGACCCGGGAGAGGGAGAAGGTGCGCAGGCAAACTAGACGCGCCTTCTTCTCGCTTCCACTTCTTGGTTTTCTGGAACTCCACATCGTCAGACTGGCGCAGACCGATGGCAAGCAGCTGCCCTCTCCCCATGCATCTGACACCTTTCTAATGCTCTCGGCGGCAAGCTGCTGGCGAGCTTGCCATCGATTGAGCGGCTGCGCAGAAAGCAGGGACTCGTGCGAGACAACGTCCCAGGAAAGCTAACATATGGCAAACCATCTTTTAACCGATACCCCCACATGCTGTGCAGCCATCTGTTTCTGCTGATCACTTGTCCCGGGCCAGCAACTCAAGTAGGTCTTGCCCTAAAAAGGGCCCCAACGAAACGCGCGGTTTGCATTATATGGACTTCCCTTCAACAAAAACAAAAGGCAGCACAGCACCCAGAATCCACGTGGCAAACATATGTCAGAGCCGATATCGGTGCGGATAGAAGCCAACTTATGGGGTGTCTCAAAAAACTTTGCCTCCCCTGTTGCATGTGGCCAGAAGCCACCGTTTTGAGGAACGCACACATGATGCATGGCTAAGGGCCCACCTAGTTCACCTCTGCAAAAGATGTGTCTGCTGGTTCCTTCTGACTGTTTGCCTAACAGCTTTAGCCCAAAGAGCATTCAAGGTAGGAGCGCGCGCGCGTGCGCGCACAATTGCACGTGCGCACAAATGCGTAGTTGTTGAATCGCAAATTCTCTGGCGGTACGGCACCTCCTCCTCCTCCTCGGCGTCAGGTAGCGGCTTGTTGTTGTCCTCCTTGCCTGGCGGGTCGGGTTTCAAGCCGATGGCGTGGAAGGAGAAGGAAGAGCTTCTTTCCTCATTGTGGCATCTCACAGGTGCCTTCACCTCCCGCAGGTGCTAGTGTTGGGAAGCGTAGATGCATCGACTCTCTGCAGAAAGATCGGCAAAGTAGATTCACGCAGGATGGCCTCAATGACTTTTCGAACCATCGAAAGCACTACTGGCTACAACAAATGCTGCGCAGTCTTAAACAATGATCTCAGAAAAGGGGGTGCGCGAAAATACGAGTAGCACAGTTGGAAATCCGTGCGATACTCATCTCACAATCTCGCCAAATAATGTTGTAGCATGTGGGGAGATTATCTGAACAAATGTGGTAAAAACTATACTTCTATATTTGTGAGACGGAATTGTTGACTGCAGAAAGCCCAAAATATTGAGGACTCTGAACACAATGGGCAGTCTGAGAAACGAGTCGCCTGAGTACTACTTTAGTATTCGGGGAGCCCTAAGCCTTCTTGCTGCTCAATCCTTTCCTCCCTGAGCTCCAGTCAAAAAAGCTCTGTCCCCTCAATGGACAGTGAGAAATCAGTAAGTCCCTCAGGAGTCGTGGCAAGTCTCCATGTGTTTGCCAAATGTCGACTGGAGTTGACAGGCTGACAACTCCTTGTGCCTCATTCTTGAGCCTACCTGATTTGATTGGATGGCACTGCCGGAAGCTACCCAGGGCCTCTTCGCAGGATGCGCTTGCCCGTCACCAGCTGGACTTCCGCGAGAGGCTGGCGGGGCAGAGCGTTGAGGCGGAGGAATGAGCCACTTATCGGGCGGTGAAGCCCTAGCACAACATCTTGCGCCAACCTGCCTTTTCTTGCAAACATGTATGTGTGTGTGTTCTTGGAGGGTGGCCATTTTGGGTGAGTTTGAAGGGGAAACCAAAGGGCCAAAAGGAAACCGCCCGTTTTGGGGGGGCTCATACACCGAACGAGAGGGGAAAATCAGCAGAGAGTCAAAGTCAACAGTCTGCCTACGAAGCATCGCTGGTTTATGCCCCAGGATCTCCCACACAAATGGAAACAGCAAGGCCTGAGTTTCATCTACGTATACACAGCGTTCGGTAGGGAGTATCCGAACGAACCCTTTGCCTGAATCAGAAAAAATGCCTACATTGCCTGCCACAAAGCTTCAAGTATTCGGCTGCAGGCCTTCTTGCTCTCAGCTTTCGCCTCGCGCAAGGAGGTTTGTCTCCGAATGGGATACAGAACCACTCAAGATTAGGCCGGGGGCAAAAGAGGCCAAAGGCCAACTGGAGCGGTTCGTTTTAAGAGGGAACTTCTGGCGCCGTAACGTTCTAAAATGCACTGGCATTTCATCGGCCAAGATATCGCCGCCTGCAACAACGACACACATGTTCTAAAAAGCACATGTTAAATTTGTTTTCTGTCAATCTTCCTCCGAATTCCACCCATGTCGCGAGTTTTGCCAAACTGCCGCCACGTGGCCACATACGCTGCCAGCAAACAAAACACATGTTTGCAAAAAGGCAAAAACTTTCGCGGGTCAATGGATATGGGGTTGCCCCCAAATAGTTAAGCCAAGATACCAACAGCACTGGTCGCCAGGTGAAACTGGAATGCAAGACCTTTCCCAAGGACAAAACCCCGCTTCGAGCTTCGCATGGGTCGGACGCCTCTCCCACGTTTCCTGCCACTGCGGGGCGATCGCGGCCAGGTCAATTTTTGCAGGGCCACCCTGGTAGACGGCAAGAAAATGTCCAGCGGCCGACGCCGGGACAAACGTGTCTCTTCCGGGCACTGTGGCAGCAAAAAACCCGGACCACTCCTTCTTGGACATCAACCCGCCATCTCTCCGCCCAAGAGCTCAGAGTGTGGTCTCAGAGTTAAAGGGAATACAGACTGGTGCGTGCAAGTTTGTAAGGCCAAAAGCTGGTTAGGCACACAAATCAAAAGCCCGCGAAAGGCCACGGTCCATCTTCGGGACGCAGCAAAGGATGGTTAGCTGCACTTGTATTGTATTAACAAGTTGCGACTATCGAGCTGGAGCTGCTGCGTGTATTTCGTGCACTGCACTTGCACTGAACAGTTGCAATTTTTGAGGATTTTGTGGGAACCCTCCGCGAAAGCCTCGCGAAAGGGTTGCCTGGCCCAAGTGTGCTCCGCGAAAGGAAAGCCGTAGGGCACGAAAGGTGTGCGAAAGGGTTCGCGACGCAGCGAAACCCTGAGCATCTCCAGAATCCAGTTTGCCTTTGGCAGCTCGTTGTTCACAAGGATAGCTTGTGGCAACTGGCCATGTGTGGCCTAGGGTGTGCTCAGATGCAATGTTGACGCCATTTCACGCACGCAGCCTTCTCTCTGAAAAGGGAGAAGGGATGGAGGTCAGGCACCTTGCGGTGGGGGGTGGGGGGAGAATGGAAGCTGGCTGCTTTCCTTTCGCGCAAGCAACTTGCCGGACAACACCTTTATAGTTACTAACTTCTTTCATGTGGGTTTCAAACGCTGCTCACATGAAGCATGTCCCGAACGTACAAGGATGCATAGTTAAGCGGATGCCGAAGCACTGCCCCCCGACAGACAGCGCAACAATGATTCGACCCTGACAGTCAGACACTCTGCTAAAATTGGACCTTCTCTGATTCACGAGGTCCACAATGCTGCAACATATTGGTGTCTCCAACTGGAGGAAGCCCAAACATGGATGCTTCGAGTCCAACTGGATGTTTTTCCGAATCGATCTGATTGGCCGACCGCGCCTTGCTGCGGTACTGCCACTGCCCGCTGTCAAGGCCCACCTGCCGTGCAATGCCGAGCCGCGCGACACCGCGTTCGGGGCCTGCTATTTGGGAGTGAGGGTGGGTAGACAGCCTCGGTCGGAAACTACAGCTTCAGGCCGCTTGCCGTCTTCCTTTTTCATGCCTGATAAATGTGAGGTTCGCTCAATGCATCCACAATTTGGAGGGACACTGGGGGACTGTCTAGGTTGCCAGCAAAAACCCAGGGGTGACGAGGACCTACTTCGCATGTCCATTCCAGAAACTGTTTCCCATGTTCCCAGCACATCCCAAACAATGCCACGATTGAAGAAAGATTGTCCATCTGTCATTCAGTGACAAGCCTTTCACTTGCTGCCTTGTGCCAAAATAAAACGGTTCACTGACAGCTTGTGCTTTCCTCCGCAGCAATTTGTCCTCTTCCTGTAGGTTCTGCATAGTAACAAAACGCTTCATACACAAGATAATTACTTGGGAAACCCCATGAAGATTTTCCCAAAATTCTTGCAAACCCTTTTGGGCTAAAGAATGGGAAAACCCATCCAGTGCCATACGCGATTTGCATGGCCATCGTTCTGCAAGAGAGCCCCGCCGATCTCTGGCCCTACCCCAACCGAGGACGGTGCTACGAAGCCGCGATCGTCAGGTCGCCAAGCAATGCAGGTGGCAGGCCCTGGAAGCCTCGTGGGTTGGACTGGTACATGGGAACGCCTGGGTTTCGTTTCGATGAACAGTTGAACTGCCTCCGATATACAGAAAAAGGTTCGTGTCCGCCAACCATGTGAAAAAGTCACAACCATTGAAAATCCTGGCCATTGGTCAACACGGCTTGAGGCTGAAGGAGTTTCTTTGCGAGGAGATTCAGGTGAGAAGCCTCAGCCATGGCAGTGGTTGCTGCGCTAGCCCACCGCAATGGGTGTGTCTTTTTTGAAGGGGCCCTTTTCGGATTTGGTCGAAAGTGCGGCAACAAATGCATTTAGCGTGCCCTGTTGTGGAAACACTGTCTCTAAAAACCTCGTCTTGTTTCGCGGGTGACTGTTGCCAGCAAGAAGGTTTACCCCTTGACAAGGACATCTGAACAAAATATCTTGGTGTCGGGCGTGTACGTCCACACGTGCGACAAGTCTGCCGCATGGTAGACCTGTGCAGGGCAGAACCATGTCTCAAATTTCCCCAAAATGCCTGGCGTCCTTTTGGCTTCCTTTAAAATCACAACAAGGAGGTTTCCCTGAAGAAACCAAAAGATCACAAGCAACAGGACGGGCTTCCCAAACAGGGGTTCCCCCCCCCAAAAAAAAAAACAGAAAAGGTCCTGTACCTCCTCCCAGGGTTTTTTGAAGGGGGCTGAATTTTACTGTTTCTCAGTGCTGTTGCATTCTTTGGACAGTCTCAGTCTCAAAAAACACTGCCAAGAAAGGTAAACTAGTTTGTCGTTGGGGGACATACTGAGCTACTCAGAGGCGTTCACCCCACAAAAAACGACCCCATCGTCCTTTTCCGCCTTGGCCAGGCCATCGAAGGACGCCGTGAGCAGTGTGGAGGCCTCGCGAAGGGAAGCGACATGCCCCTAGCCGGTGGAGTACCTGGCTTGGGGTTGGATCAAAGGCAGACCAAAAGGAAACCGTTTCGCCCATGTTGGTAACCAAAACCAAACTAAGGCAAAAAACCGAGACACTCCCCTTTGATCAGATGGCAGCCAGGTCCCATTCGTGACAGCTGAACCCGGATGTTCACTTCCGCCTTGACGCCAAGCCAGTGGCAACAGATGACGCGCAGCTACATAAATGATGTCTGTTGTGCTTCGGCGCAAAGTGCCACGCGCCTTGGAGTCGAGGCAAAGGCCCATGACCACCTGCAAAGATGGGCGCTGATGGGAGAATGGGGGCGGCTCCAAAATTCCTGCCAATTGATGATATAATGATATGCTCCACTCAACAGAGTTGTCTGGTACAAGTTCCTTCCCCAAGAGCCCCGAATTGTATGCCGATACGCCGATACGGGACTTCGGAGCGACGAGGTTTCAAGCCAGGACCCGATGACTCTACACACTCGCCCTGCTGCAGAGGATCTCTTGAACCCCCAACACGATGCCAAGCAAACGCAAGGGATGGTGAAGTCTGCCAAAACGCGGAAGGTTCACCGGGGCCAATAAGCCTTTGTCAGGTGCGTCAAACATAGGTACCCAAAATGGAAGCCTGGTAAGAGGAAACATGGACCAAAATCTGCGGTCCCCGGGTGGTTGAATTTTGACCCACAGCCAAACGGAGAAAAAGTCAAAGGAAGCGTTGCTCCCCTGCCTTTGAGTGGGCGTCTTGCAGCTCCGACAGCGCCTTGCCGGTCATGGCCAGGTCCCACACCTCGCGGGTCCGGGCAATTGTCTGTGGTTGACAGGGCCAAGCTTGTCACACTGGCCCGACTCGGGCTGGATCTGCTCTAGAATTCCATCTCCATATTCATGTTTACGTTCGTGGGGGAGGCCCTACTCTAGTCTCCTGCTCGGAAAGCAGATCCCCTCGACAGCTTGTAAGTTAACGTATGGTCAAGTAGAGGGGTTTCCTTGCTTCACACTTTCAAAAGGGGGTCAGGCTTGGGCCCAGAAATTCGGACCCACCTGGCTCAACATCAGACTTTTGAAGAGCCAGAGTTATATTAAGACAACCTCACTCTGTGCGACTTTCTGCGTCACAAGCTGGTCCATTTTGAGACCCTCCCACAGATGAACCAATCAACGTTTAGAGTCTCTCTTTGGGACACGAATCCAGTCTTGGATCCTTGTTCATATTTCTTAACCACAGACACAACGTACGATCATCCATTCTGTGGGTGTTTCTTTCTTTGAGCCACTACTCTTGGGCTTCTTTTGAAAGGAGCCCAAAGCAAACCGAATCCCATTTTACAAACGTCAAACACAAGCCAAACCCAAAGGAACCCAAACCGTCCGAACCTTCTTTTAGCATGCTAATCCCATGAGACAACCAGCCCGAACCCGGAACAAACCCCGGCTCGCGATCCCGTCCGCCCCGCCTTCACCCCGCTGCCGCCGGCAGAGGCGAAGAGCGCAGCACTCGGGAAGGCGCAGCCAGCCTGGAGAAGTTCCCCCGAGCAGAACTCCCGAGACGGGTGGCTCCTCTTTTTTCGGACTCGACCCTCCCCCAAAACAAAATGGCTTCGGTGTTCCTTTTGGTTTCCCTTTGACACCCACCAAAAGAAGGGAAGGGGGTCGAAAGAAGTAGGGGAAGCCTCATTGTGGTTGGCCTCTCCTTTTACAACAATGAAACGCATACCAAAAGGGTTCCCCTTTGAACATCTTCCCAACAAAGAAACTCACGTTACATTAACAACCAAAAGCTGACGTGTCAACCCAAGGGAAGCAGTGCTGGGACCATTCCTGTATCTTGCGCAGAGAAGCACTAGCCCGAGGACGCCTTTTGCCCCAAGCCTCCACTGGATGACCATGGTCCACAGAGATGGCCGCTTTTTTGGCCTAGCGCATACGCTGCTTGAGTCACGTGTGAATTTGTGCGCGGAAGAAAAAAAAAAAAGGCTGCAAAAGGTTCATACAGCCTCGAACCCACACCTCCAACCAGAGAGTAGAACTCTTTCCTTGGGCTTTGACCACCCTCTTTCTCTGTACCGCACACCATCCGCACAGCCACCAGCACAACTCACCATATCCAACCGGTGGACACTCGTATATATGTTGGTTTGAGGATTTTCATAAGGGCATATCAGCATATCCCATGTGGCTTCAACTAAAATCGCTTCAACCTCTGGCAGTGTCTTTTGGGTTTGAAGGTGCAGAAGATCCATTCTATCTCCAACCCCCAGCGGGAAAGAAGAAACGGAGCCTGGACTCTCGGGTCCCAGAGCTTCACCCGCTTGTCGTAGCCGGCCTCGGACCCGCCGTCTTGAGGCGGTTGTTTGTTTGGAAACACGCACGCATAAGCTTGATGGCTTTCGTGGAAGTCCACCCGAAACCGCAACCCCCTGCTTCGGGGAAAAAAACACCGTAGCCTTCAGGGCCTCGAACACGGCTACGACATTTGGAGCTCAAGAGGGCGTCTCGGTTCTATTCATCTTCCGGAACATTCGCTTTGTCTCCAGGAGTCCGCGCAGTGATCCAGGAGTCTGCCACCGGGCCTGCCGAGAGGCACTTCAAGCAGTCATCGTGGGCCTCCACCTGGCAGTGAGTGACGCCGACTCGCCTTTCCTGGGCGCCTTCCTCTTTCTCTTCCTCCTTCCCTTCCCCCTACCCTGCAGCGCCGAAGTTTCTTCTGCTACATGGCCAGTTCCGGACACCAAATTGGGAAGGCAGCAAGGTGCGATTTGCACCCCGATTTATGGCTGGGACTGTCCCTTCATGTACCTGGGGCATAACTTTTGGTTCCACCAAGATCACAAATGCATAAAGATTTGTCTGCGTCCTACAAGAACCCCAACCAGGTAGAACTTGGCCGCCTCTGGTTATAACCCTACCCCCATTTAGGTGGTTTATAACCCCATGTGTAACCAAAGCACACCACTGGGGGTTGGGTTTTGTGGTGACTCGTCAAGTCTTGGTTGCACCTCCTGCAACAGCTCGCAGCTTGCCACGTCCCACAGACGGAGCTTCCCATCCTGTGAAGTCGGAGAAGACCGAGTTCGAAGGCCGGCGCGGAGAAGTGATTGTCTTCTTTGAGGGTTGCCCTCGTTTCAGGTGTGAAGGTGTTGTTTTTTTGGGGTTGGTGCCTTAGGGCATCAGAATCCAAAAAGGGCAGAAGATAGCCAGCGCTTGCAAAAGGTCTTGAGGCTGCACTCCGCGATGCGTCAAGGAAGCACCCCGACTGCCACAAAGTCCACTTGAGAGTTTTCCGCACGACCACGAAGAACTCTGCGACGGCAACTACCGCATCTGGCACTGAAGCAATGATATAATCTGGCAACCTGGTTGTGTCACTCTTGCACTGGGCGGAAATTTATTCTCCGTGTTAAATTACTTATGAAGACAAGTTATGAGGGAGTATGAACGGGCACCCCCGGCGTGCACTTTGACAGAGCTTTGAAGCCAGACATACGAGAGAAAATTGACCGACTCACCGACCGACCGACCGACCCAACAAAAAAAAACAAACAAACAAACAAACAAACAAACAAACAGCCAAACCAAACCAAACCAAACCAAACCAAACCAAACCAAACCAAACCAAACCAAACCAAACCAAACCAAACCAAGCCACCAACCAACCAACCAACCAAACAAAAGCCAAGCCAAGCCAAGCCAAGCCAAGCCAAACCCAACCCAACCAAACCAAACCAAACCAAGCCAAACCACCAACCAACCAACCAACCAACCAACCAACCAACCAGCCAGACAAACAAACAAACAAACAAACAAACAAACAAACAAACAAACAAACAAACAAACAAACAAACACACAAACACACAAACACACAAGCAAACCAGCCAGCAAGCAAGCAAGCCAGCAAGCAAGCAAGCAAACAAAAACACAAACAAACAAACAAACAAACAAACAAACAAACAAACAAACAACCAAACAACCAAACAACCAAAATATAAAGCAAACAAATACGCAGGCAAGCAAGCAAACAAGCAAGCAAACAAGCAAGCAAACAAGCAAGCAAACAAGCAAGCAAACAAAGCAAACAGGCAAACAAGCAACACCACCAAACACAACAAGACCAAGCAAAACCAGGCACAACAATTCCAAACACAACAATCCCAAACACAACAACACCAACCACAATCACAGGCACAAAAAACACACACACACACACACACGCACACGCGCGCACACCCACACACGCCAAAGAGACCTGCGGACTCCAACTGGCTGGATTCTGAGCACTCTCCGTCCCGGTGCCTTGCAGCCCGTGGCACAGCGGCTCTTGTCCTCCGCGAAGGCAGCACCTGGGCGATTGGAGGGGGGACCCCGTTCAAAGGCGGTTCCCCAAACTTGTGAGTCTGCGCAAACGTGATCCCTCTATCGCGCCGCCAACCCATCTGGTTGAATGAACAATCACTAGCCAACTCAAAATATCGAGGAAGAAACCAATGGCAAGAATCTTCATCATGGGGCCGGTCGCAAGCCCACATTTGTTCTGCTAACATCTCTCCATGGTCTTTGACCCGCTGCAATTGACCCAATTGGCAAAGGCGGTTAAACGTCAAACCAAAAAGCAACCGAGGGAGACCGTCCGTGCTGGTGGCTGTGTTCAAAAATAGGACCCCCAGAAATAGGAATTGTAAAATGGATTGGTGTGCGGCTTCCCTTGAAACCAATTGATCAGGGGCTTTTGACTCTCCACGTTCCTGCAGGTTCACGCCCCAGCCTTCATGTCACCATCGCTTTTGGTGCGGGTCGGTATTTCCCCATATTTCCCCTTTAACCACCAATCTCCCACTGGAAACCACTCAAAAAAGTGGCCTTGCAGGTGTAGGGACCCCTTTTTCTTGTTGCGTTCAGTGTTCGCCTCCAAACTCACTGAAACAAAGGGCCTAGGTGATGTTTTAAAAAACAAGGGGAACTATAAAAACCCCTGTATTTAGGATTTCCTTTCAATTCGCCTAAGTCCAGGTGATGTTGCAAAGAACGCAGGGAACTCTTGGAACGCCATTGGGGTGCCTTCCATTCGGTCTTCGCCTCTCACCTCCCCAGCTTCCAGGCCCCGAGGCAGGTCACGGCGTCGCCGTGCCCGCGCAACCTGACACGAGAGGGCGACGGCTGCCCATTGGATTTGTGGTTTGTGGTTTCCTTTTTGCTCTTTTGTTGTTGTTTATTTATTTGTTATTTTAATTTTCATTTGTTGTTTTTTTGGGGGCAGGGGGGTGATTGCAGTGTTTTTTCCCCAAAACAGAGTTCTGGGAAGGAGTCGGTTCCTTCCGTGAGAGGGAACCCGCACAAGTGGAGACTTCGTCCTTTGGACGGCACAAGACGAATGCTCACGCCAGCCGCGATCCACATATGTGCCTAATGCAAAGGACATGGGATTCTGGGTGTTGCAGCTTAGAACTCCGTTGACAGGCAAGAGTGCCACAAAAGAAGCAGCCTCAAATGTACAAAACGCATTGGCAATGTTCAGCCACCAAAGTGCTTTGGGGGGCCCTCCCAAGGGTGCCGTGCCAAGTGTCACTGGTGACTGGCGCTTTGACCATGGCTTCAATTGATGGTTCGAGAACGGATAGCCTCAGCGAATCATTTAAACAGACAACAAGAAAAAATGAAAGCCAGGGAAAAACAACTATGAAAGCAAGCCTTCAACATAGGTGAGAGGAAGCCGATTGGGGGGTTCACAATTTGAGACCTGGGTAAGCGTGCGCTTCCCTGCAAAACACAAAACGACAAAACATAAGGACTACGCCCACACACAGGCTCAGCACCCTTTTTGGGGTGGCTCAGGCAATTTAAACGAGCTCATTTTGGGGGATTCTTTCTGAGCAGTGGGAGTTGTCCACGTCCGTTCCAATGGAGGGCCTGTTTCAAGGACTGGTTCCCTCCCAAACCAAACCGTCAAGCCAGCGGCTGGCCTTCTCAGCACAGAGCGGGTCTCCATCTCGATGACAGCGCAGGTGCCGCTGGCCTGAGGAAACACAGCTCGCTAGAAAAGAGCCAATCAATTCAATTCTCCTGGTGTCCCCAACTGACATGGCAATGGGTCAAAAATGGGTATCCATTTTGGAACCCTGGGAAATGGAACCAAGGACTAAAACCTGCGGACCCGGTGCTTTAATTTTGACCCAAACCCACATGGGAATTCGTGAGCAACCCTCGTGCCAAGCCATGTGCAGGCCATGCAAATGAGGAGAATTTATAAGTGATGGAAATGAATGGGGAGCAAGCTATGAATCGTGCTTCGGGAGCTGCCTCACGAAGGTTTTGATTGTCCAAGGAAGGCCCATCCGCCTTGCTTTCCCTTTGCCGCATTTCTCTCGAAACAAATACGCCAGTGTATGAGGGCTCGTTCCAAACCTATCCCATTAACCTATCCCGTTACTTGAGACTTTGGAACTTGGTTTTCTGCAACAATCGCCAGTCGGTCACAAGGTGCCCCTTCATCTCAGATGCAAAGCAACGGACCGCGTCCCTCACCCGCACGGCCCACACGGCCGCCCGCGCCTCTCCCACAAGCATCAGCCGCCCATCACTCCTCCAGGCCGCGCACTGCGTGAGGTCCTCGCTCGCCGAAAGGCAGCTGCCCAACTGAGTGAGTCCAAATTGATCTTCTCAATTACCAGATTGAGTTTACCAGATTGAGTGGGTGTCCCGGGCAAATTTGAGATCCTTGGATTCTCCCCCTGGCCTTTCGTTGTGGGCGAACGTACCGGCCGTCGCGCCTTGAACTTGGTCAAGGAGCTGCCCTCCTCAAGGCCTCCCTCCTGTCAAAACCGGAGGTCCCTGCACTCAGCAACCCAACAGCGTGAAGTTACCCCATGCTCCCGCGAAGCCACCCCGAAAAGGGCGGGTCGTAAGAAGACTGCATCAAGAACATCAGGACGACTTGACACAACCCAATGCTGACGTCGTTCAACGGATGTAATCCGCCAGTGCAACCATTTCCTTCTTCATCTTTAGGATCACGGCAAGATGTCGCTTGGATGTTGCACATGCCAGGGGACAGCGTTCCCCGCTCCTTGGCCGTGTTCCATAGGCCCACCTTCCTGGGACAGGCAGGAAGCTGACCGGTGCCTTCCTTCAGGCCCCAAGTCGTTGGTGGGTTGCCATAACCCGCATGTAGATACAACATCTTCGTTGCAACAAAATTCATACCTTGGATGCCGTGCTGTGCATGTGCTTGCACCGATAGATGCCTGGTGGCAAATGGCCATACAAAATGCCAACATGATTAAGGTGTTAATATGAGAAACTCGCACAATGAACCAAGCTCACGGTCAACCATTGCTCCCGTGTTCCTCTCTCTTTGCGTGTGTGTGTGAAATCCTGAAACTGCGAGAAACACACATGAGTAAGCTATTGAATTTGGCCATCCTACTTCTGCCTGGGCAGTGCCAACTTCGTCTATCAGCATTGCCAAGCGCTTGCAAAGCTGGCCTTGCTGGTTAGCTGCAGTGCTCCAAAGGCAGATGCCCCTGGCAGCCCTCCACACACGGGTCATCTAACAGGGTCACCAAAGCTCCCACCCAGTGCACCATTTCAGCGTCTTCACGGGAAATTCAAGGACCCTGACAAGATGCAAGCGTCGGAGTTCCTGGATGCCATTTGGGTTCCTTTTTCGAGAATGCCCCGTGTTTTGGCACATTTTAACAGGGAGCTGTTAGGGACACCTCCCATGGGCCGCCCATGGGCCGCCCCTCAGCCCCTGAGCCCAGCGTTGGTTCAAGAGCGAGCGGCGTGCCGCTCACCAGCGCCAGGCGCGTGGGCAGCGTGGGGCAGAAGCTGGCGCCCACCACCCGACTGCCCTGGGCCGAAGAATCCGACGTGTATCCCAACGAAAAGTCTTGGGTAGCTAATATGGCTGTGGCTCCAAAAAACAGTACAATGGACACCTGGTGGGAACATGGACCAAAACTTGCATAACCCCTCCTGTTTAATTTTGAGCCACACGCATATGACTGATTCATATCAGAGATACTTTAATTCCTGGAATTGGTACAACTTATAACATTCAATCTCTTGTTTAGTCGGTAAACTGTTAGAGTTAGAGTTTCCATCATCTTTCCCTCACTCATCACAACTCGGTGGTTGCAACTGCACAGGAAACTACGACCGGACCGGACAGGTCACTGTGGCTTGAAAGGCGGAAAAAACCCCTGGGCCCCGCCCCCCGAATTAGACCACCCGTCACCGGGCTGAAAAAACACGCCGCAAAAAGGCGAAGCGGTCGGCGCCTCGGAGCGCTTGAAGGTGGCCTTCAGGCCCCGAAAGGCTTTCGCCTGGCCGCCGCTTCGGCCGGACAGCTCGGCTCGACGTGGGGCTGAAGGTGTTGCTATGGACGGTTTGAAGGAAAAAAAACGGGGCGGCTGCTTACACACGCAAAAACAGCAGTTTGGACAGGTCCAAACCGGCCATCATCAAACGGTACTTATGAGCATGCGAGTCTGTGGCTTGGTTGGCCTGCGATTCCGCGCAAAATTTGCTCAAGACCAGGCGGGCAACAGTACCCACCACCACATTGCTCGAGCTACGGTGATGAGTGTAAGCGGGATTCAGGGAAGGAGATCTTCATGGGCGTTTCAGTGGAATCGATCGCCGTGAGTCTTCAGGTTGACCCCCCATGCTTTTCACCCATCGTTCTGGGAAACCACCAGAAACACCTGGGCGGTTGTCATCTTTTGCAAGGAAGGATCCCTGAAGCGAATGGTTCGGAGATGGAGCTAAGGCAACAAAGGTTGAAAACCCTACCATGGAAGATACAAAAGAATACAACGCAGAACTCTGTCTTGCGTTTCGGTACTAAAACCTGAAAAACTTCTTTGCCAGCCAATTGTCATGTCCCTTCGAAGGAAGGACTGAACAATGGAGAAACCAAAAAGCTGCGAATTTCCCAGCAACACCAAATTTCCCACTTTCAGGTTTCCCCCCAAAAAAAATAGTTGGAGCAACCGGTTTAGATCCACATGTCCCCAACCCCGGAACCCAAGCACCCAGCTCCCAGCTCACCCGCGGGGACTTTGCCTCCGGCGCGAGCTCCGAGACGTGGCGGGGCCGCAGAAGCGGCTTCACCTCCAGCCTGCGATGCGCTGAAAACCCGCTTGCCACGGTCTAAATGGAGTGGACGGTTGGCAGCAAACGCGGGAAATCTATTTGGAGCCATTCGCAAGGAAAAAATGCATAAAACCAACTGAGAGGGGGACGGACAGCCAAATTTTTGGGGGCCCTGTCCCCTCCCCCCTTAAGGCATGAGTTGGGCTACGCTTTACTGAGCAGGCCGCGACAGAGAGAGAGAAACAAAAAAAAATGAGGGCCATCTCCAATTGTCAGAAATACCTAACTGTGTCAAAGTGTCTGTAGAGGAAAATACCAGCCTCTCATGTTGGGCTACTGGCCCAAATCGGCTTTGAGGTTCCGGCGGGTCTCCCATTTCGCTCGGCAACCAGCACGGCGACAAGGCTTGGCCGGAAGCAGCTTTCTCTTCTCTGCTCGAAACTTGGCTGAATTGATGAAACGTTTGGACAAACAAGCGTTTGGATATGGCATTGCGCTTCTAACGTCAAAGCTCAAAGAAGTGCAAGCGGCTTATCAAGCTAGGAACGAATGCAAAAGCATGCACGTTGTAAGGCTGTGTGAAGTCTCGAATTGCGCAAACGCTTCGAAAGCCCCCTTGTGGTTAGGCCTTGCAACATGGCTTCAACACTTGCAGCGCTATGCTTTTTCAGCGCTCGCTTGGCTGGCGCGCGAGCGATGCGCATAAGGCCCCGTGGCTCGACTAGCAAAATGCCCATGGACCCGTGCAAGTTTGGGATAGGGGCACCGTGGATTCATGCTATTCATGCTATGTTTGCGAACAAACAATGAGCCATCTGAAGCATGTGCTACAAAGCAAGGCACAGAGATGCAGTGGCCAGCAATCCATTCAAAGCATTGTAGCGCAGAAGCGCGGGCAACGCTGCCATTTTTTCCTCACAAATGCTGCAAGGGGTCGTCGTCAGCACAATCATGAGACCTGCGCCGTGAGACAAACAGCAAAACACAAATACTGGAGAATGGAGAGAGGCGAAAGCTTGACAACGAACAACAACTGACCGGAAGCACCCAATCACTGGAAAGTCGATTGGAAAACCAGGCATGGATGGAGGGAAACCCATCTGACGCCTGGCGCTCAAAATGTCCCAAGCCAAGAGAAGTGACTGTGGGCAAAGAACCGCTTGAAGACGCATCAGAAGCCGGAAACCGAGATGGCAAGACGTGCAATCTGTCCCACAGCTTGTTTCTTTTCGATATGAGATCCCGAGCCATTCAATGAAGCGAACCATGACATGAGAAAGTCTCCGCGCAAATTGGCCCATGCTTCTGCCATGAAGTCCAACGCGCCTCGTAAGGCCTCCAAGCCTCGATTGATCGAAGGAAGCTGAGTTGCGAAACTTCCGGCATACAAAAAGTTGGCCTAGCTAGTTGACCATGCGAGAAAACACAGGCCTAGCAAATGAAGAGAATAGAAGTAGCAAAACCATATGGCTGTGTGTCAAAAATAGGTACCCCAAATGGAACCCTGGTAAGTGGAAACATGGACCAAAACCTGCGTAACCCGTCCTGTTTAATTTTGTCCCACACCCATATAGCACCTCAGCAGAATTGGAAAAAGCTACAGCTGCAAGTGCTGCAGACTTCCTGCGGTCCCGCGAACGGTCTAACAGTTCTCCGCATCGGAAGGGCGCAGAAGTACTGTGCAACGGCCTTCAAACAGCAAACGGTGAACCTCTTGTGCATCTTCGGCTCATGACATTCAAAATATCTTCGTTTCTAGCGCTCGTCTAGATTGTTGAACCCTGTGAGGACTTTCTGCGGGTGCGGATTCAGGCTGTGAGCTTCCCCCATTGCCGCGGCAAAATACAGCGAGTGGCTTACTTCTGTGGCCTGGCAAACGGGCGAAACATTATCCGTGTTGGAATGACAAGATCACGCGTTCCGCGAGCCTCCAAGTGGTGAACCCTCTGCGGACTTCCTGCAGGCACTCCCCCATTGACACGATGCAGCGAGTTGCAGCGATCGATTTTGAGATAGTACACGCAGCGCCGGCTCACAAATCACAACTTTCAAATACGAAGATGGTACGCGAAGTATCGTGGCCCCGAAAATAGCATATATATATATATATATATATTACGTACGATAGTAAGACGCGCAAGTACACGTTCGCAGTTATGGCTCGCAAGTGTGCAGCTTTTACTTCGAAAGTGATATGCACGCAAAGCAAGCTCGGTGGGGAGCAGTGTCCGCGGCAGTGCGCCGGTCACAAGAGCACATATTGACGCAGCACGCGGGGGGAAACAAAACATTCAGCCGAGCAACGCTGCATGGGGTGGCTTGACGCAGTGGTTTATTGGATCAATTGCATCCCTCCCATAGACGTGTTGTGCTTTTGGAAACTTCCGGCCCCAGCTCCGCTGGCTCTAGCATCGCTCATGGATCAATCAGGTGCTCCCACCGCATGCAGGCCGAGCGTGGAACGAGCTTCTACCCATGAGGAACTTGCTACAGGGCTTCGCTGTTGTGTCCCTTTTAGGCATCACACAGTCGCCCCACTCGAAAAACGCATCAGCCCGGGCGATTTCGTTTTCGAAAAGGACATCTGGCAATCCTGTCACCATTCCCGAACAGCAAAGGTTTGCTGGCTTTTGGCTTGGAATACTTGCCGATTCGGAACCACAGAAACAAATAGGTTTGCTTGGTGGGTTCCTTCCGTGATCCCCTGCTGAGCCACAGCCAAAACCCGGTATCGACGGAGTTCCCCAAAAGGGTGGAGGCCCGCACCTGGTCATGGCTGGAACTGTCCCCAACTGATCTTCAACTACTCAGCTATTGATGTGGCTCTGCTGAATTTGAAGGGCACCATTTTTGCCTTTGGCTTCGGCATGTTCCCAAATCACAAAATATTCTGAGAGTATCCAGATTTTCCTTGAAGTGATCAAGCGTCAGGTGCCCTGTGGGTGGGAGAGTACCCAGATTCTAATTGTGGCCCCAAGAGCTGCCAACAAGGTAGACTAGTTTGTCACAGATGACCGAAACGGCTACAGCTTACAAGTTCGGTACTTGGAGGCGCACCGTGCCCCGAGCGAAGTCTGGGCGCCCCGCAATGCGATCCTCGTTGATGCGAAGACCTTGTGCTCCAAGAGCCTTTGGCGAAGGTCCTGCAGCTCGCTCCAAGGGCGGGCAGAGTGGCAGGGAGCGTCCAAATGGTCTCACAGTGGCGAACCTGGATATCACACCACTTTCCAACCTAAAACATAAGTTTGCCTTTGGGCACTCGTTCCCAGGGGAAGGGGGGGGGGGTGAAACAGGGTTCCCTATCTTGCCAAGCTAAGAGATTCACGCCATTCAATGAATGAAAGCTCGCCAAATACATGGGCTTATCAAAAAGGTGATATCTAAAATAATCCAAGACAAAGCAGATCCGGAATCCGGCTGCTTGGGGTACAAAAAATGTCGACTGCAACGAAAGTAGACCCGGCTAAGACGGGACTGTCTCAAAGCAGTGAACCCCCTGTTGGGTCTTTTTACGGATAAACCCAGGGAAACTCAAAGGCAAACCAATGGTAAACCAATCATGCAGATGGGTTCCCCGTTCTTTGAGACGCGTATGCCTTACTAAAGGACAGGGGGTTGTTTTCAACAATGAGGCTTGTCTGCAAATAGAAGAATGCCCCAGATGGGTGGCTTACTTTTGGTTTCCCACACCAAACACCGAGTCGCGTGCCTCCATGGAGACGCCAAGCGTTTTACACCTTCGCGACAGTGCAAGGAGCCGCACAGCATTTTCTCCAGATGCAGCTTTCTCAAAATGGTGGACTCCTTTTTGGTTGGTGGCTAAAGGGAAACCCGAGGAGACACAACATATAAATATATATATATATATATGGGGGGGGGGGGAATTTTGAGGTTCCTCAAAGTATTCCTTGTGACTCCTGCATATGCCTGTGATTGCATGTCATAAATACGAGTAAAGCAACCACTGCTGCATCCCCAAAGTGGGTAGTCAGCCCCAAGTATTCGATGGTTCACCTGCAAGACTCAAGATCCCTCCTGCACGGGCAGCAGCTCAAGTCCCTCGTCGGCTTGCTTTCTGGTACGACAAATGCAGTAAGCGGACAAAACACGTCGCATCTCTACATGCAGCATCCAGGTCTTACCCTGAATGGCCAACAGCATCGAGGCACCTGTTTCATGCTCGTATGTTGCACAATGTGGGTGTACATCAGAATTGTGTAGCCCCAAAACTGGTTGGTGTCTTCGTGTGTTCCTTGAACACAATCCAAAAGGGTCCAATTCTGAGAAAGGTCCATGTATTAACTATTGTCGACTGACAAAGAGCCCAGGGCGCCATAGCTCCGGAAGCGTTGCCGCTGCCGGTTGGTTACACTTTCATGCTCACCCCAGAAAAGGTTCTGAGCAGCAGGCTTGCGAGGCGTGTGCATACTTTCCACACCCTGGCAAAAACGGCAGCGCTACAATCTTGCGTCCAAGTTTTGTGTGGTGTTTTTTGATGTGACCATCGAATCCTTTGAACACACTTGTTTCCAGCGCTCACGATCTCGATGCATGTCAGCTCTTTGGTTCCACATGAAGATGCACATGAACCGCCCCCAAGGTGCGTTTCTCTTGCCGAAGGTAAATTCTGTGCTTCAAGGTGGTGCTGCTGGGTGTGGAGGCAAATCAGGCCAAACACCTCGGAGTTACAAAGGCCCTCGCCGAACAGAACACAGCTCGCAACAATAAGCGAAAGCTCATTCTGGGCGGTTTGCAACGAGCCTGGACGTGTTTGTGCTTCTCTTGCTGGAGCACCTGACACGAGGGCTGCGGCGCTCCTTTGCCTTTTGCTTTGCTCCACATGAGTGCGAAGTCCACGGGGGTTGTTTGAAAACATCAACGTCCGGGGGCGATTGAAAACAACAACAAGATCATCTGCGGCGTCAGGCCACCTTTTTGGGAAACACTGGGAGGAAACCTTTGCACCTACCCATGCCCTATGTTGAGCCACGCGAAGCTGCCCACCCTTCTCGAAAGGGAGGCATGGCTCCTCGGAAAGGTTAAATTGCAGGTTGGTGTTGGAAGACCAAAGCTTGACAAGCTTGACTACCTCAGTGTCTCTTGCGCGCAGCACATTTGCCATGAGCCGGCTCCCCTCACACAGCGCACTACGAAGATCTCCGCGCAACTTCTCCGCGCAAGTTGTCTGCGGTCTGCCCGCAAGTTCCCGCTGCAAGTTTCACTGCACAAGCTCCCTGAGCAAGCTTCTCTGCACAAATTATCGGCTCAAATTTCTTTGCTCAAGTTGCTCAAGTTTGCCCGCGCAAGTTCTCGACGCAAGTTTCTCTGCGCAAGCTGTGTGTGTGTGTGTGCAAGATTCTCTTTGCAAGTTTCTTTGCCCAAAATATCGGCACAAGTTGCTGCGTGCGACCATCTCTCCGCAAGTCGCTCGGCGCAAGCGTTCGTCACGCGCCTTTCTCAAAGGAGGGGGCCGTTGTTCTCAATGCAAGCACATGCGAGCGCCATGCCGATCCCCGCAGAGGAGGGTCGCGAGCCGAAATCAAAAAACAAGAACCCTCAAATTTTACACATCGACCACGCCGATCCCCGCCAAGGGCCGCGCGTGCAAATCAAAAAGGTAGCAAAAAGCCCAGCTTTGCAAATCGACCACGCACAGGGTGTCATTTTCGCAGGGCGGGCTGGGGTACACCGCGCAGCCCATGCTTCTCGCGCAGAGGTCTTGCCCGAGCTTTCTCGCGCAAGATGTTTCGCACAAGCCTTGTCGTGTCAAGTTCAACTTTTGCCGAGCTTTCTCATGCAGCTTGCTGCGCATGTTCTCTCGCACTTGCCCTGCGTGCGGACTCGTGCTTCTTGCTGCACACATGCCCTTGTGTTACTTGCTCTGCGTGCGTCCTCGTGCTTCTTGCTCTGCATGCGCACTCTTGCTCGCGCTACTTGCTCCATGCGCTTACTGCAATCTGGCAGTGCGATAAGGTCTTCGATTTTGCCGGAATGGTCTCGGCAAAGCAAGGCGCGCAAGGAAGGCATCTGAGTCAAGGGATGCCACAGCTTTTCCTCGACCTCCTCTCGAACGATGTCGGCGACTTTAGTGTGAAGTTCCGGTTGGTTTAGGGTGGTTTTGGGTTGATAAACGGTGGTTTAGGGTCGGCTTTGGGTTTGCTTGTTGGCTGAGCGTTGTTTAGGGCTGGATTTGAGTTGGTTTTGGGGAGTTTGGGGTGGGTTTGGGGTGGGTTTAGGGGGGTGTAGGGTTGGGTTCCGGGCTGGGTTAAGGGTGGGTTTGGGGTTTCCTCAAGGTTTAAGTTGGTTCAGCCTTGCTTTATAGGGTGGGCTTAAGGTGGGCTTAGCCTTGGATAAGGGTGGAACCGAGCAACACCGACCAACAGCCCAAACTGACTGACCGACCGACGTGCTGACTGACCAACCAACTGACTGGGCACGCCCAAACCTAGGACAGAAACAAAACCGACGCCCCAGACACAGCATGATGATTTCCTGCCAATCAATTGACTGCAGATTCAGGCAGAGCTGCCATGCACTGGCGCTGGAGTAAGCCAACAGCACATCTGCAAGGATTCCAAGTATATTGCTCCGCCTCCTCCAGCATTTCCACTCTGCGGAAGAGGTGTGTGTTCAGCTTCTGCTGAGCATCAAGCCTCGGAAATTGACACCTGCATCTGTCCCGTGCGCTGCTCCATGGTTGTGGGAAACGGGCCTTTCTGGGAAGGGACATCCCCATGACTAAATCACTTCAAAGAAAAAGTTGCCTTGGTGCATCATTGGTCCTACAAAGTTTTTCACCACGAGATTGTCTGGCGGACCTCCTGCATGTGTTTGCCGCCTTTGCTTCATGGGCGGCCCAAACTAAGGTGGGCTCATGGGGCACGGCACACCTAAATGGAAGTGGTTGTGGAAAGTGTAGCCTCTGTGATACCAAAGAGGGATTTCAATCTCCATGACGGCTTTTATGAAAGGCAATGTCTTCGACAACTCGCATGTCTCAAAATGTATCGGGCGTTCGTCTCAAAGCATGACTATACCCGTGCGCTAGCAAAGGGTTGGGCGCAAAAGGGGCTGCCATAGCACCCTTGTCCGCATAGAAGGAGTGAGTTCTTGAATCCATGCTCGGGACGGGGAAGCTATGTTGTCAATCAGGCTGACTCAAATGATGGACACCTAAAACCGGTTCACTTGCCTTTTGCATCCCTCTAACAACTTTGAGATAGACCTATAAGGCTCCTCCTGACTTCCAACCACTGTCTGTCCTCAGCACCACTACCCCCCACCCTGCCTTGACTCTAACTCTCCGATTTGCGCATCCAGCCTTGGCCAAGTTCGGTCCCAATCCGACAAGGACATTCTACCTGAATGAGAAACACTGGCAGTAAAAATGCCCAAGTCTTTTGCGGCACTCAGGGTATTGTCTCTTTTTTAAGGGGTGTGGGCTTCAGAGGCTCCAAGCGTCCACGGAACCCCCCCCCTTGTGGGCGAAACGAAGGCCACCGCCGACCGCCGACCGCCGACCGACCGACCTGGCGCCCCGGCTCCGCCTTCTCCAGGCCCGCGTCCGCGCGCTCCACGGCGCCCAGCTGCTGCCTCCAATTCCGACCCGTCCGGCCGTGAGGGGTCGGAAAACTCGGCCGCGTTCTCTGCCCTTCGCCCCGAGTTTTTCCCGAAAGCTGTCTGAGGCTGTCGGTTGAGTAACTCGGGACATACCTGCAAAGCACTCGGCAAAGGTAGCGGAAGGAACCCAAGGTTCCCGACAAGTGTTCTACGGTCCAAGCAGATTAAACTTTCTCCACATCCAACTTCAAAACCCTAAATTAGGAGTGGCTCTTGCTCGCCCCAAGCAGTCTGAGTGTCTGTTGCCCCCAGTGATACTCCTTGCCCCCAGGGCATGGGCGTGGGCCTCCACATGTCAAAACCTGTTCGCAGGACTTTTCATGTCCTCGAGCATCCGTGGCCTACAACACTTGAGCAGCAGTTGAAGACCGTCAACGTTTGGTTCCAAAGGTTTGTCTTGGCCTACCATAAGCCCAACTTTACCAGATAGTGGAGCCATTGAGGGGTTCGCGACGCTCACTTGAGGCTCAAACAGTCAATGGCTTCACCTCGTTGCCCACATGTCCGTTGGAACCTCACAGAAGTCCAACGGAGAAAGGTTTGGGTTAAGTTCACCTATATCTTGACGGCTTTGTTCAATGTGGCAGGACACTTGTTTGGGGAACGGGGGACGGTGCGAGTTTTGGGGATGGGCCCATGGGGGTCGTGGCTGCGCCACTGTTCAACGAACCCATGATGGAACCAAAGTTGTAGCATTCATTATGGTTTGTCTCAACATGCGGAGTCCAACCCAACGGGTGGTTCCTTTGGTTTCCCTTTAAAACAAACAAACAAACAAACAAACAAAAAAAAAGAGAACCATCAAAAGTGTATCCATGTGTGGTATCTGAAGCGTGCTAGAAAGCTGCCGCAACATGCAGAAGCCACCGGCCATCCCCCCTCACTCACCCCATCCGTGGTCCCCCCTGGAAAGGCTTTGAAGGAAAGATTTTTCGGAAGTCCCCCCCCTCACTCACCCCATCCGTGGCTCCCGGCTGTTGCTGGAAGTGTCGCAGTAGCTCCTCCAAAGGTGCGCTGTTCACCTGAGGGCGGGGAGGCCAAACAGCAGGCATCCTAGGCCGTTCTTCTGCAAGTTACCGCACACAGGAATCAAAGATTGGGGCTGCACATGTAGTGCGAGGGCGCGCGCAAGCTCCCGCGAGCTGGTGCATTTAGGTGCCCGTCAAGGGGCTCACGTGAAGTGTGGTGTTGTGATTGCCCACCAAGGCAGCTTGTAGCTCTCCGAGCTGAAGTATGTCTCGAGCGTGGACAAGGCACGGAAGTGGCCGTAGAAAGCCAACACCACTTCGGGACCAATGGCAAGCTGCGCCAAAGCTCATGTTGGTCCATCATCTCTTTGTAAAAGTCACAGCCATGTGCGTCGCCTCAATCTTTGCAAAGGGATTCGACTCGAGACTCGAGCTTTGCCGCTGTCTCCTGGAATTCCTCTTCAGTGCGGTCACCGTCCACCATCCTTGGGGATAGAGTTTCAACCGCTTGGAACAAGGGGTTTCGGTACAGCGCTTTTAATCGAGGATCATGAAAAAAGGGGCGGCTGGACCACAAATGTTCCGGAAACCTGCTTTGTTTCCTCCAAACAAACGACCCTACCAAAAATTGGCCATACTGTAAGGAGCACAAGGAGGGCTAACAAGGTACACAGCTCTGAAGCCCAGCCCGGCAATTGATGATCTTCCTTCCTTCCTTCCTTCCTCCCTCCCTCCCTTCCCTTCCCTTCCCTTCCCTTCCCTTCCCGTCAAACAGTCCGCCTACTGCCCGCAATGCTTCCCTTCCCTTCCTTCCTTCCTTCCTTCCTTCCTTCCTCCCTCCTTCCTTCCTTCCTTCCTTCCTTCCTTCCTTCCTTCCTTCCTTCCTTCCTTCCTTCCTTCCTTCCTTCCTTCCTTCCTTCCTTCCTTCCTTCCTTCCTTCCTTCCTTCCTTCCTTCCTTCCTTCCTTCCTTCCTTCCTTCCTTCCTTCCCTTTCCTTTCCTTCCTTCCTTCCTTCCTTCCTTCCTTCCTTCCTTCCTTCCTTCCTTCCTTCCTTCCTTCCTTCCTTCCTTCCTTCCTTCCTTCCTTCCTTCCTTCCTGCATTCATGTTTGCCACTGAATGGTCTTGGTTCGTCCCGGTTTATCCTGAAAGCCAGAAAAAACTGCGTCCCCAGGCCTTGCCTCGTGCGCCTCTTCCTCCATGCTCTAGACGTAATTCGAGCTGCTGGAACTTTGCATAGTGCATAGTTCTGGGGGTACACGGCTCCTTGTAACCCCCCCCCCCTTAAACATCACCTCACCAAAGGAAAGCTCATGTTGAAATGACCCAAAAGGTGACGTTCAAAACCACCAAAAGGGGACATATGGGGAACACTGGGGTAGGGCTGAAGTTTTGTGGGATCCATGGTTGCCAGTTGTGTTGACAGGCTTGGCTCATACATCCCTGACTGCTTTGCAAGGCCTGCTTGGGGCATTTCTTCATGTTGCAGCCTGAGGTGTCTGCGTTTCGCCTGACTTTAGGCAGGACTCAGCTGAAAGCCAAAGGTGAGAGCACACTCTCCCAGGATCTGGGCTGCAAAACAAGGCAAAATCCAGGAAGATACCTTCAAAGCCCTGCCCCTAGGCCCTCTTCCGAAAGCAGCGGAAGAGGAAAGACTGGTCCTTGTCAGTGAACGTATGATGGACAACAAGTATCATGCACCTGGCTGTTCCCGCTGTCTACTACTCAAGCGCTCCTGAGCAAGCTGGGAACAAGCTGACAAAGATGCGAAAGCCAACCCTTGCATCTGCGCAGCTGGCTCAGAGCGCAAAGCACAGTCCTTCGTTCATCGCTGGCCAGATCCCTGGGATAAGGCATCTGGGTTCAACATGTCGTGCGCTCGAATTCACATATCAGAGCTTTCCAATTTCTCTCACGCGGCCATGCACTCCGTCTGGGGTGAGACTTGCGAGATGGGAGTTGCCCATGTCCTTCACATCCCTCGACGATCAAGTCAGCCAGCACTCAACTCACACCAAGCAAAGCAATTCGCTGAAGATTCTGCCGCTCATGTCAGGCAGGTGGTGTCGACTTGCCTTCGTGGTATTATGGTGCTGTTGCCAAAGAGCAATGACTGTCTGCTTCACAACACCTCTTCCAAACTCTCAACAGTGACCGCCTGAGTCATGTACGGCTATGAATTCTAAGTGCGATCCTGAAACCTGGTTGGTGGACATCATGTCCCATGTGTGTGTGTGTGATGTGCACCAAGGTGTTCAACCAATTATGTCATCTGAGTCATATTGTAGTACAATGGGCCGTGAAACGCAGGAACAGTCCGGCCTTCTTTCGGCCGTACCCTCACATCTGCTCGTTCCGCTCCCTCACCTACAAAGACCGACAAAATCAGCGAAGTTCGAGTTGAGTGCCAAAGGAGCTCGTGAGACAGCTGTGTGATTGTGCTTCAAGAATCAAGAGGCATTCCTTCCAACACACCGTAGCTTCTTGGCCATTGCGTGCAGCATGCATGCCACTTGTTGCTTTGATGGAGCAGCAGAAGATGCCAGCCTCGCGCTTGAGGTTCTTGATCCGGAACTCCACGTCGGCCATCTGAAGATCGGAAGCCGGATTGACAAGAACCCGCAAACCACCGAATTCGTAGCTTGGTTTCGCCTCAATTGGATGGGTCCCAAGTTGCGGTGGTGATCCTTGCCCAAAAGTGCTCAGCTTTTAGGAGGCACAACAACTCTGCCGCTGTTTGTGGAAACAGTTCATTGGCACTGTGCCGCTGTGCTCAAAGGGCTTCCCATTTCCCTAAACACCCCTCCGTATCCAGTTGCTCGACCGCAACTCAGCTTCAAAACTACCCGGCTTCCCGACGCGGTTGTACAGGTTCATACAACCCTTACTATAACCATGAGTCCGGGTAGTAGAAACACCTAGTCAGGCAGGAAGTGGCTTCAAGAATAAGTGGGTGTGTTCTTGTGGTGCGTGAAACGCCGAACCGTGCCTCCTGCACGGCCTCATCAGGCAGGGCCCCCGTGGCGGGCTCGGCCAGGCCATACTGAACCTCTGCGATCCCATGCAACTAAAAATATAGGCTACGGCTACATGGGGGTTGATCAATTTTCCTGGCCCCCAAATGACCATGGATAACTTGTCCCATTTAATGGTGAAAGTCATCCTTTGGGTGGCTTCCCTGATGCTCACCACATGCAAAGGACCTTTTGATGAACCCCCACATGTTTGGACTGGTGCACACTCCTCCCTCTTGTCCAAAGGACCCCGGAGAAGACAGGGTGAACCGGAGAATCCATCCAGTTTTGCGCAGGTCCTGTCCCCCTCCCAGTCTTCAGAAAGGAGTCCGCGTGCTTGAAGAAAGAGCCAAAAAGGTTCATGGCATTGGATGCCTGGCTCTCCGCTGACTCGGCTCCGCCCAGACACAGCTTTTTCTCAAAGGAAGCGAAGCCTGAGAACGGAACCCTGCTCTCCTTCCGCGCCCATTCGCAAAAGTCAAAGTGTCCCACAGCCGTGATACTTACACATCGGCAAAAAGCACGTGAGCAAAAAAAGAAAAAGGTTCTTGCCTCCCTAGACCCCTGGGCAAAGCGAGCCCGAGGCCAAGTCGGCGCAGGACCCAAGCGAAATCGTCAATAGTTGACTTCCAAATGTGCACACAAACCGGGTTGATAAATACCGAAAAGCAAGGCACGTGTCAAGGAACTCCCAAGGACAACCCAGACTTTGCGTATGACTGTGACAGCGTACAACGGGGAGGCTGCACCAGGCCCGGGCTTTGTAGCGCCCCAGACCCCATTCCACTTTCCACGTGCAGAGGATCATAGAGAGGGTCGTGCAAGGGCGCCAGTGTGTGACATGATGCGCCACAAAGCATGAAGCATGCGCCACGAGGAGATGCAAGGTGAAGCAATGCAAATCTTGAGCACAGCTTTTGGTCTGTTCCAAAACCCTCCCTTGTGCTCAAAGGAGATAGAAGGGCCCAGGGCCCCTGCTGTGAGCGTGTTGATCAGGAATGCCACGATGTCCTGGCAGCTCGATGAAAAGGAAGTACACAAATTCTAGAGTGGGTCATCGTCTGCATCAGGAAATGCCGGAAGCCACACTCCCCTGCAAATGAACCAAAAAGCGCCCATCCATTTGTAGGAGCAGAATCTACCTTTTTGCGTTCCGGTTCTTCTGCTGCCGTTCCTCCCACCAAAATTGCACCGAGAGGGTTGAGGATCGTTCCCCCCTCATCTGCCATGGCCATGTGGGAGATCGGGTAATCCGCAGAGTAAGTGGCCATGGGTCAAAATCCCATACCCCCAATGAGCATCCCAATCCCCACTAAAATAGCTTCTAAAATGGGTGGTGAATTCACCTACCAAAAGGGCACCATTGGTTTTGACCCACAAGTCCCCCACATCCCAGAATCGGACAGCGGATTCCCCGCCTCCGGCGGAGGGGAGGTGGACCAGTAGCTTGCCGCAAGGTCCTGCCCAAGCGATCTGTGACGGAATGGAGCAGTATATGGATCCCAAGCTGGCGCCAAAGAGGCGTACTCGGATGCAACTCTCCAGAAAGTCAACATCAGAAGAATCGTTGCAAAGGGAATCAAGATAAACTACATAATAAAAGCAGTGAAGTTAACGAGTGCTTTCGCTTGGCCGGAAGTGTCTGACGGGACATGTCAGCCCAACGGTCAAGCCAAAGATGAGAGCCAACTTGCCGAAAGCATCGAGTTCTGAGGTTCCCTGCTAGCTGCTGTATTCGTGTGCTTCATGAACATTACACAACCAATCCACCCATTCCTCGTCACATCAGATTCAACGAGCAATGGATTCAGCCACCAATCGTGAGCCCATTCATTCGTTACTCTGAGAGCCGAGATGGCGCAACAAAGGTAGATTGTCCTCTCCTTCTGTCCTTCTGTCCTTCTGTCCTTCTGTCCTTCTGTCCTTCTGTCCTTCTGTCCTTCTGTCCTTCTGTCCTTCTGTCCTTCTGTCCTTCTGTCCTTCTGTCCTCCTGTCCTCCTGTCCTCCTGTCCTCCTGTCCTCCTGTCCTCCTGTCCTCCTGTCCTTCTGTCCTTCTGTCCTTCTGTCCTTCTGTCCTTCTGTCCTTCTGTCCTTCTGTCCTTCTGTCCTTCTGTCCTTCTGTCCTTCTGTCCTTCTGTCCTTCTGTCCTTCTGTCCTTCTGTCCTTCTGTCCTTCTGTCCTTCTGTCCTTCTGTCCTTCTGTCCTTCTGTCCTTCTGTCCTTCTGTCCTTCTGTCCTTCTGTCCTTCTGTCCTTCTGTCCTTCTGTCCTTCTGTCCTTCTGTCCTTCTGTCCTTCTGTCCTTCTGTCCTTCTGTCCTTCTGTCCTTCTGTCCTTCTGTCCTTCTGTCCTTCTGTCCTTCTGTCCTTCTGTCCTTCTGTCCTTCTGTCCTTCTGTCCTTCTGTCCTTCTGTCCTTCTGTCCTTGTCCTTCTGTCCTTCTGTCCTTCTGTCCTTCTGTCCTTCTGTCCTTCTGTCCTTCTGTCCTTCTGTCCTTCTGTCCTTCTGTCCTTCTGTCCTTCTGTCCTTCTGTCCTTCTGTCCTTCTGTCCTTCTGTCCTTCTGTCCTTCTGTCCTTCTGTCCTTCTGTCCTTCTGTCCTTCTGTCCTTGTCCTTCTGTCCTTCTGTCCTTCTGTCCTTCTGTCCTTCTGTCCTTCTGTCCTTCTGTCCTTCTGTCCTTCTGTCCTTCTGTCCTTCTGTCCTTCTGTCCTTCTGTCCTTCTGTCCTTCTGTCCTTCTGTCCTTCTGTCCTTCTGTCCTTCTGTCCTTCTGTCCTTCTGTCCTTCTGTCCTTCTGTCCTTCTGTCCTTCTGTCCTTCTGTCCTTCTGTCCTTCTGTCCTTCTGTCCTTCTGTCCTTCTGTCCTTCTGTCCTTCTGTCCTTCTGTCCTTCTGTCCTTCTGTCCTTCTGTCCTTCTGCTTCTGAGTCCTTCTGTGCTACTGATGTCCTTGTCCTTCCGTCCTTCCTGAAACGACCTTAGGTTTTGCTAAAGGGCGCAACCGGAAGGCACCCGAAGCAAGAGCTAGCCGCACCGTGTCCAGCTTCAAGCCCCTAACACAATGATCCCTAACTTTGGGGCTGCCCCTTCGTTCCAAGGGCCCCAAACAAAGCCGGCCTCCAGCACTGGCCGCAGCTCCTTTCGGAGGAACTCCTCCCGGTCCTGTCTGGAGGCACCGAGCCGAGTCCCTCCGGGCGGCGAAAACATCATGCTTGAAGTCGCTATTCATCCGTGGATCTGTCACCTAGGAT